ATCTTTTAGAAAGATACTAGGAGATAAGTAGACCCTCCTATAGCTATAGTTTTATTTTCTTTACCTTAAATAAATATAGTACTACTAATAACTACTATAGTAGTACTACTACTTTAAACTTTATATATCTAGTTAAGAATTAACTAAAGCTAATATAAATTACTATAAATTCTATAAGATATCTAAGATAAATTAGTACTAAATTAAATATAACTTAAAGAAGAACCTTACCTAAAAGTAATTTTTACTATACTCTTTATATAAAATATAAGTAATCAAGTTCATATAATCCTAGTTATAACAGATCTTAAGAATAATATTCTTAGAAAGACAAAGAGCTATTTCAACGATATATCTAATATAGAATATAAAAGAAGAGTAAGTAATTTAATTATAAAGAGGGTATAAGCTAGTAGAAGTACTAGTAATACTCCTATTACCCCTATTAATCCTATTATCTCTATTACTATTACCATTACTTCTACCTCTAGCTTAATCTTTATCTTTAGTTATATAACGACCACTACAATAAGAAGGATTACTAAAAACACCAGAAGTAGTAGCCTTAGATATATTAAAATAAAATAAAATAAAAGTAGAGAGTAAGAAGATAGAGAATTAAGAATTAAGAGCTAAGAAAAGAGAAAAGATAAGAGTTAAAAAGATAGGAAAGAAGCTCTTATCTTAAAGATATTAAAAAACCTATATTACTTTATTTATATCTATATATAAAGATATCTAAGGTAGTATTAGTCCTAGAATCTTTATTTAATATAATACTACTAGATATAAATTACCCAATTAAATATAAGTTATACAAATAGTCAAGTTAACCATTATTGAAAGAGAAGGATAAATTATCACGGGATTCCTAAATCCCTTCAGACACAATTCAGATACAATTCATAGCCACTCCGCAAGCGAATCTACTACAATACACCTACTAATATATAACTACCCTAAGCCCTAGTAAGCTCTAGTAATATTAAAACATACGAACAATAGCTATAATTCTTGTCCTACAAGAATCAGTTCTATATATCAACTGTTCTATTTGATCTCTACCATCCGATATCCTTACCTAGTCACAGGTCTCTAGCCTAACAACTTAGTAACCATTACAGTTTTCTAAGCTAGATATTATTACTATTTTCTATAAGATTTATATCTAACTAAAAGAAGAATAGAAAATAGTATTTTAGATATAGTATAGCCTATATAAATAGAATATTACTCTATTTAGACTAACTAGTATACTAATAACTTTCTAGAGATATATTAATAAGACCCTATAAGAGTATCTTAATAATTTTATATCTATATATATAAATAATATTATTATATATAGTAATAGATTATTAGAAGATTACTAATAGAAAGTAAAATAAATACTATAAAAACTATAAGAAGTAGGCCTATAGTATAATATTAGAAAATCAGAGTTTAAATAAGATTCTATAAAATATCTAGGGTTTATTATATAAATAGATAAAGAAATCTATATTAATCTAAAGAAGATTATAGTTATTTAAGAATAGGAAGTACTAAAATTAATATAATATATATAGAGCTTCCTTAGATTTACTAACTTTTATTACTTATTTATACCTTAATTTACTAATCTCTTAGTATCTTTCACAAAATTAATAAGAAAAGATATCTAATTTATATAGAATAATAACTACTAATAAATATTTAAAGAATTAAAGGATCTCTTTATTAATACCCTAATTCTAATATATTTTAAAGAGGATAAGGAAACTATTATTAAGATAGATATATTAGGATAGGCTATAGAAATTATCTTTTTATAATATAGACTAGATAAGTAGCTATATCTATATATCTACCTCTTCTAGAAACTATTATTAGTAAAGTTAAATTATAAGATTTATAATAAAGAGCTACTAATAATTATATATACTCTCTAAGAGTAGAGACTAAAGTTAAAGATAATACTTTAATTTACTATTATAACGGACTATAAAAACTTATAATACTTTAATAAAGTATAATATTTAAATAAATAATAAATAAGATAGATAGATATTCTTATAGAGTTTAACTATAAACTAAAGTATTATCTTAGGAAGCTTACTATAAGATCTAATATACTTTTATAGTAAAGCTAAGATATCCTATAGTATATTATAGATAAAAGGTTATTAAATTAGTTCTAAACCCTACTAAAAAAGATATAGATTAAGATAAGATAACCTAATCTACTAGTAATAAAGAGAATTAGCTTTAAGAAGAAAATATTCCTATTTAAGGAGCCTATACTATAATAAGAATAGAAGAATATAAGATCTATTAATCTAAAGTATTAGAAGATATATAAAGTCTTAGTAAAGGGAGATTAGTGAATTACTACTAAAGTAAATATAAAAATAAACCTATTAGAGTACTATCTAGATAAATAAGAACTACTCTATTTTAGATAATAGATATAGATCTTAGATAATAAGATATTATATATAGGGATTATATAGAAGATTTATAACTCTTATATTATAGTATACTCTAGTTAAGATATTACCTATATAATACTATTATAGAGATTCTTTTAGCTAGAAGTAATAAGAGATATATAATACTTCTTATAAAATTATATAGTTTATAGCTATAGTATTATATAATATATAATGGTTACTAAGTTGTCAGGCTAGAGACCTATGACTAGGCAAGGATATCGGATAGTAGAGATCAAATAGAACAGTTGATATACAGAACTGATTCTTGCAGGACAAGAATCGTAGCTATTGTTCGTGCGTTTTAATATTGCTAGAGCTTGCTAGGGCTTAGGGCAGTCATGCATTAGCGGGTGTATCGTGGTAGATTCGCCCGCGGAGCGGCCATGAATCGTACCCGAATCGTACCCGAAGGGATTCAGGAATCCCGTGACATAATATAATATAAAGTATAAGCTATTAAAACCACTACTAATTCTATAGCAAATATAGATAGAATTATCTATAGATTTTATTATAGAGCTACTTCTAATAATATATATAGATATAATAAATTTAATAGTAATCATAGACTAGCTTATAAAAAATATAATTCTTATAAATATAGTAGAGATAACTACTAAAAGGGTAATAGATATATTCTTTATCTACTTTTATATATACTATAGACTACTATAAGTAGTTATAAGTAACTATAGGTCCTATTTTATAGATATATTCTAGTAAATAGTATATAAGAAGCTATTAATTTAATATTAACTATTAACTACTTTCTATCTATAATTTGATAGTATTATAGAGTATATAAACCAAGAAGTTAAATAGATCTTATATATATTTATAACCTATATATAGAATAATTAAGGTATATTACTTCTTATTATTACTATAGTAATTAATAACTATAATACTAGTATAATAGGATTATTCCTCTTCTTTATATATAGTTACTATATTAATCCTATTAAGATAGAAGAGATAGAGAAATCCTATAAAACCTATATATAACTAGGAATCGTAGATAAAATATTTATAAATTAATTATAAGAAGCTACTAATTAGGCCTAAGTTATAATTACTTCTATATAAGCTCTATAAGAAGAGCAATCAAATAAATAATAATAGACTATACTAGTCTATAAGAAAGATAACTAGATATAATTAAATTTATAGAATATATATATATATAATAATAATTAAAGAAGCTAGACTAGCTATATACTTAATATTAAGTTTTAGATATTCTTATATCTTATATAATATAATTAAAGATATTTACTAGTATCTATCTAGTATTCTATATAGAGCTAGTTAGACTAGTTACTTTAGATCTATTTCTATTATAGATTATAGATAATTTATATCCTCTACTAATACTAGTTAATAGAAAACTTAAGTATAAAGTAGAAGAGATAATAGATATAAGATATAAGAAAATTAGTTAAGAATACTATAATAAAACCCTAGTAAAATAGATAGGTTAGATAGAATAGACCTAATAGAGTCTCGATAATATTTAAGATTATTTTGTATTAGATATCTTTAAAAGACGATTCGGCCCCGTTTCGACTCTATTATAGGCCTAAAGACGACTAAATATAACTATAACACGTATAAGGAGGACTACCCTAAAGGGGGAATACTGTTATAGGCTAGTGCCTAGTATAAGGTTATATATACTATATGACTATAACAGCCTAATACGTAGAACACCTACTTGGTAATTCTCTCTTTAAGCTTTTTATATATAGTATGTAGCCTAGCTCAATTGAACATAAATTCTGCTTTAGCCCTTCACACTAGTGGCTTTGTAAGCTATAGTTATATTAGGTATCTCAGCTTAAGGTAGATTCAATATATTGAGGAAGAGATATAAGTAATTTAGTAGAGGTTTACAGAATTTTCTATTGAGCTATTAATTTCTATCGAGCTGTCGTACACCCGAAGACTACTGTCTTCGGGTGTGCAGCGGCACGGCTATATCTTTTTAAAAGAAAATAGTTCCCCATATAGGGGATTAGAATCAGATAGAAATCCACCATTCAATATATATACATATCTCACTCCTCCGTCCAATTTGTATTTGAGAGCATTCAATCCTATATCAATGGGTAGTTTCACTACATATATATAATGTAACCTTGAGTTAGAACTGGCCCGCGAGCTGTTGCGGTTATCAATCAGCGATCGAAAAAATAACCGTGCATGAAGGACTGGGGAGCATACTAGTAGTATGTACATGCCCAAGTGTTGTACCCAGACAAAATGAAATACACCATACTCAGTGAAACTAAACTTTGATCAATTCATTATTTCAATTCACAAGAATTGCTTCCATCGACTTATACTACCTACTAGTAGTAATATCACAGAGTACATAACGAACCACTGGGCACCGAGCCTCCCGCTCGGATCGTCACATCGACGACAACAGCTCCACTCGAACCACCTGAAACCCCAACCTCCAAAACCCATGCAAAGCGAACCTGAACATCAAGAAAACCACCAGAAACACATCCAATAACCATCATGGCCCCCTTCAACGTCGAAGAACTCACAGTCTCATCATTCCACACAGCCCTCCGACAGGGCGACACAACCTGCGCCGACGTCCTAACCACATACCTAACCCGTATAACAACCCACGACCCCACACTAAAAGCACTCATAATCACCAATCCATCCGCAAAAGCAACAGCTACAGAAAAAGACCAAGAAACAAAACAATTACTGAAAAATGGCATCCCCTTCCCACCTCTCCATGGAGTCCCCATCCTCCTAAAAGATAACTACACAACATCCGACCTACCCACATCAGCAGGATGTAAGGCCCTACAATCCCTCACCACAAAGTTTGACAGCGAAGTCGTCTCACGACTTCGTAATGCAGGCGCAATTATTATTGGAAAGACCAATTTGCACGAATTCGCTCTTCATGGAACTACTACCTCTTCATTGGGTGGTCAGACTGTGAATCCGTACGATAAATCACGTACACCGGGTGGTTCATCTGGCGGAACAGCAGCTGGTATAGCGGCAAACTTTGCCCTATTAGGTTGTGGAACTGATACTATGAATTCGTGTCGGAGCCCTGCTTCTGCGTGTGGGGTTGTGGGCTTTCGACCTTCAAAGGGTATCGTGCCTGTTAGTGGTATTGTGCCCGTTTCCAGTACGCAGGATGTTGCGGGACCCATCGGGAGATCTGTTGAAGATGTAATGGTTCTTTATGATGTTATGAGGGGGTTGGATGTTTTTGCATCTAGGGATTGTGGGAGTGGACTTTCGGGATGTCTTACGGGGCAGGGGGTTAGGATTGGGGTGTTAGAGTGGTATTTTGGGTTCGAGGATGCGGGTTCTGCTACCTTAGAGGGAGATGGAGATCGGATTCGTGATGAGAATCGTATTGTCAAGGGAATTATTCGTGATGCATTGGTTTCTGTTCAGGATGAGTTAGATGCGACACTTGTTCCGGTTCAATGTCCTAGAGACTGGGAATTGGGGGGGATCTATTGAAGAATGCGGATACGCAACCGTTTGAGTTTCGGACGTGTCTTGATACTTTCTTGAGTTCTCAGGATGTTGACTCGAAGTATCGGTCTTTGAAATCTATTGTTGATGCTGGGGAATATCATCGTGAGGCCGTTACTGATGTTTTTACGGCTGGTCTTGAGAATCCGAAGGTCTTTTGTACTGGGAGTGAGGAGTATGCTGCTCGTTTGCTGGTTATTGAGGCACTGAAGGAATCTGTTAAGGAGATTTTTGAGAATTATCATCTTGATGCGTTGGTTTATCCTCATCAGCGACAGTTACCTGTTAAGGTTGGGGTGACGCGGCAGCCGAATCGGAATGGGATTTTGGCTGCTGTCACTGGGAGTCCGGCTATTTGTATTCCAGGTATGGTTTGTCTGATCTGAGATTATTTTTGTTTTTGCTTTCTTCGGTTTATACTGATTTTTGTTTTTTGCAGCGGGTTTTACTGAACCTACTTCTGAGGCTCCGTTGGGTGTTCCTGTTGGGCTTGAGTTGATGGGGGAGAATGAGGAGGATGATGATTTGTTATATCTTGCGAGAGGGATTGAAAAGGTTCTTTCAGCTAGGAAGGCGCCGATTTTGAGTTAGAATTTGGTCAGTTTAGATAGAAGTGACGTATTACTCGGAAGTGAATGGATTATAAGCCTAATCACAATCATTGATGAAGACGTACGATGTAGCTTGGGAATTGTGAGCTTGTTAACCTGACTATCGTGTTGTTACTGGTGACTCAAGGATTAATTGTAAGGTCTATATTATGGTGATTTTGATGTCTAATAGTCCAGATCGGACGCTCAATTGTTGAAGGTAACCAATATGTTTCACTTATGTGGACGAGATATCACCAATGATAAATTTCCACGTTGATAAACACAGATTCAAGAATCAGTAAAAATTGTTTACTCCGTAGATAGGACCGCCAATGCCTATATACACTGCTCACAGCGCAACCCAGTACGGACGCCAAAAGAAAAACACTCAAACATGGTATAATAGTCGCAGCTTAAGAATTTCCAAAACCCCACCGTAGGTATTTGAAGAATCAAAATCAAAATATGATGAGAAAGGAGAAGAGAAGAATGAGAAGAAAAGAACAAGGCAGATGCAAAATTCGCAGAAGCCTGTTGCATATGACCAGCGCCGGTAATAATGGCAGAAGAGTAAGTAAAACATAGGCATGAGATATCACGATGCTCCATCATCGTGTAAAATGCTAAACCGAGGGAGGGTAAACGGGTAACGAGAAGAAGATAATAAAAGTTTCAACCGGTATACAGGGGAGATGAAGTTGTCCCCGATGACACGATGATACAGAGTTCTGGATATACCCGTTGGAACAGGACTGTGCATGTTCACCGCAACCATATAATCCATAAAGACGCCGCTTGGAAAGTTGTAAAAAAAAGAGGAGAATAATAAAAAGTAGAACACATCGTAATCATCATTTCCCAAATGAGAAAACACCGTCCATCCCATCCGTAATAAAATTACCCAAAATATATGAACCATCTACCCATAATGGAACCTTAAGAGACGCCGGCGGGTTCCCCTGCAATACGCTATTGCGAAACCCTGATGAGGTGAAAGAGTCACAAAGCAGACATATAAACTAGCGAGCTTGACGATGCAATCCTGCGCCAATCCTGTATGCTTCGGTGCCATCATCGATAAGGCTCTCTTTGAACCAGGGGTGTTTCAGGGCTTCCTTGGCGGTAATACGTTGCTTGGGGTCGTAGATAAAGATCTTGCGTAATAAATCCAGGAATTGACGATTGAAGGGAGTGTTGGTAGGCATGAATTCCTATATCAAAGTTAGTGAAGAGTTTCGACTTATTGGGGGAATCGAAAAAGAAACATACGCCCAGTGCCTTCATTGCACGCACATACTTCCGGGATGCCCGGGTCGTCTCAGTATTAGGATAATCCAGTTTTGTGCGGTTAAAGTATCTAAAATCCGGATTAGTATTGGATCCTGTATGCGTCCGTATAATGAATGATGACTTACTTCGCGGCGGAGTTCTGGTTGCCGGCACGACCTTGCATGACCTGGCGGACTAATTTCGCATCAATTTTGGATCCGATAACAGCCTCCATCATGGCCAAGTGCTCAAGGTTGTCATGGGTCTGAAACAAGGCATCACCAGTGAAGAATTCCACTAGGATGCATCCAATACTCCAAATATCACAGGGGAAACTCCATCCGAGATTGAGTATAATTTCAGGTGCCCGATAATGCCTAGTTGAGACAACAGAAGAATGGTATTCGTCATCAAAAGTAGCAGAGCCAAAATCGATGAGTCGGATCTCGCTATCGAGAAGGACACGTCGCTGTCGAGCATTTCGGGGGTTAAGGTGGGAGGATGAGGGGATGGTGCGGTTATAAGTGAAGGTTTGGTAAGCGCTGCTGACAAGGAGGATGTTTTCGGGTTTGAGGTCGGTATGAATGAGGTTGAGGTCGTGAAGAACTTCATAAGGTTAGGAGGGGGCCAGATCACCATAGCAGGGAAAAAGAGAAAAGCTTACAGGCGACGCTTGTAAATAGTTGACGTGCAAAATGCTGGATCTGACTGCTGGGGAAAGGAACGAAGCCGTTGCCTTTGAGGAAATCGAAAACACTTTGACCTAATAGATCGGTGACAATGCAAATGTGATTCCGGAAATCGAAACAATCCCGCAGGTGAATACATTTATTTCGGTTGCTTTTGTCGTTCGAGGAAAGAGTTGATAAGACCCGTAATTCGATGCGAGAGGCATCTCGGTACTTCTGAATGGAGCGAATAATCTTGACAGCACATCGGGATTTTCGCTGCTTGTCATAAGCCTCCACTACCTTACCGAAAGTACCTTGTCCAAGAAGCTTGATGATGGAGTCTAGTAAAGTGTTAGCATGGACTTTTCGCCGATCGTAACAATAGAGATAAACGGGTGAAACGAACATCGATCCGTCAAGGGCGTGTCAGGAGTCACCAGATAATGGCCATCGTCATCGTCGAACTTTTCGTGGCGTGCACCCGCGTACTAGAGATTTCATATTAGCTCAAAACTCTTTCAAAAGACAAAACATACGCAGTGCGTAGAAGAGAATAGCTTATTAAGGGCCGTCGCAAATTACTCACATCACGAACGACAGGTACTGGCACATCCTTGGCCTTGATAATCGGATGCGGGGGTGGTACATAGCTGAGGAACGCGTCGCCAACATTCTCCAGTTCCCGTCGCTTTTGCTCGTCGCGGGTTGATTTCCGGGTGGTCCGCTTGCGCTTTTGGCCCACCGCCGCATCCTCATAGTAAACACCGTTGCTAGCACCTGTGCTGCCTTGAGAGCCCAGTGATGTAGGGGCTGTGGTGTGTAGAGAGGTCGTTCGGTCGGTAGACAAAGACTGTGACGAGTCTTCACCATACTGTTGGGGATTGATTGAGAATGACGGTCGGTCGTAGTAGCCCAAATCATAGGCCGTTTCGATTCCTGTGCGTCGCCGTTTGCCAGCCGGCTGGGGCACTGCAGGCTGACCGGGAGGCACAGCGTGGCTTGGGGGAGCGGGAGCAGCAGCAGCAGCAGCCGGGCCAGATTTTGAGCCTTCAGGTCCCGGGCTGTCATCAATCACGATGACCTCCTTGGGAATGCCATTCTTGTAAAACTCGCCCCAGTCAGGCTTTTTCTTTCGCCCGCCTAGAGACGGGGCGGCACTGGAGCCACTTTGGTGAGATGCCATACCGGATGGCGTGGTAGTCGAAGCCGCCGGAGCGACTCGACTCGACTGAGTGTAGGGAAGGGCTGTGGTGTTGGCGGGAGCGGTTGTTGGGGAGGGGACGGAGTAAGTGTAGGGATTTGCCAGGCGAGCCCCTGCAGTGGTGGTCGGAGGAGGGTAGGCAGCTGTCGCCTGGTATGAAGAATGAGGGTATCCGTATCGCTGGTGAGAAAGATGGGTTGCAGTGGCCGTTGATGGAGTGGACATTGTGTACGGAGGAGTCCCGTCCGTCGCACGAACGGTCCTTAGGGACGTGTGGAGAGAGTGCGTTCAGTGACCGATTGTCGGCGGTGGCAGCGGAGAAGCTCTTCGCAGCAATGAAAGGGCACCCAGGCGAGGGGACTCAGCGGAGAAAATGGTATCGATCGAGCAGAAAGTAATAGGAAGGGTCGGAAGGGATTGGCTCGAGACGTGACAATGACGAGGCGGTCGGAGAATGGGATGGGATCAAGCCCGATGCATGTCTAGTGGAGTTTGCGGGAGAAGGGCAAATTTGGGGCTCGAGTCTAGATGGAAATAGATCACGAAGAAGCCGGGTCGAAATTGCGAATCATTGACAGAAAATATAACGACATCTGTGGGGGGAACAGGCAGTAAGGAAGAGGGGGGAGACGAAGTGAAGTTGATGATGGAAGGCGAGCCAGAGTTGGGGACGTAAGAGCGTTGCCGATCATTCGCGCGCTTTTTCTTACACTGTTAGGAGACTCGGCACTCTGCACGGTTCAAGCCAAAGTGGAAGAAAATTAAAACAGAAAAATGGACACATTCCGTCCCTTTTTCATGATTTTATTCTTTGATTTGTGTCTGATCTAATTCGAAGAGAAGAGAGTAGGTATCCCCTTTCATAGTCATCGATCTTCGCCCAAGACTATGTTCTTCCACCACCAACACTACCTAGTAGTAAATGAGTACTCGTCATTCTCGATTCTATACAGTACACCTGGACAGTCTCGGTGGCTTATGAACTTTTTTAAATTATTATTAGGGGTCCATGCGGGTCAAACACGACTCATAGAGTCTCCGAGAGGTGCCCATTTAAATACAGGAAATACAGGCGTATCTCTTCTAGCCCTCTAAGCCTTCGAGGTATATCAGCAAATCGGACTCTTTCACTATCTATGATTGTCCTGCGTGGGTGGTCTTTGGCCCACCAGACGCCACCCAGAGTAGCCCTGGCTTAACCGATCCGCCAACCCACACGCTACGACGCCCTAAAAAATCCATATAAGTGGATATATGGAAGGAAATTGAATGAAAAATGATCTCGATTAGATTTATCTATTCCTTTGATGAAGAATATATTAATCTATGTAAATGTATCAAATGCCAAGTCGAATTCCATCGTTAATACCTCATTTGCCCCCATGCGGACCTGCGCGGCCGGTCACCTGAGATGCGCCGGATGAATAGAAAGACCGCGATTCTTGCATGAACTCACATTGCCCTTGGCTGAATAACCGTGGAATGAAAGAAAAATCAGTGGCTGTGGGTTAAATAGTGAGAAAAGATGTTTCTAACTCTGTAACTCATACTCCTGGGCTAAATAGATATCCAGTACGGGTCTTGACTCAGGTCACAGATAGTATACAGTCAACACTTACTAGGCAATATACTACTAAGCACAGGCTGACACTGTCATGATACTGCAGCCTGAGACTGCTGATAGTATGTTTGCAGGTATTGCATCCATATATCTCCGGCCCTGGACTCGGACTCGGAGCCTGAGCCCGAAGGATACATATACTACTACCCCCCGAGGTCATGAGCATGGCAGTTTTAGAGATCGTAGTATGCAATGATACTTATTTAACTAATTCCTTGGAACTTTTGGTTCATATATCTAAAGATTTGACATCCATCGCGTAAAGGTGCTATACATAGTACCTAACGGGTACTCTACTTCCGTCCTTTCTATAATCCTGGAGGTACTTACAATTTCAAGTTACCCATATACTAAGTACATAGTACACTAGCAAGCCCATTGTTTCTTCAACTTGAAAACTAAACCCTCCGACCTCGGGACTGAGTGAAATATACTACCTGCATGGCAGTCCGGAGAACATCCAAATCATACATTCCGGCTATCAGGCGCAGGAATCCTGGGGGCCAAAATCCAAACTTAGAATTCCAACTTGAACTCATTGGCCTGATAATTACGGTAACTTTTGGCCCTGGGGCCGGACATAGGTACCACCCCAATATCTTTAACTATAATCATGAAGATTGGCTAGGATCTTTGGCATCGGGATATGCATAAATTGTGAGCATCCCGACAACACAGCCCCGTCGTCATAATTCATCTTACTGCATTAATGGTAAAAATAGTTTGAACATACTTGGGTAGTATTTGCTCAAATAGTCACCCTCCTTGGTACAATGCACTGATAAGCATAAAATCCTCTCCTGCAACGATGTCATAGCGATCGTCGACATGCATCCTTCTCGGGATCTAAAGGGAACTGTGCGGGGGGAGCGGGGAAGTCCTGAGGGAGCACTTGAGAACTCAAGATTATTCTTAGTCATTTAGCAAGATTGAAAGTGAAAGCGAATTTAAATGGAAAGTAATTATAGATGGATTTATTAATTTGAACTATATATTTGATTACCTACTTTCGGGATCTTGGTGGCGGGCAAGGGGGTATCGTGGTTAGGGTCAATCCACGAAAGTCTGCTAGGGACTCTTCGGAAGACTCGGAGGTGGCAAGCAATGGGTATTTGCTGAATTTAAAAGATGGAAATACTCTATAAGATCCAATATAAGAAGATTATCTACCTCCTTCAAGGTTATATCAAGGGAGTCCTTACTCTATTTTCTATAGATTCTTGATCTTCCTATGCTTAATGGAGGTTATAGTAACTGAAGTTAGTACTATAAAGAATATATTGAATAAAATTTACATAAATGAGTCTTTGATATGCTTGCCTATCTACTTAAGTATCTTTTCAAGAATAGTGTAGAGCACAATATAAACTTGAATTGTAGGGTATAGTTCAACAAGTTACCCATACCCATAGTTTTTATACACAAGTATACTTCAAGGCCTATTGGTGACCTAATACACCAATAATAGATACGAATGATAATCCTTAACTCATCTCTCTTACAACCTCATGAGCTCGGCTCATCTCATCCTCCGAAGGCATATTGACAATAGCCAAATAAAGAACTTTCTGTTGAGAAATTAGCATATATTCTGCCTGTAATTGAACCAAGTAGACTCTACCTTTTTCATTAGCTTAGAGACTGGCGAAAGTGGTCCGTTCCGTTCTCTTTGACCACCAGAGGACCCTCTCATCCGAAGACTAGGACGTTCATAATACATATCGTCTTGAGATAAAGATTCCGGTGGACTTTGTGGGTTTCGCATATCTCGTACTTGGTTGATAGCGTCTCTTAAGCCAAAACCTCGTCCATATGGAGCATGTGGCGCCGGGGCATTTGAATTGGAGTATGATCGCATGTAACCATCATCTTCTGATTGAGACGAGAAGCTTCGGCGATCACGTAGTAGACCACACCGATTTCCTTTCATTCCTTGTAGTTTATCCATTGTGAGCTTCCCGCCTGTGACTAATGCGAGTGGATCACCACTGCTGGCGGGGTGGTTGGGATCCGCATATCGGGAGGTGAAGGTAGGTTTTAATCCTTGATTTAAATGGCTGTCGGGATTTTTGGCGATCTAACAGGCAGGGGGTTCTTAGGTTAGATATGATCGTGCATATGTCAAGGCTGAACTAAAACTTACAAATTTTGCCTGTGCCCTCTTGTCCATGTAGCCGCTGACGAATTGGCCCTTTTTCTTCATTTTGGATAACCTTTTCTCTGCGTTAGGATCGGATGCTAGCTGGTCGATCTCTGGGAAGACTAGAGGGGCCACTTCAGGGAACATGTTTCCGTATGTTTTCCCATCTGAAGACTTCAGTTTGCGCTGGAGGCGTTTGAACGTGCCGGTATCACCTGTACCTGAAGCCTCGGAAATCAAAGAGTTAAGATTTATAGCGGTTGAGGGCATGTCTTCTAGCTCAGGATTCCATGTCATGATAAGGCAATAAAGCCCGCGAGGCTGGAAGAATTCCTTGTTGATCTGAGTGAAAAAGGAGTTTGTTCTGTAAAATAGGGTTAGTATACTACTGTAGTTAGCACGAGAAAGGAATGGCAGTCTTACCTTCGGCGCCCATCAGCGACAATAGCAATATCAGTGGTAATCTGTATAGCGATTGAGACTGCAATACCGGTGACAGAGGGCATCCACATTGTTCCGATCGAAGCCAAGTTGATTGTGTGGAGCCAAGGAGTGGCCTGGCATGATTTCTCTGCGGTATTGAGAAAGTCCAAGAACATGGTTTGGTCAATACCGCACTCTTCAAGTACCGGGGAATATGCACGGATGAAGCCACGATCTCGAGTCTTGGGTCTGCGCTGTGGTAAGACCACAGGTATAGATAGTTTCGGTCGGGGAGCATTCTCGAGAGAATCATACGCCGGAGGTGCGGGATGTGAAGATGCAAATTGATGTGCGAGATTGGGTTGATCGGCATTTTCGTCAATTTCGGTGTATACTGGAGGGGTATTGGTTGAGGGCTCGGAGGTATGGAGGAGCTCTTCTTGAGCCTCGTCAAGAGCCCATTGCTCCTCTAACGCTGTGGCTGGCAGTTCAAATATTTCATTTTCATGCGCCGGGAGCTCGTGGGGGAGATCCTCATCCGCCCCTGGACTGATTGACTGCGTTGGTATATCTTCAGAGGGGGATGCGGGTGTCTGATTATCCTTTTTGGCCTTGTGAGCAGTTATGCTCTCTGAAATAAGACCGATACCCGCCGCGATACCTTGAAAAGCCTTTTGGGGGAGAGAGGAACGACTTGTCATGACTGCGGAGAGAAGCGACTCAATAGATTGAATAACTGACAACCTTGGACGTCTGAAGAAATTATTATTTAGAAATGAGAAAGAAGGGCATACTGCATTTATAGCCTCGAGGTCGTGTCTTCTGGCACCGTGGATACCTAATTCTTGCAATATTCTAAATTGCTTTTAGGCATTCTTGAAGGCTACTAACTGTGGCGGTGCAATTATCCCCTAACTATAGGGTGTTCTACATGCTTATTGGCTGTATTGGGAATAAGCACAAGCCGAGACTTCCTTAAAGTCGATTAGACTTGGGACCTCATAGTTAGTTAATTTCTGCAAATGACTCTGTGGTGACTGGATCTATGGTTCCCGCCATCCCAATCCGGTAACGATTGCGAAGATGTGGCTAAGCCGCGCGCTACAGCATTAAGCTTACCTTTCTCAGGTATGTCATCGCGAGTGATTATTGGTGCCTAAATTCTAGTTATACCTTGTTCCCTGATGATGCTTCGACCCGCATCTCCATAGCCTCACAATCCGAAACTAACAATTCCTGATGGATCTTCCCTGGGGCCGAGGGAAATTGTTAGTACAAGCTGACTAGTCTCCAAATTTACTATCTAGTACTAGTATATAGTATATCTGATAATAAACATCCGCAGTTCGAATTCTCATCATTATTTCTTTTATTGGCATGCTAACATAGTCCTACATGTACAGCTACACAACAGACAGTGCAAGCGAATGACATGCATTGAGATCGATTTTCGTTTTCAGTTGCTGAGTTGTATTTAAGATCGTGTCTAGAACGATTGCTCAAAAGCCCAGAGCAATAGATAGATCGAGCTATAGTGCAATTACACACTTGCCCATCGCCCACACAGAATGCATGTCCCATCGATAGGGACTGTGAAGGTAGTAAAATCCCCGAATCCCACAACAAGGAAAAAGAACCTGGGAAAGAAGAAGAAAACCCAAACGCCACGAACCAGACTCACGAAGATGCAAGAAATTCCAGGGCCTAAGGGAAATGAGTATAGCAATCCCCAACAGATTGTGCCCCAGAACAAATTAAACACAAATAAGAAAAAAATAAAATAAGATTACAAGGGTCTGATTCGCTTATACTGCACGGTCTTCCTTTGGATCCTTTGAATAACCTCTCTGCACATGCTTGATGCCTCGTCCATCTGCCTCGAGCATAAACAAGAGATCTCGGACCTGGATACCAGCCCCCTTCTCTTGATCTTCGCGCCACGCCCCAATTCGTCGCTTGGGTGGGCCGGCTGGTGTTTCTCCAGAACGACTAGGCTTGTCGGACCCAGGAGTTGGTGTGGGAGGGTTGGGCCGTGAGGGTGACGAGAACCCGCTGGAAGATCCGCCAGGTTTTAACCATGAATATGACTTTTTAGTTCCAAACATCCGTCCAGAGAGCATGCTATTGGTGGCCATTCGTGCCGTCTCGACGGACTGCTGATGTTGCTGCGCTTCAGTAGCCTTAGAATCCTGCATTTTCTTTGCCTCTTTCTTGGTCATTGATTTTTTATCGAAGCTGGGGGCCTTCTCTGCGATTGGCGTGGAAGGAGCAGAATTAAGATCAACGGATTCAGCTCGGTTGCCTGTGATTTCTCCCACAGTGGCGTTTGCACTGCGCTTAGCTCGCTTTGCAGCACGCCTGTGCTCCTGTGATGACTCTCGGCTAACAAGACTCCGGTATTTGTCCGCGATAGGTTTAGAAGGGGGTGTTTCGATTTCTGATTGAGGTCCTGTAAATTCCGGATTAGTAGGATGAATTGTGAAAAATTTTAACTTGTTCTCAGATAATGCAACACATACGCTTGGAAGGCGTTGCCATATCCCCAAGACCCTGTTTTGAAGATTGTGCAACATCTTGCCATTCGTCAGGGACGACTCCATGTGAGTGTGCTCGACGGCTGCGAGAAAGGGCAGAAGAGTAATCAACGATGCCCCTCAGACGTTCTTCGCAAGAAAGAGACATCAAGTTCAAGATATCCACAAGAGGAGCACCCTCTTGATTCAAAATTGTTTGACCAGTACGAATTACGGATGATCCATCAGGGCCTGTAACTTCGATAGGCTGGGGTCGCCCAGGAACGGGATGAAATAGTCCTTCAGAGGGGATGCGAACACCAAGGTCAAAGCCTCGCTTCTGAATCTTCTGCTCCAGCAGCTTAGCTAGCAGAAACGGTTCTTGAAGATGGTATTGCGACCGCCGTGCGGCCTCCGTATCCTCACGGGTCGGCTCATTCGGATCTTTGAATGGAACGGGGGGTTGAGAGGCTGGTTCGGAAAACGAATGCTGCTGCTGGACAACCGGTTTTATGTGGGGCAACTCGCCAAAGCTGCTCGACGCTGAAAGAGTTCCCGTTGTGGAGGCTTGGGAGTTGAAAGATGTGTTGATAGGAGGTGGCTGTTGAGGTGTTTGCGCTCGAGGAGCCGCCTGCGCCTGCGCATTGGGCCCTGAAAAGCTGCGCGTGAGGAATGCCTCTTCTTCTCTCACATCAATACCAGACGATGCCAGAACATCCGTCAACTCCGCCGCATCTGTTGTCTTATCAACTGGGCGTGATGGCGGACCCATGGTACCTGCAGGGGCAGGCGCTTGAGGAGCAGGTGTTGATGGCATGCTGTTCGGAGCTGTCCCGTTCATGGGGGGTTGGTTTGGTGGAAGCTGCATCGCGCCAAAGCTCGGGGACGCGTAGGGCGATTGTGTCTGGGATGGCGGTAGAGGAGAAAGACGGGGACGTTTCGATGGAGGAGGTGCTACGCCTCCATTCACAGGCGAAGCAGCGTGAGGAGATGGGGAGGAGACAGGAGGAGAGAAAGGTTGGGTGGAGAATTGCGGCGGAGGCTGCTGCTGCTGCTGTTGCTGAGGGTGTCGAGTTTGCGCCATGATGAAAGATTACTGATAATCAAATGAGAGGCGGATAGTAATGGAAATGCGGTTTATGCCGCTCGTTCTTGCGAGATACAAAGGCTGCACGCGTGGCCGTTAAAGTGAGCGGTTTGCTCACACCACCAGATGCCACTGAACGTGACCATCTCAGAAGACCCGTGAAACCATGAGATCGACGCGCAAAGATGATTAGGGATATCAAAGACGTAAACGGCGTAAGTGGAAGACACGTAGGCGATGGCGATGCGGGACGAGGGGGACAAGGAGCTTAATGTCTCTTGAGGTTTTGCTCCGCGGATCGCGTTGGATCACGTGTAGCTTAGTTAATGCAACGGGTCCCGTAAAAGCAAGGCGGTGAACTATAACCTTGGTTGATCCCGCGCGATTCATTTCCTGTCGCCAACTTCTTGCTTGACCCATTACACGTCTCTTTCATTCGTTAATATTATTTTTGCAATAAGGTACTGCTTCGGTCATGGGAATGGTTTAAAATCATTCCTCCGTATACCTCATCACTTGGATTCGTGTGACGGGGCCTGCAGTGCCTGGATATTCAACGATTCTGCCGATAAGGAACTGCGACAGCCACAATACCCAAGCTTTCTCCTTGACCTTACAGAGGCTCGAGGATCTCTGCCATAATGGCCACCAAGCGGAAGGTTTCGGTCATGGGCGCCACTGGAGACGATGGACCGGTCGACCCTTCAGATGAGCTAGCGTTCTATTGTCTCGGCGGAGGAAATGAAGTCGGACGATCATGTCATATCATTCAATACAAGGGCAAGACGGTCATGGTGAGCTTTATGTTCGAATTCGAGGCGTTTATACTCAATTGGCTAATGTGTCTGACTCCTCAATAGCTCGATGCGGGCATGCACCCAGCTAAAGAAGGGTTCTCAGCATTACCGTTCTTCGATGAGTTCGATTTGAGCACTGTGGATATTCTCTTGATCAGCCAGTACGTGAAATCCATATCTTGCTTTGTCTTCGATATAGCGCCTGGAAATATAATTGGGCTTCGGGGTGTCTTAACGAGGCCCCGATTATACAATGAGCTTTGTACATGGCCCAGAGTTTCAATATATTGGACTCATTTTCGATATTCGCATTGTAAAACTCGCGTGATTCATTTATGATTTACTGACACTTAATTGTTGGAAATAGTTTTCACGTTGACCATTCATCGGCCCTTCCCTATGTGCTCAGCAAGACGAACTTCAAAGGTCGTGTCTTCATGACACATGCCACCAAGGCCATTTATAAATGGCTCATTCAAGATAATGTCCGTGTTAGCAATACATCTTCTTCCTCAGACCAACGCACAACTCTATATACGGAGCGCGATCACCTTTCCACACTTCCTTTAATCGAAACCATCGATTTCAACACAACCCACACTATCAATAGCATTCGCATCACCCCATTCCCTGCTGGACACGTTCTCGGCGCAGCTATGTTTTTGGTCTCAATCGCCGGCTTGAACATTTTGTTTACCGGAGACTATTCTCGCGAGGAAGATCGACACTTGATTCCAGCTGAAGTACCGAAGGGAATTAAGATCGATGTGCTGATTACAGAGTCTACATTTGGTATTTCGTCCAATCCACCCAGACTGGAACGAGAAGCTGCTCTCATGAAGTCAATCACAGGCGTCCTAAACCGTGGAGGTCGTGTTCTCATGCCCGTTTTTGCTCTTGGTCGTGCGCAAGAGTTACTTTTGATTCTCGAGGAATACTGGGAACGACACCCAGAACTACAGAAAGTTCCGATTTACTATATTGGTAATATGGCGCGTCGTTGCATGGTTGTATACCAGACATATATTGGCGCCATGAACGACAACATTAAACGACTTTTCCGGCAACGCATGGCCGAGGCTGAGGCGAGTGGAGATAAGAGTATAACGGCAGGACCATGGGACTTCCGCTTTGTTAGGAGTCTCCGAAGTCTAGAGCGATTTGACGATGTCGGCGGCTGCGTTATGATTGCATCGCCGGGTATGCTTCAAACGGGAACCAGCCGAGAATTGTTAGAAAGATGGGCGCCCAGTGAACGTAATGGTGTAGTTATGACAGGTTACAGTGTCGAAGGGACAATGGCTAAGCAACTGCTTAATGAGCCTGATCTAATCCCTGCTGTTATGTCTAAGGGCAATGCTGTCCAAGGTCGCGGACGAGTACCAGGGGGCAATGATGAAGATCAAAAAGTCATGATTCCCCGTCGTTGTACTATCGACGAAATTAGTTTTGCAGCCCATGTTGATGGTGTAGAGAACCGAAATTTCATTGAAGAGGTTGCCGCACCGGTTGTGGTATGTTGGTTCTACGAGGTTCACCTTTTGCTAGCTGCTAACCCGATGATAGATTCTGGTACACGGCGAAAAACACCAAATGATGCGACTGAAGTCCAAGCTACTCAGTCTCAACGCAGACAAGACCGTCAAAGTTAAGGTTTATACGCCTGCTAATTGCGATGAAGTTCGCATCCCCTTCAAGAAAGATAAGATTGCCAAGGTTGTTGGCAAACTAGCACAAGTTGCCCCCCCTCGGAACAAGATGATGGACAGTTAATGGCTGGAGTTCTGGTTCAAAATGGATTCGATCTATCACTGATGGCCCCTGATGATCTCCGAGAATATGCTGGTTTAACGACAACCACCATTACATGCAAACAGCACCTGACACTCAGCTCTGCTAGCATGGACCTGATCAAATGGGCTCTAGAGGGAACCTTTGGGGCCATTGAAAAGATTGGCAGTACCAAGGAAGGAAACAAGCCAGTCAATGGCGACGCAGGAGAGAAAGCCGATGAGGAAATCCCCATGGGAGAGACACAAGCATATCTGGTCATGGGCTGTGTGATCTTACGTCACCACCCGCGAACCCATGAAGTCGAACTGGAATGGGAGGGTAACATGATGAATGACGGTGTTGCCGATGCTGTCATGGCTGTGCTACTCACAGTTGAGAGCAGCCCGGCCTCAGTGAAGCGTAAGTGAAAGAACAAAGCCTACTTGATTTTCGCTGTTTGGAACTAACAGTATCTTCTTTACTTAGAATCGGCAAAACATAATCATCACCATCACCACCATCATGATGACGAGGACATCGATATGCAGCTGCCCAATCCCCACTCATATGTTGATGCCGACGACCGACTTTCTCGTCTCCTTATGATGCTCGAAATGCAATTCGGCTCCGAGATTTCTCCCATCGAGCGACCACGTATCCCAGCTGACCTTGCGACTGGCCCCACAGACGGCGAGCAGCCAACTGAACTTGACGAGGAGCGTGTTGCGGACATCGAGTCGGCGGAATTGGAGCGCCTTCATGCCTTGGGCATCCCCGTCCCTGGTATTGAAATCAAGGTGGATAAGCACGTTGCCCGTGTCTGGCTAGAGAACCTGGAAGTCGAATGCGCCAGTGCTATTCTACGTGACCGAGTTCGTATTGTTGTCGAACGGGCGGTTGAAACCATTGCGGGTCTCTGGGCAGCCAGTTCAATGCCTAAGGAGGCCGTCGTTCCAAATGGCTCCATGAAAACGCAAGAAGAAATCGAGGCTGCTGCTATTGAGAAGGCCGCTGCCATCGAGACGCAAGGTTAATTTTATGTACGATAATAGGATATCCTCAATGAACAGACTTGGGCATCGGAAGCCCTAAATAGCGTTTGGTCTTTTAACTTCTTTTCGTCTCTAGATAATGACCTAGACAGATTGCACGTATCCCGAGTCCACGGGTTCATTGATATTCAATGTTATACCAGTATCATGTCACGATATGGTGTATCAAATATGTATGTGAATTGCCCGTCTGACCGTAGATAAAATTGGTTGAATCCACACCTCACGTAAATTATGGCCAGTAACCACGGTTGGTGATAGAAGGCCCATCTTGGCAAGCGTCCCGAGCGCATAGTAAACGTAGATAACAGCTAAATCGGAGATTAGTCCGCTGCCGTGAGCCGATATAGTGCGGTATCAAACCCGGACAACTAGCCAATAGAGAACTCGGGATCTCCAAATCGGCATGCCGAGTCCACTTTACCCCGCTGGCCTTTGCCTCGGGTTAAAGGTTAAACGAAGTATAAGAGGAACTTAATCTCCGATCTTGTGGAACGAATCATCTCTACCTCTCATCATATTTTACATTTCAATTTCAACCAATCTTGAAATGACTGATCCCAGTATGTTTAGCCTTCATTGTATTTAATGTTTAGTCTTGCTCACATTGATGACAGAACAGACATCTACTGCATCGCGCAGTGCGGTTCTACACCGAGATAGCCATTTCATTCCCAAGAGAGCTATCGGTGGTAAAGGATGCTATATTAATTTGGAAGATGGCACGAAGTTCCTTGATTCAACTGGTGGCGCTGCTGTCTCATGTCTAGGACATGGTAATGAAAAGGTTCAGCAAGCCATCAAAGATCAGTTGGATCAAATTTCCTACTGCCACACAGCATTTTTCGGAACAAATGTTACAGAAGAACTGGCTCGCGCTCTAGTTGATTCCACTGGAGGAAAAATGTCCAAGGTATTCGTCATGAGTTCAGGTGAGAGCAAGCTCTTTGGCTTGCGTTAGATAACTGTCGCTAAAGTTGTTATGTCATTTAGGCTCTGAAGCTGTTGAGGCTGCGATGAAACTGGCCCGTCAGTACTTTCTTGAGTTATCTGACCCCCAAACTGAAAGGACACGGTTCATTGCACGTCTGCCCTCTTATCATGGTACTACTCTTGGTGCACTGAGTATCGGTGGGCATGTTCATCGAAGAGAGCCATTCTTGCCTCTACTCTCGAAAAATATCTCTCATGTCTCCCCGTGCTATGCCTATCGTGGTAAGAAAGACGGCGAGTCTGATGCGGATTACGTTAGTCGATTGGCGGCAGAGTTAGATGCGGAGTTCAAGCGAGTGGGGCCGGAGACTGTTTGTGCATTTATTGCAGAACCTGTGGTTGGAGCGGTAAGATAATTCGAGTCATTCTTGGAAAAGTATTGAGTATCTGACAAGATCGGAAAATTAGGCATTAGGTTGTGTTCCAGCGGTACCGGGATATCTCCCCGCTATGAAAGCTGTGTGCGAAAAGTATGGTGCTCTATTTATTCTGGATGAAATCATGAGTGGAATGGGTAGATGCGGAACTCTACACGCTTGGGAACAGGAGGATGTCGTTCCTGATATTCAGACCATCGGCAAGGGTCTGGGTGGTGGCTATGCTCCTGTCTCTGGAATGTTGATAAATGATTCCATCGTACAGGTTTTGGATAAGGGAACTGGTTCGTTCCGACACGGGCAGACATACCAGGGCCATCCGATCTCTTGTGCGGCTGCCTTGGCTGTACAAAAGGTGATTCAAGAGCAGTCGCTTTTGGAGAATGTGCGGAGTATGGGCACCTACTTGGAGCAACAGCTACGCCACCGTTTTCGAAACCACCCACATGTCGGCGATATTCGTGGAAAGGGATTGTTCTGGGGGGTGAGAATTAATTCAATAATTGAGTCCTGCAATTTGATATGCTGACGAAAAGCTCTATTGATAGATGGAATTTGTCAAAGACAAGACTACTAAAGAGCCATTCGATAAGGAGACACGGCTATCGGCTTTGATTCAAGAAAAGGGGCTGTGTCCGGAGTTTGCTATTTCGTTGTATGGATGCTCCGGCACAGTTGATGGTATCAGTGGTGATCATGTTATCTTGGCACCGCCTTATATCGTGTCGAAAGAGGAGATTGACATTATTGTTGATGTTACTGCAAAGGTTCTGGAGGCGGTTTTCAATGAGATAAAATAGTGATAGTATGATCTCGGGACGCGGATGCTCAGGGTTACGCTGGGGTAATAGCCTTCAAGTTTACATCATGATATGGGTACTTTCATCCGCAGGGCTGGGCGCCAGAGAATTTGCTCATAGATACAATCATGAAACCTGATCATCCAATTCCTCCACCTTGTTTCCAAGATAATACAGTCAGTCTGAAGCACGCCAACAGGTAAATGGGGCAAATTGTGGTAAATGAACTTGTATGGTACCCAATCTGGAGGCTCCTGTAAGCGCAAATCAACCTCTCTTCCGTGATCTTCTAAAATTTGGTGGAGCCTAGCAACTTGGGCATCAATAATTGTATGTTCAACCACCCTCACTCCGGTAATTTTGTTTAGAGGTAGCTCCTGTTGAGCTGAGGCCCACAGCCTTTTGCGTCTATCACTCAATGACCGGACAAAGAGAGACTCATATCTTTGCCAGGATCTCAGGCAAGGTACAAAACTTTCAATGCAAACGGACTCATATACCCCATCCGAATCGAGCAGCTCGACTGAATCTGGGGGACCGTGAAGCATTAATGCCCATCAAATAAACTCCGGATCTGCACCATAATCTAAGAGAACCCGTACACCTTGCGGCCAACCAATCGCAAAATCAAGGAGTGTTAATCCATCAACTATATCGTGAGGCTGGACAATCCCCGAACAAAGAGCGTGGGTTAAATCCCTAAGTGATTCTCGGATAATAACCTTGATGATATCTGGGTATGATACGGCTTGTCATAGTATTAGTTTCCGTCTGCACCGAAAGCATGAAATCTGAATACATACCATCCTCATCTTTTGAAAGCATCAATGGCATATTTACTTTTCCTCTCAGGGACCGAGGTGTCACTGAAAGAGGCCCCCCAATTTGCACAAGGTAAGTCGCAAGGAAGTGGTGGTCATATGTCCAGACAACTTCATTGCACAGCCTGGTCAAAATTTCCCGTCCTGAATGATTATCTGGAACAGAACCAAGGCTTCCCAGGAATTTGGCCCATTTGAACAGGGCTAGTATTTGACTTTCCAAATTCCACATACTATTCATGCTGATTGCCTAACGCCTCAAATTAGCATCTTGTTACCAGGGGGAAGCTACTATAAATGGTATACTTACATCTATGAACGAAACCATGCCATATAACTTCCAGCACATGTCATCAGGTTTGGCCTTTCCGTCTGAGAATGCGAGCTGGAGTTCATATATCAGATCATCTATTAGTGTCATTGTCTTAGGAATAGGGGTGAACGTTCTAGAGTGAAGGCAACGCATGGTTTGGTACTACCAGCTATCCCATCCACAGACAACCTGAAACTGAGCGTTGGTAAAAATGAAAGTTTTCTGGCTCCAGCAAGAACAAAAAGTGAAAATGATACGGTGACGCTAAAACGTTCGCTGTAATAACTGTAGGGCTTCACGTTGGACCCTATACGATCCTTAGAGCGATAGCGGCACTCTAGATCCAGTGTGGATTGAGCCTCACGGCATGAGCAAGATGACCCCAGAGCTGGCGCTCTCGTAGTTGAAGCCTGGCTGATGGAAAAATGCTACCGAAAAAATCAAGCTCTGCCAAATCAACTTATCTTGGGTAATTACAATTATTCCGCTGTCAGCATTGCCCCTGGAACCAACGATGGAGGTCGATATACCATCAAATTCTGCAATGTCACGGTTAAATACACACACCCCGGCTGGAACGATACAATCAACACCCAAATTTGGCTCCCCTTGGATGATTGGAATGGCAGATTCCAAGCTTTAGGATGTGGAGGCTACGCCACAGGACTTGGGTCTATCTACCTCACTCACGCAGTTGCGCAAGGGTACTCATCTGCCTCCACTGATGGTGGTTTTGCAACAGGCGCAACCACCATTCCAACAGATTTTTCTTGGGTCCTCAGCAGCAAGGGAAATGTCAATTGGTTTTTTTTTTGAGAACTACGCATTCAAAGCAACAAACGACATGGCTATCATTGGGAAGCAGATCACCATATCCTACTACGGGAGAGCGGCAAACTATTCGTATTTTACTGGGTGTTCTGGTGGTGGACGACAAGGTCTGATGATGGCGCAAACTTTTCCAGATGCTTTCGATGGGATTTTGGCCATTTCACCAGCAAGTCATCTAGAGACATTTATTCCTGCTGCCTACTGGCCTGAGCAAGTCATGAACCAGAATGAATATTACCCATCACCTTGTGAAGTCGAAGGCTTCACCAAGGCTGCAGTTAAGGCGTGTGATCGGATGGACGGAGTGGAAGAGGGTATCATTAGCGATCCTAGCATATGCAATCTCACTGCGTACAGCTTCGTCGGACAAAACTTCATATGCAATGGGACTCGGTATTCCCTGGCTGCGTCTGGCGCACAGGTTGTTGAAGCTGCTTGGTCTGGTTCCGGAAAGGAAGCTTGGTTCGGACTGAACAAGGGCGCTGCTATAGGCAGCTACTATGTCCCAACTGCATGTTCTGGTAACGGCACATGCTATTCCTCCGGTGCTCCTCTATTCGGCAAGTGGATTTCGAATCTCGTCGTTAAGGATCCGGATCTTGCGATCAACAACATGACCAATGCGGCATTTTCCAAAGCCCTACACGCATCATTTGTCGGTAACGTGGAGTCTTATCTGTCAAGCTTCGATGCCAATGGTGGTAAGATGATCACCTGGCATGGAATTGCGGATGAAGCCATCCCCCCAAATGGAACGATCAAGTACTACGACGAAGTACTTGATAATGACCCTGAAGTTCAGGACTTCTATCGTTTCTTTGAGGCGCCGGGGGTTGCACACTGCTATGTTGGACTGGGACCTATTCCGAATGAAGCAATCTCTATATTGGTGGCCTGGGTGGAGAAGGATGATGTGCCTGTCATTTTGCATGCTACGAATGGAAAATAACAACCACCGCGCGAGACTTGTGTCCGTATCCTCTTTAGCAGAAGTATATCGGGGGAGACCCAAGAAAACCAGCATCTTTTGTCTGTGCCAGAAGGGCATAATCACTGGAGTGATGCTCCCTGACATTATTTCTACTTCAGGTTCCAACTTGAACCTTGGTTGAGAGGAGACCTCGGGAGATTTTACTACTCAAGTGCTTCAATGCTCTCTCATTTACAATTCACAGTATTCATCTTTGACACATTTCATTCTACCTAGGTATATTTTTATATTGATCATGATGGTTCTTCAATATTGTTAGTATTGTATGACCAACATGCTCCTCACTAGCATGTCCATATATAAATATTAGACTTAAATAGCTTATGAAAACCGATTGCGCTTCATAAGACTCGAGAAAGCATGGTCGAAAATAACAAAAGTTCCAATTTTTTGAGTAGTATACTGTGTACTATACTATAAAGAAAGCTTAATATTAGTAATGGTAGTTTGAGTTGTACTAGATTGTAACAAGATGAGAAATTTTACTCTAATAATAGTCGCAGCTCTAGGAAGCTATACCCGTGAACAGATAAAAATCACAGCATCTGTAAGTCTTCAGTATCTAGTAGACTCACCTGGGCTACCTGGGCTACCAGGGCTTCATGCATGATGCAAGCGGGTCTGAATCGGGTTAGGCCGAGATAATTAATCTGGTGACAGAAAACCCGAGCTTGATATAGCCATGGATCCATGACTTTAGGGAGTAGCTAAGCTGCAGATTATCCTAGCATAGCTGGGTGAAAATTTGGAATATAAAGATGCTGGCTCTTTCGCTGATTTGAAGCACACAGATAAATAGAACGAACGGGGTGCGGCCATGATGCAAGCAAGGGTGGAGCGGGGGAAACCCGCTTCTTTAGGTTGAAATGGGTTTTCCCAGGTTGTGTTGGCACCAATGAAAGCTATAATGATAACTTCAAACGCGACAATATTGATTGTGGCCAGCCCTACAAGGATAATGAGTTTCATATCTGCCTAGTAATGACAGTAAGCCCGGTGACCAAGAAGTGATTCATGTGTTGTGAGTCAGTCAGGCGGGGCCCCTATCTAGGCGGCTGGCCAACTAGTGTGCTTAGTGTGCCTAGTTTGTTATAGTATGTCAGTCCATACGTGCATCCAGTACCAGTATCACGAACAAACAGATAAATCCACTGAATCACAACCACTCTGGATCTTTCAATAACAAAAAGCAAATATGCGTAATCAGACCAAAAAGACAAATGAGACCAAACCCTGGGACAGTAAAGGAAGACCGCCGAAAGAGGACCCGATCACATAGCATGTACATGTAATCATCCCATCCGATCGCAGCCCCTTCCCCACTCCCGCCTCCTCCGACACTCCTCGCGCCTTTCCTAGTGACGTTGTGGCTCCAAAAAAAAACCTCCAACCTTTTCTTTATAAACCCCCCCCCCCTCTTTCCCCACCCATCTCTCGCCGGCAATCAGCCGCTTCACTTCACCACGCCTCCCTCCACGCGGAAGAGAAAGGCGGCCGAGGCGGCGATTGCGGACGACACCCTGCCTCTCCTCAAATCCGCCACCAAGGCTGCCCATACCCGAAACGCCACTTCCACCTCTTTGTCAGACCCGCCCAGCGACAAGGACGAGCAAGAGGATACAGAACAACCAAAGAAAAACGACAAAGGCCCTGTCCCGGACTCGGAACAACTGACTGGCTTTGTTAGCTCATCGAGTAGTTCGGTCGGCCAGAGTCAGTGCCTAAAGAAGAGGGGGATTGCGACACCCGCGACTACGACCGCAAGCATGGACTCGGATGATGATTTCATGAGCGATATGTCGAGTGATGATTTTCTTGGAACACAGGGAAGTGACGATGAGAGTATTGGAGAAGGTGAGTGGATCGTGAAATCATGAAGTGTGAATCAAGAAGTAATCTTGGTTTCACATCCCCCTCCCTAGTTAACTCAGGTGAATCTTATCTAACTGCTCAATTATGAACTAGACTTTGGTGATCTCGACACAGGATTTTCAGATGACAAGGAACTCATTTCGCATCAACGACAACCATTCGAGGTCGAGTTCAAGGTTCTAGACCCCGCGGAGATTGAACGTGAACAGCTCGGTCAGATCAACAACGTCGCAGCTATTCTAGGCTTACCGCCAGAGTCGGCAGCTATCCTTTTACGCTTTCGAAGATGGGTACAACAGGAGAAGTTGATTGAGGAGTATATATCTCGAGAGGATGAGATACTCGAGGAGGCTGGCCTGGGTACTAAATGCCAGGGGACGGCGAAGACGGAGGTGGTGAGCGATTTCATGTGTGAGATCTGTTGTGAAGATGGGCCGGATCTCGAGACGTATGCTATGCGCTGTGGACATCGGTTCTGCGTGGACTGTTATCGGCATTACCTGGCTGGGAAAATCAAGGAAGAGGGCGAGGCCGCTCGTATCGAGTGTCCGGGCGATAATTGTCATCGGATTGTTGACTCCAGGTCGCTGGATCTCCTCGTAACTGATGATCTTAAGGACAGGTACGCTCTATGTCTTTATCCCTTTCCTCCCTTTTGTTGAATATATTCACTGACTATAATAAGGTACCGTGAACTCCTTACACGTACTTATGTTGATGACAAGGAAAACCTTCGCTGGTGCCCAGCCCCCGAATGCCAGTATGCGATTGACTGCTCTGTCAAACAACGAGATCTATTCCGCATCGTCCCCACAGTCGCCTGTGCATGCAAACATGACTTCTGCTTTGGATGTGCTCTCAAGGACCACCAACCCACTCCATGTGCCCTGGTAAAGAGATGGCTGCAGAAGTGTGAAGATGATTCAGAAACGGCCAACTGGATCTCTGCCAATACGAAAGAATGCCCACGATGCCAATCAACCATCGAGAAGAATGGTGGTTGCAATCACATGACATGTCGGAAATGCAAACACGAGTTCTGTTGGATGTGCATGGGCCTTTGGTCCGAGCACGGTACTGCTTGGTATAACTGCAGTCGATATGAAGAGAAATCAGGGTCAGACGCTCGGACCGCCCAACAAAAGTCACGCGCATCATTGGACCGATACTTACATTACTATAACCGATATGCGAATCACGAGCAATCGGCTAAGCTGGATAAGGACTTATACCTGAAGACTGAAAAGAAGATGACCAGTCTACAATCACAATCAGGTCTGTCCTGGATCGAGGTGCAGTTCCTTGATACTGCATCGCAGGTATTGCAGCAATGTCGCCAGACTCTTAAGTGGACATATGCTTTCGCCTTCTACCTGGAGAGGAACAACCTTACCGATATTTTTGAAGATAACCAAAAGGACCTCGAGATGGCAGTTGAGAGTCTCAGTGAGATGTTCGAGAAGCCCGTTCCGGAGCTAGCCGAGCTCAAAGTAGACATCCTGGACAAGACCGCCTATTGCAACAAGCGTCGGGTCATCTTGCTAAGTGACACTGCTGAGAATTTGAGTAAAAGTAAGTTATTCAGACCACATTTTGTATATGTGACTCTACACATATACACAATCACGTCCAGATAACTTAAATATGGATACTAACATAATGAACAGAAGTATGGAAATGGAATATCGAAAATTGGCACTAACCCAATCCGCCTACCGATCTCCCCGAGACATTGACGACGTGAATGAATATCTTTTGCTCTTTTCTCTCCTATTTCCAGTCTACACCTTTCCTCCCGGTCATGTTCCCTAACATTCCCTAATCCGACGAGATGACCTCCGCATACCTGACGTAAACCCGGATCCATCTCTGAAGTTTTCGATACTCTCATCATTTCCAAGGCGCGGCGCACAAGGTGTTGAGATCTTATTGTGTTGGGATACGGAGACAGATGGAAATCCTTTATATTTCATACTATATTTCATAGCCAGATAGCGATTTTCTTATTTATTGCATTTCTTCTATTCTTGATAGTATTTAGGTAGTAAACCAGACAAAATCAAACGCGAGGTGGTTTACGTTTCAATATGATGTCCTATAAATACAACTACTACTAGAGTATCATTAATCAAACCTGTCGAATTGTGACATTTACCACAAGCCCATACACTCAGGCTGTACTCAGCCAGTCTCCTAGGTACTACACAACGGCCACTTACGTAGCCCTCTTAGAAGTTGGACCAGAACCATACATAGATCCCAAAGGAACACCCGCAAAATTCAATGGAAATAGCCGACAGTCGGTAGCGATACAAACTCCGACATTCCCAAATTCTCCATTCCTCCTCCATACTCCGCGGAGTCCTCCGTGGTAAATCCCTATCTCCATCCCCATTCAAGTAGTTTCAGCCGAACCCTACAAAAAAGCACTAGTACATGCATGATTGATACACACACTTCAACCCCCATCACAAGAGGTGTTGAACGCTCCAAAACGAACATCTCTTTAGGCAAGCCATCCCGAATTCCCTAAGAATAATTGAATAAACAGGGGAAATTGAAATTAAGTGGAACCGATCAGTTACGTACAGAGCCGACCGTGAAGAGTTAGTCTTAGCGGCTGAACCGGACCTCGGCAGGCCGGACGGCGTAGTCGCGTGGTCAGTCTTAGTAGTGAGTGGACTTATCCCCTACATCCTTCTAACTAGTGAATCAGTATCCATGTAATTGCCCCTGTCTCTTTCTGTCTGTGCTGGAAAAAAACTTTGAAAGAGTTCGAATAACCCCGGGCCTTACTACTGAATGCAATACAGTAGATATGTAATTCTATATACATAGTAGCATAGCATTTTCAGTCCCATGTAGAGTATGAAATAAAATTTTCTTGGTTTTCAACGGTGATCATCTTCTTCCAACCTTCTCGAATGGTTTATCTGGTCCACTTGGCCTCTTTATATGCTCTAGTCACACTAGTTCCCGATCGAAGGGAGTTTGTTGAAATTGGAACCTTCAGCGGCTTATCAGATTGATGATTTTTACGGGGAACGATACAGGGGCGGTACGGGATTTAGGTTCCCCATGTGCTGGATTAGGAGTGTGAAGGGGTGATACGGTATTATTGGCTGTTTTGTGAATACCGTACCGGTTTGGGAACCTCCGTCATCGGATGGTCTGGACTGGCTCCTGAGTAATCGCAGGAACAAAGAACAATTTGCGTTTTCTCAGTGGTGTTGAAGAAGATATTGGAGAAGGAACAGCAAAAAGAAACCTATTATAATATAGAGCGAATTGTATATAGATGGAAATAAATTAAAAAGTGACAAAAAAAAGTAACCAAGTAGCCCCCGAGGTATGGCTCGGAGATCTTAACAAGGAATGGCTCGGACCCCCGGACAAGAATTGAGCGATACTCGGTGCTAGACAATAATTTCTTTAGCGTCGCGAATTCTGAATTCTGAATTCTTTCCCTATCGTATATCCTCTTCTCTCGATTCCAGATACATTCTTAATTATATTTATATTGGAGATTGTTTTCATTCACAAAACCTATACTCACGACTTTGAGTGCAAACTACCGGCCCCCTGGTTTCTGTTTGGTTGGGTGCCCGGAGAACCCCATTGATCGCTCTCTCACTACCTTTGGCATCTCCCGTTTTTCTGCTCAACACCTCACCACCACCACAACGCAACCACGCTCTCCTCTCCTCCCTCCTCTCCCCTCTCTTTCTACGACTTGCGCCGGCTCTGCCTGAGCTAGCCGAGCTTCATGGCGGCACCTGAAGATAGTGAATTTGAGTAAGTGCGGAACCTCCGCGGGCTGGCTGGGCTTGATTCTCCAGGCACGGGTTTTGTTGGTAAAGGCCGCGGAGCACTTTGGCAGCCTGGAATGGATGACCTGTCATCTTGCAAGAAAGAACTCATGCTTACCGGTGGTACTGCTTGCTTTTTTCTTTGCCGCTCCGCCGGAATTGCCAATGATGCTTGCTTTGTGCTCCGGGTATTGAGACTATGCTATGCGCTTTGGACTTTTGAGCCTGGACCTGACTGGAATTCCTCAATACAATGATGTAGCAAAGGCTAACGAGTTACTTTCTTACGTTAATTAGTTATGAAGCCCTCCCTTCAAACTATGGCTTAGGCCAAAACATGCTTGCGGGTGCCTTTGCGGGAATCGCGGTATGTTCGGCACTAAGATAATTCGTCGGTGCGGATTGTGGCTGATTAAATTATTAGGAGCACTCTGTGATGTACCCCGTTGACTTGCTCAAGGTAAGTTTTACTCTACAGAAAGATATCTTTGGAATTCTGTTGGGTCGCTGACTGGATTTCTCTTCGTTAAGACCCGCATGCAAGTTCTGCACCCATCCACCGGCGGTCTCTACACAGGGTTGACCAACGCGGTTTCCACCATTTACCGGATTGAGGGATGGCGCACTCTATGGAAGGGTGTTTCCAGTGTCATTGTTGGTGCTGGTGGGTTTTTCATTCCAAAAAAGAAAATATTGAGTTGCGAAAATCGACGGGACTGACATTTTGGCGGTTTAGGACCGGCACACGCGGTGTACTTCGGTACATATGAGCTGGTGAAGGATATGGCTGGTGGTAATGTGGACGGAGGGCATCATCCTCTTGCTGCTGGTAAGAAATCATTACTGGAAATTGGAAACAATGCATAGCGTGAACGTGGCATAACTGACGAGAAACTTAGCTTTGAGTGGAGCTTCGGCGACCATTGCCAGCGATGCATTGATGAACCCATTTGACGGTAAGTGGTTTATGAAGCGATGTCGTCAAGAAGACTCAAAAACTAAATCTTAATTGGAATAGTCATCAAGCAGCGTATGCAGGTCCACGGTTCGGTACACAAGAGCTTGATGCAGTGCGCTAAGACACTCTATCGCACTGAGGGTCTCCAAGCCTTCTACGTCTCCTATCCTACAACCCTTTGCATGACTGTCCCCTTCACAGCCACCCAATTCGTCGCCTACGAGTCCATTTCGAAGGTGATGAACCCTAAGAACGAATACGACCCCTTCACGCATTGTATGGCTGGTGGTCTTGCTGGTGCATTCGCTGCGGCTATCACAACACCGCTGGATGTCGTAAAGACCCTTCTTCAGACCCGTGGTCTTGCCCAGAACGAGGAAATCCGTAGCGCCAAGGGCCTGGTTAATGCGGCTACAATCATCAAGCGCCAGTTCGGCTGGGGTGGATTCCTGCGCGGCATGCGCCCCCGTATTATCTCCACGATGCCCAGTACTGCGATCTGCTGGTAAGTACTGCTTTGCTTTCTTCCGATTTTGATATCCTATATCTAATACTGATTTCATTTAGGACATCTTATGAGATGGCCAAGGCCTACTTCAAGAACCTCGATTAAAAAGGTCTCTCCTAATCTCCTACCCTCATCGGATCCTTCCATAATTCTCCTTCCACTCCTTCGATATCCGATATTCTGCAGATTCGTCGCAATGCCTTAACGATCTATTTCTCCGATCTCACTTGGTGATGAGCGCTTACTCCTGTTCTGAGGTTCAAGGTAACGGGCAGAGCCCGACCTTCCCCAGACAGGAGCGCAATCACCAAAACAACAAAACCAAAAACAAACCTCGAAAAAAGCCGGAGAATAAACAGAACTGAATCGGGCCCGCTGTCGATCCTCGTGCACCATTGGAATATTGGAGCTCCCTTGCAAACAAACTACACCTTCTAAAAGCGATGCTAGCGATGTACAGACAGGTATGGTAAAAGGGTGTTTATTTGGATGACACCTTCTGTTCACTACTTTTTGACAAGCCGGTCTGAAGATCGGAGTGAACCTATTCTTTTTTATATTCTAAATGTTCTTTTCTTGACGTGTTTTCCTGGCGTTGGGAAACATGGGAAACCTCGTTGATTATGATTTGGGGGTTATCTCTTGCATCCATAACTGTTTTAGTTTATTTGATTCTGCATGTACCGATAGAACGTGTCACCACGAGGAAATCTAGACATGATATCCGATACTGAATATTTTGAGACGACGTAGAGAGTATAATGGACTTCGGGGGCTGTGCATAGTGATGTTGTAGATGGTCGCCTGATGCGGTGTGCATGTGTATGTCCACCTATATGGTATCTCTTTGTTCCATAGCTCAAATAGACATCACTCAACCCAAGACCAACTAATATCTGTAATTCATAAATTTCCGCCCCTATCTGTGTCCACAATTCGTATACAAATAACCTCGTTGGAGCCTTTTTGCGCAGAGTCCGCATGCAGTAACTGCCGAACCCGAACGACGTCACGCGAAAAATCCTCCCCTCACAAACGGCGGGAGATCATCGCCTTCCCCTTCTCCCCACCACAACCAACGTGAAATGGGTGCGGGCCTGTGTTTTTCCAATGATGCGCCCACGGCCTGCGTCTTCCATGCAGAAGACGTATGATGAGTGCTATCTACTGTGCTCCACAGCCGTCTATTTCGAGGGCCAGGTAAGCAAGCAGTTCCTCCAGGAAGACCCGGTCGGGAAGGATCCAATTTACTCATGACATCAGAACAACGAAGAGGAAGCATTGAGATCCTGGAGATCCGCCCTCGAAACCATCTATCACCACAATGCCCGCCGAGTATCCTCAACCTACACCCCGAAATCCGAAACAGAGAAAGCATTGCAAGATTCCATTCGGGCTTTAGAGACCCAATGCCGCGAGCGAGTCGATCTGCTGTCAGCACTGCGTGAAAGTCGGAAAGAGACAGCCGAAGCGAAGGCGAATGGTGAAAAGACCACTGGACATCTGTCAAAGGGTAAAAGCGCTTCGAATACACATCAACCGCCTACTGGCATTACACATACGCCAGGTTGGATTGGCGGTGGGACTATTCCGGCGGTGGGATATACGGATCTTTCTAAACCGGCTGCTATTCCTGGACGTCCTCTTGCACCGCTGAGGTATCATTCTGAGACTCTATCTGTGAACGACGATTCCAATCACCACACCGGTCTTTCCCCAGCCGATTCACCCGCCGTACGAATGAATTCCAATTCATCGGAAAAGACGAAGTCGCGTGGCTCCAGTCCTGAACGACGGAAGCCGATGCTGACAACCCTGCGCAACACGGATGGTAAGAAGAATGGCAAGAAGGCCAAGGTAACTACCAAGAAGAAAGAGTCACGACCAGCTGCCTCTAAAGCAGCTGGAATGGCATGGGGCAGTACTTTGCGGTCCGGATCAGGCGAGAAGGCCGTCGCCGATGCAGCTGCCATCGCTTCATCACGAAGTGCAGCCAATGCCGAGCCAAGAACTAGCTCTGGAGATGAACCATTAGCAGCGAGGCATCATGTCTTGCGGAAGAACTCCGCTGCAGACCGTATCCCGGCTGCGCATTGGCGGGAGCCTCAGCAGTCATCACCGGTTCGGTCATCACCACGCCCTGTGCGGCAACCCGTGGCTCCTGAAAGGCGACGGCCTGATCCGTCTAGAGTCGCGGTTATGCCGGATCCGAATGATTACACCTCATCTTCTCCTAAGCCATCTGTTAAACCTAAACCCGAAGGTTTGAGATCTACACTTCAGCCCCCACCCCGGATGACGCCAGTCACCAGATCCGAGGGTAACTCTCGTCCCGCAACACCTCGACAAGATCGAGATACAAATATGTCTAGGAGTACACCGCGAACAAACTCGGCACCACGGATTATAAAACCTGGGGTGTCAGCTTATGTGTCACCGTCGTCAGGGAGTGATGATGTACAACGTGGTATGGGCCGAATGAACATTTCACCGGCAAATGGTAGCAGTGCCACACGCCGGAAGCCACCGCCTGTTAAACGACGACAGACTCCACCATCTAGTGACCAAGAGTCAATAGGAAGACATTCGACAGATGATGAAGCAGAAGACGAACATGAAGAGGAAGATAACACTGATATCTTGAAGATCTTGAACAAGTTGCCTAAGGGCGTGGATCTACAGTCAGCGCGCCAGATCCTAAATGATATCGTCGTACGCGGCGATGAGGTACATTGGGATGATATCGCTGGATTAGAGGGCGCAAAGAAAGCCCTCAAAGAAGCAGTAGTCTATCCATTCCTCCGACCTGACCTTTTCTCTGGACTGCGCGAGCCCGCACGTGGCATGTTACTCTTCGGACCACCAGGAACAGGCAAAACAATGCTTGCACGAGCAGTCGCAACAGAATCAAAGTCGACATTCTTCTCTGTATCATCATCAACCCTCACCTCAAAATGGCACGGTGAGAGCGAAAAGCTCGTACGTGCCTTATTCGGCTTGGCAAAGGTTCTCGCTCCATCAATCATCTTTGTTGACGAGATTGACTCCCTGCTCTCAGCACGATCATCGGGCTCTGAGCATGAAGCATCCCGTCGATCTAAAACAGAGTTCTTGATCCAGTGGTCTGATCTGCAACGTGCAGCTGCAGGCCGTGAACCATCTGCCCGAGACAAGAAAGAGGGAGACGCCACTCGTGTCCTCGTCTTAGCTGCAACGAATATGCCATGGGATATCGACGAGGCTGCCCGTCGTCGCTTTGTCCGTCGACAGTATATCCCTTTACCAGAACACCATGTTCGTGAACAACAGCTACGCAGGCTTCTCAGTCATCAGCACCACGAGATGAGTGATTCAGATACGCAGGTCCTAGTTCAAGTAACAGATGGTAATATTTTTATCTACCTTTACTTTCCCTTTGGAATAATCCAACTAACATCATTGATTAGGTTTCTCCGGCTCAGACATAACAGCTCTCGCTAAAGATGCAGCCATGGGTCCCCTCCGCAACCTCGGTGAAGCTCTCCTCCACACACCCATGGATCAAATCCGACCTATAAAGTTCCAAGATTTCGAATCAAGTCTTTACTCAATTAGACCGAGTGTTTCCTCAGACGGACTTCGCAAATACGAAGAGTGGGCTAAAGAATTCGGCGAAAGAGGTGGCTAAGACTACTACGATTTCTGTCATCTGTTCCCTTTCCTCTTTTTCTCTTTTGATCTCACAACGCGAGGCATACACGATACTCGGCCGGTCCGACTTAGGTCTTAAGAGGGTCTCTTGGTTCTGTTTTGTTCTGCTCTGTGCTTTACTTTGTTTTCCTCCGCTATTCTATACGGCGTCGGATTCTTTCTGTTTCTGACTCTGAGTCTGTTCGAACCTTGAATTGGGGCTGGAGCACGTGGCATGGTGTAAGGTGGTGTGGCTTTGTTAGATTTTCGATTTCTTTTTTTTTTTCTCTTTTCTCTTTTGGTGGTTTGGTGCTGAGTTGGGCTTCCAGGTTGGAGTTGATGTTTACGATCGATACTCTGTTCTTGGTACATACGATATGATGTATATTTCTTTCCTCTTTTCTCTTTTCTCTTTTCTCTTTTCTCTTTTCTCTTTTCTCTTTTCTCTTTTCTCTTTTCTCTTTTTGTTTTTAAAGCCTTATGCACTTTGCATTCCGAATGAAATCAATTGAACCCTGTGCATTCTTGCCAGTCCAAATCCAGCTTCCTGAGACTATGTTGCTTTGATAGGATTCTTCTGCCATATTAATAATGTTGTAATAGGCTGAGCCCGCGCTAGTCCAGCTAGAACCTGCATCTGGAGATTGTAACTGGCAGCATAGTAAGTCTCACGGACAGTATCTGACCCATCCTCTCCGGAGCGACGCTTGCGAGTCATGCTGGGGACTGGACGGATAGAGGGTAGGGTGAATGATACGGATGGACGAGTAGCTCTGAATGAATTGAGCTCTGAAGAGGGGTTTTAGGGAGATGGAAAGGAAAAAGAAAAAAAAAATGAGGAGGGTGAGGTTAAATAGTTAGGACGGAGCACGTAGAAGCCGGGACAAGTGAGGTGAGAGATTCCACTGTATTATAACACTGTGGATGGCCTTGCTCTGTAACCGATGGCTGAGTTTAGGCACGGACAGGATACAGGATAATACAGACAGGATAATACAGACAGGATAATACGGGATACAAGGTGATATAGAACATGAAGGGAAAGCGACGCGAAGGGAAACCTGGCTATTGGGGCGGGGCGGTGCGTAGCAGCTCGCGGTCGTGGTACTCTTGGACAAGCTGTTCGCAACCGATGAGGTCGTAGTCACGAACCCCCTCATCATCCAGGACAGTTCTGCAGACAATAATTTGGACCACACATTCAACGATCAGGAGATACATTAGAAAGGATCATAAGAAGAGATAGGAACTTGACTTACTTCAGAAGAAATATCCATCTCTAGGTCGAGTTTCGAGTGATAGCGCCGCCAAAGATCAGCAGTCCCAAGAGAAAATACAAAGACACTTGCTATACCCCAAGTGTTTCACGCACTCCTCAGGAGGGACCATCTCGATCACAATAATTGTACAAACTGCGGAAACCCCGGCTCCCCCGTGGCTTAAGGTCTATACCTTTTGTATCCTTTAGGATAGAAGATACAGCTCCAACCAACTTCTTCATTTCAACGAACAAGGGACAAGTCAATATCGCCAAACACCTGGGCAGCTATGATTAGCATCAACACTATCCAAAACCCTGAGCAAACGATTTCGGATCTCGACGGCGGAAAATTTTTGACACGCTTCGGTGGAGGGCCAAAGGCCCTGTTGCTTCAGAACGAACAATAAATACCTTGTTCGTACTCCCAGGTCGCAGTCTGCATTCTTGTATTTGTTATCACAGGTATGATACCTTCGTGCATCTTCTATGAGAACCTGTTCACATGAGGTGCAGAGCACCTTTTTTAAAGCCCACGATTTCCATCTCGAGGCGTCGCTTGCGATCCGACTGATAAAGGTTTGCATTTCGATGTCTATCAGTCATACTTGTTGTGTTGGCTAATTGCAACTCTTTTTTTGGCGAATTGCCGAAATGTCATCCGGTAGCCAATGGCATTGCCCAAATCCAACCTAGTCGTCATAGAATCTGCATCGATGGAGTGAATAGCTTCACCCAATGGATCGGTTTCATGGAGCGTAGCATTTTCTTCTTTCGTGGGATACAGCGGTTTAAGTCGAAGCCGCCCATTTACAAGGCGCAGTAAGTCATCTGTGAAATGTTAAATTACTTCCTATGCTTGGGGTGAAGAAATACACACTTCTAAATGAGATCGGGCATTGATGCCAAACTCTCAAAATTGGCCTCTTCGTCGTAAAAGGTAGGCGCCAGTCGGATCTGAGCTTTGGCTGAATAGATGGAGAAGATATCCGCCAAGCGAAGGTAGTGTATGGCAAGGAGAATCAGCCCGTGCTCCTCAGCTGTAGTAAGACTTGATTAACTCAGCCATGTCGTCATCCAGGGTTCGATAGCTCTGGAGCAATCGTACTTGTCGCCCTGGATGGCGATTGTGACCAGCTGCCTGGTAGTTAATCTAGCCTCTTCCGGGGCGCGGTGGTGTAAGATGTCCTAGGAGTATTGCGTCCATTGCTGTGTTGTCATCACCAAACAGACTTATTACCGCCTCGCCATTGCTTTCAAGTTCATTGCTCTCACGAAAGCCCGGCAAGAAAAGCTTTTTGAACACTGGCGACGCAAGACTCATTGCCTTGGAAGACACTTGAAATCTGCCTTTTACGGTACTGTCTTCATCCTTGAGAACAAGGATCACATCTCCCTCTTCATTAATCCGCTTCAATCCCGACTCAACGGAACCAGTTATTCTGTTGAGTCGTCGATGTATTATTTGAGGGGTGAACCCGTCAAGGTGACTTCATGTGCTTTGAGACATGAACCTATTGAGGTGACGATTTGTAACTTGAGGCGTGGTTTCAGCCATAGGTGAAGGCGCTGGTAAAAAGGCGGGTAGAAACGTGGAAAGAGAAGTGGAGGAGATGCGGAAGAGGGGAATATGTGGAAGCCAAAGAGAGATGGAAAGGACTTGAAATCTTTTCGAACTTTTATAGGTGAAAGAAGTCACTTTAATGCAGTAAGCCTGATTTACTAGAGATGCCTAGTATATTCCAAGTTTATAGATTGCCACCTGAGCAGACAGTATCCGCTATCGTAAGGCACACTCGTTTCCAGAGCTGCGCGTATAAGGCGCTTGTTCTGCACTAGCTTATCCCGGCCCTCCGAGAGATATCTTCCGTACCAAGTTGGTTGTTAAGTAGAGTTGATACCAGTAAGGGAAAGCCGATGAAGATCGAGTAGTAGAAGGTCGAGGGGTAAAGAGAAGATGAAGAGCGCCCTGAAGACCAATACTAGTTATAGGTGAGACAATAAACTTCAAGTTGGAGGCCCTGGTGTGACCACTAACACTATTACCTTCTCGTCTATTCCATGTTAAGTAGTCTTTAGTAGTAGTAGTAGTAGTAGTAGGTAGTGATATCCACTCCCTTTCAGTACTTTGCTCCATCCAGACTCGTAATATGAATGAAACATAAGAAGTAAACAAGAAGGCACTTTTTGGCTTTGTTCGTACCTATTTCAATGTTCATGTCAAGGTTCATGGGTGCCAGAGGCGAACAGATGAAAGAAATACTAGAAGAGATGTGAATATAGAAGCAGCCCTGGAGCTTCCAAGGTTTGAGGGTAGAAAAACCTGGAGTATATGTATGGTTTATAGAACTTGAATAACATGATATAGTATAATATGAATACGGACACTCGGATCACACGATGGCATTTTCTGCCTCGCGCCTCTCGACATGGTTGTAAACCTTGTCACTATGTAGCAGGGCACATATATCATTTTCATTTTCCTGTAAATGACAAGAGCATCCTATTTTCGTAGTTCCCCACTCCACTCATGTACATTTCGATGCATGTTCTATATTTGAAACTCCGCTACAACCCCTAGTCCACTAGTTTTCATTGCAGGATATTAGTTTCCAATATGAAAACCCAGACAGAGTTTAAGGGACCTTAAGATTTCTTAGCCACGGCTAATATCCACTGGTATCATTCAGATTGTATTAAGAGAACTGATAATCTACTTAATATTTTCAGGTCCGTTCGAATACACCAGGCTGGATCCAGGTGGGATATAGGCACGGACTGCCGATAGAAAAAAGATCAGCGAAAATAGCCCTGGAGGATCCGAGCTGTTGTAGGTGATCTTCAATCCCCCATCCGATACCTGTTCCCAGATCGATCTTTGTCTCTTGTTTTTCTGACCCTCGTTGATCAGCGCGGGCCACCTGAGCGACAATAATATTCACATCCATGGATTGGGGGGGTGCCCGACGCGATTTGACGTGACTGACAGGGGTATGAAAGAGAATGATATAATTTGGACAATCTTGAAAACCTTTTGATTCGACGACATGAAGATCAAAAGATTCGTCGGAGAGGGCTTAGCTTGGATAGGACACGCCGAACCCTGCACGATCTATGTAGATTGCAGCTCGCACCTTGGCATGATTGGTGAAGTAGAAAGAAGGCTAGGACCTGTTGGGCAGCTGCTGAGTGATTCTTACCAATAAGTGAAAAGCCCTTGGTCCCACCTGCAGATCACCTCCAGAGTTGACTGTAGGGCCGACCCGCCTTGGCCTCAAGCCACCTCATCCACTTCCCCCCGCAGGACACTAGCGATTAGCGAATGGGGCCAATAATGTATGTAACAAAGAAAAGTCCCTCAAGTGTCTTTCAGCTTGTTTTGAGAGCCGCTCGAACTCCGTTCCATTTTTATTTGTTTCCCTTCGGTCTTCATGTTCTTTACTTTAGGTGAAAAGAAGAGTTATTATTGACTTCAAAGTCCCGCGTCATGAAATCAACCCCATTTCTCTATACGGACCCGGTATTTCTAAGCCACTATTTTGCCATATCGCGTACTTTGTTAGAGAACCTTGATATGCAAATATCACGACCAGAGGTCACTGGGAGAGGAATATATGCGAGGTCTCGCTTAATCGTCAAATAAAGGCAGTGGATCTTTCCCATGCAAATTATGCATTTCTGCAAGTTTCTCGGCAAGTCTTTGGTCCTGTGGCTCATACCTGAAATCCTTCGGTCTTCTAGATAACCGGAGCATGTAATGGGGATCTTTGTCAGACACTTATCCGCCGATTGGTAGTCATAACTGACATTGTTGAGGTCAAGCACAAAAAAGGAGTGACGTCCCGGAAATTTTGTTGTCGCAATCCAACGAGATTCTATGTCTGGGCGACAGCTGACAATGGCACTTTTGACCTCTTCAATAATCATATTAATTGATTTCATAAAGTCAGTACGATCAAGAATGCTATTCGGTGTATCACTAAGGATTCTAATGGGCGGTATCGGTGTTGAACCTTTGTATGCGTTCAAAAAGGTACTCATGACAGTAGGGATTTGCCAGATGATCAAGGGGTGGTCCGCCACTTCCGAGTTTGCACTCTCCGGGCTGACTTTGGCCATATTTAGGTGATGGTGAATCGAATGGGCAGGTATTAGCTGATTCAAGATGCTAGCAAGATGATTGCACGGCACAAACTCCAAGTTTCGATTGAATCTAGGGATGAACATAAGACAAAGGCAGATGCAGAGAGGTACTGGGTTTTCTACGGAGTGCCTTTCAACATGACCGTTTGGCTTGGAGCTGAAGCATACCTCGCTAGGATGGATTCTGAAAGTCAACCAGCTAGTGTTTGGATGTTATCAAATGCGAAGTTGTTTTGGGACTCTAAAGTGGAGGACGGATATGGCTCGGTCCGAGCTTACCAATTCCCCCTACGATTCTTTTTTACTTAGGAGTAAGACAGCATATCTTTATTGTACCAGGGAATAACTCGAAATGTGAAAAAAAAATTTTACAAATGAATCGATTACATTAGCCGCCAAGGTTCTCGCCCGTGGCATTTTTTTTTCTCTTGTCACAGGGGCTATACTCAATAAGAAAGATCACTCATCCGTACATAGAGGAATACAGCGCCCTTGGAGGAATGATCAATATTAATATGGTGGACTACCGTCAGTGGGAGATTGCCGGCGCCTCTGTTCGACCTCCACGGCTTCTTGTTAGGACATTCTTTAATTAAAAATTCTCGGGAGAAGATATGAAAGAGCCAAAACAGATTCAATTAACAGCTAATTGAAAGTCTATTCAACGGTACAGTTGTTGATGTTAGCCTGCCAAGCAGTCTCTGCATACTTGGGGATAAAACTATTCGTCGTAAAGTTCTTTGGCATATAAAGACTGGTGTCCTCCTTCGAATAATTTTTAGCCGGGTTTTGAGAGTTCAGCGCCGAAATAACTGCCTTATCAAGGAAGTCCGAGAAAATGATATCGACCGTCTCTGGCGTTCCGTCTGAAGGGAAAGCAGCTTCGCCCTGAATATAATAGGGTTGCGCATGTTCTGGAATAGCAGTGTGAGGGGTGTCATCACCATCGTCGCCAAGGTCATCACACGTGGTATATCCAGGAGTCGGGGTGGAAGATTCAAGAACACGACCAAAGAGAGACTTGGGCTTGAGAAGGTCACTAGAATTGAATGGCGAGATATTGTCGCACTCATCATAACCCATCATCTGACTGGAGGTAGTGTCGATAGTCATAGATCGCTTGGGTGTGGTGTTGGACTTTGCTTTCGTCATAATATCGAGGACCTTTGAAGCAATCGAGTATGGGACATCGCCGATATACTTGAATGGGCTCGTATAAGGACAGACGATGTAGGAATCATCCAGGGTGAAAGGACCCTTGACAAGGTCGTAACGAATAGCACCATTATTAACAATTATCATTCTCGGGTTCATAGCGCGAGAAGAGTTGACCACTGTTGCCGCCGCGGCAGTTTGGACCAAAGTGTAGATATTGCCTTCATCACCAGGAGGCTTGCATGAGATACAGTAAGACCGAGGCGCACATCCGTATACGTGATTCAAACTGAGGTCCTTGCGAGCATCTTCGATCTTCTTGGATACGCTAGTACCAGAAGCCGTGTTGAAGGTGTCCTGTGAGCCGGTTGCGTGGTAAGCGAAAGTCAGTCGATTCCAGTCCAGCCATCGGCGGGATAATTTCATGCTGAAAGACTTGGTCTTCGTACATGATGAATTGGCCAAATTCACATTGGTTGCCTGGTTGACAAGTGGCACTGGCTCTATAGCCTCGGTATTGTGGGATCTTGCAGGTGCTGCTTTGGGCTTGATATCATCCAGGGTAACCCAGCCCACGGTATCACAGTATTTGCCCGATTCAATGGCTGAAGACATGGGGTCATAGATATGGAAATCACGACGATGGGTATGACCGCCGAATCCCTGAACAGGAATACTAGGACGAGCTTTCCGGATGGTGTCCATGAGAAGGGGGAAACTGCTCTCGGATTTGGGGATTCCGGGCTTGACGGGATTGTGGCCGATGAGGACGAATAAATCAATATCATCACGCTTAAGTGCATCCTTGAACCAGGATTCTTCGATCATTTCCTGCGCTGGCTGGATCCGAGTCATGTCCTTGTTGTTGTTCGTTCCGTCAAGGATGACTCCAAACGACATGATTCGAATGCCTTGTTTTGTTTTAAAATAACGGTATCTCTTACCCATAGATTCCCACGTTTTGTTATCCGGTTGGCCGTCTTGGCAGTTAGAACAAATGTCAATGTTGCTCGTCAGGTACTTGTCTCCGTAGACTTTGGCAAATTTGGTGAAAGTCTCGAACGCAACATCAGCTGCGATCAGCTCATGATTTCCAGGTGTGAGAATATCGTAATCAATGTTCTCGAAGATAGGGTTCGTGACCTCTCCATTGGGCGATGTTGCATCACTAAGACCATTCCCATCATGCAGGTCACCTGTCAAATAATCAGTATACTGGTCTCTATTTTAATTTTTCAAGATTCGAAAAGGATGCAACATACCAGTATCAATAAGTATCAGGTCCAGTTTTTTCTGATCGGCTTTATCGCGCATGTGTTTTGTAAAAGAAACGAAATCGCCCCAGTCTGCACCATAATTCCGCTGCTTGATATGCCCTTCAAGCCATCCATGTGAATCGCTGGTATGAATAAAATTCAATTGTCCCCAGTGAAGAGGTCCCCTTGGTTGATCTGTAGTATTCACAGATTCAGGTTGCATGCGACGCATAACCCGGGGGTAAGTCGATGGCTCTTCTTCGCCCTCGCAGGATGAACATGCTGAGACGGTTGATATGGCGATGGCCAGTTTGAGGACCAGTGATAAGACCGCCATCACGTCGCAAAGTCGAGATCCGAGGACAAAATGAGTGTTTGGCGGGAATATAGAAGGACTGAAAGCATCGATATTTAATTAATGTACTGTAAGTAAGGATTGCACTGTGTGAGAGATTGTGGTTTTTGTTCATCATGATTGGTTTTGCTTGGCATTCTGGCTAGGGATAGTATGCTCGGATTTTATGAGTTTCAATTACTTTAAATGAATATTGATCTTCATTCTACCGTGAAAGGTGTTGTTTTTTTCTCTAATCCGCTGAGTTGCTAAATACAAAACATGTCGAACCCAGCAGAACGCATGAATGAAACATTTCGATATCGTATAGGTAAGATCTTCGTAATACTTTCTCACAGCTTAAATTGATACTAATGACAGGTTAAAAACAAACATAATTCTTCTAGATTGGATTTTTGCTACAACTCTTCTCTTGTGTTATTCGCTGCATACTTTGACTTCCATCTCATCGTCAATTGGACAATTCACCAGTTCGGGCTATGCAGATCAATAAGGACATGCATAATGTTACATGGTACACATTCTCGGCTCTCTAGTTCAACAATGAGTCTACGGAATGTGGCCAGTTAAACTACGGCATACCAAATAGAGTCTACAGTCACGGCCCGAACCTTGCTGTGAATACAACTATAGGAATTCCTAAGGTTGCATTTGGCATTGAATTGGGTTATTTCCCACGGAGGGACTATATTTGAGTAAAGGTACTTTATACATGGTATGGTTTCCCATCCCAGACTTTGCCACATGTGTGGTAGTTATTGTCCCCGTGAGCACTATGGGTAGAGAATACCATGTAATATGCCAGCTAGAGAGGATATGGGGCCAGTGAGAGTTCACGACAAATTATACTAGTTGCTAGTATTACAAATTTGTATTGGAAATGATTCAAATGCTTATGATAGTACTCTTTCTCTCCACCTTGTTTTTTATTGTGGTTTTGTGGGTTTCACCATCCATAGATCAATGTTAAGACAAAGCCCCACTTAAGCTATTAAACTTTATCGATCGATTGCCCCAGATTCCATATCATCGGCTGGTTGAACGAGCCACAAGAAAGCAACCTTGGAAGCTGATATAGAATCGATTGTGTTTTCTAGAATTCTCTAGTCCTGGAAAATTGCCTCCTTTTTCGTAATAATGACGAAATTTCCAAATATTTAGTACATTGGAATTGTTCCAGATCCATGGGGATTTTAGTATGTATAAATATAGACGGTCGGCTGCGCAGAACATGGATTTTCTCATATTCAAGACTGGGAAGAGAACGCAATTTAGTAATTCCATCTTTATTCACTTGTTCTAATAAAGACCATCTTAAAATGTCACGATCTGGAAGACAAGTTGTTCCTGAACCTATCGTCGTTGAAGATGAGGAGGTTGATAGCTTCATCGACCAGGGTGACAATGATAACTCTAACAATTCGGATAGACAGCTAAGTAAGTTCATGTTCACAAAGTTGTCTCAAATAGGTACCCTATTGTTACAAAGTTCCTGAAAGCTTACGGATGAATTTAGCCATTGACGAAGACGAAGCAATTGACGAAACGAACATCATGGACGATCGGACTCGTCGCGCACAGCCTCAATCTTCGACTCGATACAACGAACCAGACGAGAATGATCTTCCTACCGAGACTGATTGAATCCGTTGTGAGATATTCTATGGTGTGGAACCGACTCTCTATTAGTAGTGTTAGCGCTTTTAAGATGGAGGGTTTCAAAAGGACATGTCAGTTTTCTCCTCTCCGGCACTATAACAATCGTGGCGTTTCAACGTGTTAAAATTATAATGATAATGATAATCAAGACTTGTTTTATATCGTATCGAGAATAATAGTCCCAAGGCCATCCGGATGTACTTTGAAAACTATCGTGGCATTTGCCAGGCAAACCACGGCCCTTCTGCACAGTGAGTCAGGTCCTCAAGGGCCTTCAAAACCCAACACGCTAGGGATTATGCTTTGCCTACTTGGGCATATTAATTGTCTGTCGTTTCAGGCTCGGTGCATGCTACAATGCTAGGTTTTTATTGGCTATGACTCTGTTATTTATTTATCGCAAATTTACACCATGTTCTGGAGCTTCCCTTGCCATGACGAAGATTCCAAGATTCCGAATTAGCTTTGACAGCTAAAGCCTACACTACAGATCTCAGCAGACCTACAATTCCACCTTGAACCTTGTCAACCAGCCCATCCCGAGGAACAATCGTAGACCCACTTCGCTCATCCTTTGGCACGAAAACTGGCTTCGGCTCACCATCTTCAAAAAGTAGAAATATCGGCACAATTGAGATCTGATAGAGCTTAGCAGCATCTTTGCAATGGTCAAGATTGATTTTGACACAGCGAGCTGACCTTCAAAGCGTGTTCATCGGCGAGTTTCGAGAAGACCGGAGCAATAACACGGCAGGGAGGGCACCAGTCGGCATAAAAGTCGACGACGGTGTATTTGTTCGATGAGAGGAAACTATGAAGCGTAGCGAGATCGCTGAAATTTTGGACCTTATCGGAGCAGATAATACTACGGGCCCGAACTTAAAAACACACCTCCAGGCTTGCTCGGGTGGGCGTATGCTCGTATATTAAAACATTTGAATGTTTTGTAAACCTCAAGTTCATACGATGTACCCGTACTGTGGACGGATCTATGATCACCTGCCCAGCTGGTGGGGCTTATTCCAAAAGGAGCGTCAAAACGTATGTCTCTATACACTTGTATCTATGATCGATATGTAACAATAATTTGCCATTGTCGATGCTTATAGTCCAATATTCTACAATATCCAACACTAGCTGAGCAAGACACGGATCTCGCCAGTCGTGCGGGGGAACAGAGACCGTAGGCTCCACTTATCATCATCTTCCTCATTTTCATCATCAGCATCCCCGGCATTGGTCTTGCGGGTTGATCTGCCACTCCGTCCACTGAAAACACTGCCGCCTGTGTCCAAAGTCACTTGAGTCATTCCTCGCGCCTCATCAGCGGCGATGATCATACCCTCAACAAACTCGAAATCGCGACAAAAGGCCTCGACGGCATCTTCAGTAACACTTTGGATGAGAGAAGCACTTTGCAAACGTTTCAGGTTATCGGCTGCATCCATAAGAGCCGATGGAAGGAAGTCGTCTAGCTGTTGGCTGGAGGTGACCAGTGCTTCGGGTTGGAAGGCGGGAAGGGTAGCTAGGTCTGCAAGATGGTGTTTCTGCTGATCTGGCTTGTCTTCGTTGTTCTCCTTATCTTGTTCTGTGTCTTTGCCAGATTTGGCAAATGGCTCTAGAGCGTCCAACAGGGTTTGCAAGCCGGATGTATCCAGAAGAAATTCATGTTGGATGTCGAGGAGATCTGTGCGTAGCGTTGATATAGCTGTAGATAGAGGAGCGTTGTGCATGGCAGTAGCGAAGCTGAATGGTGAAATTGTTGCGCTCGCTGCTAGAAGAATGTTTAAACGGTAGATTGTCTGTGCTGTATCATCTTCGAGTTCCTCAGACGAGGATCGAGCTAGTGTCAGGAAAGGGTCGAAAGCGGCGCGAAGAACGGGAGTGAAACTATTCCCGCCGTTCGATTCAGATTGCTCAACGGGTCGGACTGAAGCATCGTGGTTCTTCATAAGCGAGACCAAGCCCTCAAGGGCATCTAATAGGAACTCTGGGGGAGACAAGTCGGGCGGAGGTGTAAGGGCCATTTGGTCGGTTGACAAGGCAGTGACTTGCTCCTTCATCAGATTCTCGAAATGGCCGAGAATAAATTTCTCCAGGATCTGCATCAGCTCTACAAGGTGAGACTGGGGTCCAACCAATTTTGAAAATGTGGTACGATAGAAAGACAGCAGATTGACAACTTTGAAGCAAGTGACAGGGTCATCGTGGCCTTGGATCACTAGCTCAACTCTTTGACGTAAAGATCGAGAGACACCTGTAAGGTCACGATTTACCAGGTCGCTAAGAGCCTTGCGTCCATCGAAAGCGACCTCTTTCTCCTCGTCTATACGTGACCAAGGCTCACTATTCAAGCCAGCTTGAATACCACGAGCAAGTTCCTCTCCATCAGCAACGAATAAAGCCTCTAGCGCTTCTCGCTCAGAAACCGTTGTTGAATGTACCCATGCGAGCATATCACCGATATACCGGAGCGGATCATGAGCAGAAAATTCGATGGGCTTGACGGAGTGATCCCCGCCTGCACCAGCCCCATTAGAACCAGACACGGCATCTGTCAGCGCGTAATGGAATGCATCTGAAAGAACGTAATCCCGCGCCTCGGCGAAGAAATCAAGACAGCTGTGGAATAGAGTAGGTCGTTCCGCCAGGACCCTCAAAGCACGACGGATCGAGCTACTGATGCGAGGATCCTCAAGATTCAAGGATTGAAATTCTTTTTGAATCCATTTATAGAGCTTCTGGTAGGCAGTGTTGAGGTGTCGGGTGCTCAATTCCATTATTTCCAAACCCAATCGCTGATTTTCCCCACCAAGCAGAAGTTCACAGTCGTGGTGAACCTGCTTGACACGGGCCAGAATATCAAAGAACCGATTATCTACCGGCTCCTCAGCAGAGTTCAAAACCACAAGCTCTTCCTCCGGAACCAAGAAGTGTTTCGAGAATGCATCAAGTAGTTCTTGCTTTGTTTCCGTGTCCTTCTTCTGCGTCATCAAGGCAGTAGCCTCTTCCAGCACTGGCGTACTATCCTGCTTGGCCAATCCGATGTGCTTGCGCATTTCGTCACATGTTTGATTCAAGGTCGTTATCACACTTCCAATTCGTTGAAGTTGCTATAATCACCAAAGAGAGAGCCATTAGCTTCCATGTTCTACTCGCCAACAATCCAGCAGGGGTCTTACCTCCGCCACCTGCCCGAAGTCCCGAACAATCTCCGCATTGCAATCAACCACTTCCTTCTGAACGTCAAGACGAAGCTGGCGCCGTGTCTCCGCGGTATTGTGTATTCCTCTGACACTCAGAGTTTCAAGCGCGTCACGAATATCGGAGTCGACGTATGATGCCGACAGAACGGAGGTTAACCGATTGGAAAGGGCACTCGAGCGCTGGGTCGGAGGAGAAAGCGGGGAGGACGATGGCGAGGGGCCATTGCTAGGCCCAGAAAAATAACTGGTCATTGTTTGGCAGACTTGGACCTTGAATCGAACTCCTGGTCAAGACAAGTTGTTGAGTGGGGGAAAGGACAGTCTCGCCTTCTGTAGACCGCCTTCCCCCGGTATCTCTCTCTTATCGCGCATCAACATACAAACTTTCTCCAATTGTCAACACTACACAATTGCGATTCTAAACCCGGGCAAAAAAGAATGGACTCGTTTGACAGTACAATTGCCTCTCCCACAAAAGCGCGTCAGGCTGCGATCCAAGCCAAAGACTGGGCATATGTTAATTCCTGGCTCACCCGTCAATACGCACCAAAGCCGATACCCCAATTCGAGCGCAACGAGGATACACTTCGAGTTCTCCTGACATTAGCCGCTGCCAATGATGCCGCAGACGAAGAATCAGCCATAAAGCACCGAGCACGAGAGGATGCTATTAAAGCTTTCAAGGCGCAGGAAGAAGCCGAGCGCAAAGACCCGCATGAGCGACAAAAGAACGAGCTTCTAGACGAAGTAGAGATGTGCCTAGATGACAAAGGACGGCGTGATCTCGATGATTTGGCCGAGTCGGCACTTGAACTGGGCAACACACTAAATCCCGAGCCGGAAGACTTGAGTCAATCGATCGTGGAGCTGACGGTGGAGGAGTTCGATATGCAAACCCAAATGCATAAAGTGGAGACGCTGCATCAGTATCTGCAGAAGGAGCTTTCGCGACTGCGGGAAGATCTGGAGAATTTGAAGTCGGATAAAGCATTTGACGTACCGCCTAATACACAATCTTTGACCTCGGAATGGATACGAGGCACGAAGACGCTGTCTACAAAAGTCGGAGAGTATCAGGATCGCATTACTTCGTTAGAGAGGAGTCAGCCGCAAGGTCCTACAATTGAGCAGCTGATTACGGAGGAAGAAGGGATAATTCGGTTCCGGGAGATTGTCAAGTCACTTGAAGGTCGGGTGAAGGCGTTCCACGATTTGCCTACTGATGTTGTAGGAGCCCGGGCGAAGTATAAGGAATTAGAGCGAGAACTGGGGCAACTCACCCGGCAGAGAGATGCAATGTTGGCAACCTGACGGGCAAATAGTATTTAGATCAACTGCCATAATTATAAGTAAAAATTGAATATTCTTCACTTGTGCACTTCGTAGTATAGAAAGTATAGGTTACTGTTAGTACGAGTCCAACTGTCGGACGCTGCCTATATTAGACACATCTACTAAATCAATTCAAGTTCGAGCAGTGCCTAATCATGTGGATTCAAGTCTAGGAATCTACGTATTTTGAGACGGAAAAATTCAGGATAGCAGTGATATTGCGTAGCAATTTGCATTGATTGGTATGAAACTAGAAAAGCAAATGGTATCGTCGACTCATCACTGAATCATGATAGCGGCGTGACTCTCATGACTCCGGAAAGGGTTGGTGAAAGATGGAACTCTATTTGTCCATGCCAAGGGCATTCTTGACCTTGTCACCGCTAGAGAGCAAGCAAGTCAATATATATGTGGAGATGGGGGCTACTAATATATAGAGTAGACATACATGGAGCTGGCGGCACCACCGTTGTTGTTGTCATGGGCACGCTGGGTCTTGTCGAAGGCCTCCTGGGTACCACCCTTGTCACTATCGGGCTGCACACCACGGGCGACACGGTCACCGGCATCGGTGACGGTTTCCTTAACCTTGTCCTGGGTGGACTTGGTGGAGTTAGGAGTGACCTTCTCCTGGGCCTCTGCACGAAGGTGGGGTTAGCATTGTTCTCATTGGTTGATAAGTCTGCAGGATCACATACTATCGCTGAAATCCTTGCGCATAGAGTCAGACATGATTGTAGATGTTTTAAGAATGAATTTCTTTTTGAAGGTTTGTAGATGTGTGGTTGAAGTCTGGGGAAAAGTGGACCAGAGTGAGAGAAAGAGAGGGTTTATATAGAGATCTGGTAGGGAACTATGCTGCCTACATGACGGTGAACAAACAAAATGACGTCGTCTACAAACGTTTGCCTTGAATGCTGTGGCCAAGTTTTGATGACTGATGAATGCTTGTGCCCCGGCTTAGAGTCCAGACTAAAATCAAGCTTGAATTCGTGGCTTATAGCCCGCCAATAGTCGTGGCGCATGGCTATCATTTACTCTGTCTTGCAGATGACGATGCCAGGATTTTGGTTGTTTCAACTTGTTTGGCATGTGGCGTCCACACCTACTTGGTTCTAAGGTTCAAACTTGTTGTTTGTAACGAAAGAAACAAACAAATGATGGAGATGATGAACATGACGTGGTTGACAGCTGACATAGATCAATGTTTGTCATGTTTGATTCCTGATCCGGACTAGTAAATGATGAGATAAGCGGGTCCAAAAGAGAGTATAGTCATGTGACGTTGAAGGTGAGCCAACCCCCTGGGATTCAAGGGGGGTCCTGCTAACTTGTGTTCTGCTCTAACTTACAACGTATAATTATTTCGAATCCACCCAATAATGTCCGAGGACGTCATAGTCAACGAGGAGAAGATTCGCGAAGCAGTGGAATACATCAAAAATCTCCAAGAGAAACCTGACATTTACCAAATTGCCCGAGATTACGATGTCCCAGCACACATTCTCAGAGCCCGATACCTCGGCCGCAAGACTCAACGCCGGCCACATCCAAACTCATGTGCCTTATCACAATCTCAAGAAAAGGCTTTGACGGATTGGTACCTGATGGCTATTAAATCAAACCATCGTCCTACTCCAATGATGATTACGCGATCCGCAAATAAACTACTCGAAAAGAGCACACCCGCGGGCACGGAGCCTCGAAAGGTGGGGAAAAACTGGGCCTGGAAATTCTCAAAACGTGTTGCCGACGAACACGGTCTAAACTTGGCAGATATAGCGCCTACTACTAAAGAACCTCCTGTTGGTATTGACGAGGAAGAATCACGGCCGGATCCTCACGAGGCTTTCCGAGAGAAGCTAGACCAAATGGCAGATCTTATTCAAGACCACTTTGCTCAACAAACGGAGCTTCTATCTGAGATTATGGCTGACTATGAGGTCCTTCTACAAGCTAAGAAGAAGGAGGACTCCACAGCTAGAGAATAACTTCAAGGATCGGCTTCTATGTGATCAATCGTAGATATCAGCCTGAAATCTGGCCAGCAGGAACAATGCAAATTTAAGAAGCGTCGCAGGAATCAGAGGGAGTAAACAGCCACCTCTTTGTCGTGTAAGATATTACATCTGGTCAGATGGAAAGACATGGATTGAAACGAAAGATCTTTGCCAAACCCAAAAAAATTTCTTGAAGCAAAGCTAAAAATGCACAACCTCATAGAAGAATAGGCAAACAAAGCCTTGAAGTTACTATGTACTGCATAGCTGCCCACCCTCTGAGGTCCTCATCAGAAAGCTCCAATTCAGCGATCACATTCAATTAAGTACTTTGATAATGAGTGCGTCCATAAAGGAACTCGAACGTGCTTTAAAAAGCCCAGTTGGGGCTCATCCAGAATGCCGTTCTATGCCGGATACATACTACGTACATATACCATTAAATAAACTTAAATGATCCAAAAGAAAAAAAATCCGAGCAATGGATAAGAAACCACACAGTCGAGAGACTAGCAAATTTCTTTTTTTAAGGTGATATTAACAATTTGAATAAATACCATACCATCATGGTTGAAATGCATGGCCCAATAGTCCATAGTCTGCTCCCGAGGTCTCAATTGATTTCTTCCTAGCCTTCCACCTCCAGTGCCGACTGTGGACCAACTCGTCTCCCCACAACATCCCCCGCGACGGCACACCTAACGAGCGCATCAACGATGCGTTTCTTCGATGTAAGCAAATTTTCTCCAAATCATTTCTTTCATTCCATATTAACTTATCATCAATAGGTTGCAGTGACTTTCACCGCGGATCAGTTCCGCGGTATCTACCGGGGCAAGAAATACCATGAGCCAGATTTTGCAGAGGTTCTGAATCGAGCCAAAGATTACGGATGCGAAAAGATCATGCTCACCACCATGTCTCTAACTGGAGTTGAACAAAACCTCCAGTTAGTCAGGGAGTTTCCTGAGTTATGCAAAATGACAATTGGGGTGCATCCGTATCATGCTTGCGAGATCTACGCGGATCATGATGAAGGATCTAAAGACGGCCATAATACACATCTCGAACAAATACAACAGCTAGCGAAAAGTCTCCTGGCAGAAATCTCTTCTCCATTGGCGGCCTTTGGAGAAATCGGACTTGATTATGTCTACCTGGATTGTGCAGACAAGGACACACAAAAACGCGCATTCCGAGATCAACTGGAACTGGCTACACAGCTACAACTGCCTCTATTTCTGCATGTTCGTGAGTCAACTGCGGACTTTATTTCTATACTCAAGCCCTATTTACCGAGATTACCGCGCGGCGGACTGGTACATTCCTTTGCAGGCACAAAGGATGAAATGCTTCAGTTGGTGGAACTGGGGCTTGACATCAGCGTCAACGGTATATCATTTCGAACAGATGAACAAATTGAGATGGTAAAATATATTCCATTGGATAGATTGCAACTCGAAACAGATGCTCCGTGGTGTGAGCTTTCGAGCAATGATACAAAAATAAACCAGTTCCTGGAAGCCGCGAGGCCTTTGCCCCCGAGTCGAAAACATAATAAGTTTATCTTGGGTCAGATGGTCAAAACGAGAAATGAAAGCTGTACTATTGAACGAGTTGCATTTGTTGTGGCGGGACTGAAAGGAGTGACTATGGAGGAGGTGGCTGAGGCAGCGTGGAGGAATAGTTGCCGGATGTTTTGGCAAACGTAACTGCCCAGGTGAGAATGCTATTCAACAGGGAGCACCGATTTTCGGCCGCGTCATGGCTTGGGGAAAGGGGAGCGCATGAAGATACTCAGGAGAGCTCCGAGGTTATTAATTACAAGTTCATAGAAGGATATAGAAATACCAAGAGAAGGAGAAGGGGATGGGTAATAGAGTCCCAGTCTGGAATAGATGAAATTTTATGAAATTTTCTCGTGGCATCCAGTCCAGTCCGTGTGTTGCATTAATGTAACCTCAGAATCAACAATGGAGATTCATTGTTCTTAGTTCATCCTGCTGGTTAGTAGCAGGTACAACCCTTAATGGATTTGCATTGCAGCGAATGTGCGTTGATGAGAAAGCAAGAATAAAGCAAAAAGCCAAATGTACCAAAATCATAAGTCATCATTTACTCAATGAGTTCTTCCACATAATGATCCAACTCGATCATTTGGAAACGAGGACCCCACCTGTCCCGGAATTCTTTCTTTTTGTACGCATAGCTCGTAAGTTGTGAGAAGCTAACCAGCTCGACGTTCCAGCCACGCTGCAATGCTCGCTCTACCATGCGCAAGAATCCCCCAGAATATTCGGCTTCTGCCGCATCTCCAGTCGCCAAGACGATGGTCGCAGGTTCATCAGTGTCCACCAAGCTTTCGAGCATCTTCAAGTGTAGAATTTCGTCTACACCCTGCTCAACCCAGCGTTCTTCAGAGGCTTCGGCCATTTCAGGCTTACCAAAACGATGTCCCTTACTGTGGAATTTGGAAGGACGTGGTGTATGCTTCGACTTGTGAACACGGTCCAGAATGTTTGCCTCGTAGCCCAATTTTTCAGCTTCGTCGATGGAGGGAACTCGATCCGATCCAACCAAGACTTTCTTGGTGGCCTGGCGACGTCGTTCCATGATTAAAGAAAAGTTTGCAAAAGACATGTTGAGTCGGCGAATGCGTGTAGTCGTGGGAATATTTCGAGATAGTTTAACGGCATTGTGTAATCCAACAAGGATATTAGAAATGTCCACGAAGACGTGGATGGGACGAGGCTCCACAGAAAGTTTGTAGACTTGGGGGTTTCCCAAGTGTGAACTTAGCTCGGCGTATTCGGGGAAAGTTTGTAGAAGCTTGATCGCCAAGAAGACGCGCCGCTCTACGGCGGTTTTGTGTTTAGACGGAGAAACACGTGGTGGCCCTGAAGAGTAAATAAGATCCTTAACCTTATCTGAATTTAACGATGAATCGGCATCGTCGTAGGAAGAAGGCGGCGTATCAGTGTAGTCATGACGCACATCAACTGTGCCCACTTGCGCCGGGACGAAAGTTAGGGCGCCAGGATTTCTGGGAGTGGGACGGTCAAAAACAATGTTACTTGAATCTGACTCGGCCTCCGCACTGCTTTCCGAGGACAGCATGGGTTCATTTTTCTTGGCCTGCTTAGCTTTTTTGGCGATCTGAATGGGTTTGGAGTTTGTAGGATTGAGTTTCACAACTTGTTTCTGAGTCTGAGATGAAAGGGAGGACACTATGCTGCCATCCACTTGCTTGCCGGGTCGTTTCAGGATTCTAACCGCAGATGGGGACGCACGAGTAGAAGAGCGTGTGGTGGAAGCTTTTGAGTTTTGAGGAGTGGATGGGCACGCGGTGGGGTTAAGTTTGAATGTGACTGATTTTAGGTGTTCACGAGAGGATGGGAATATTGAATTATCGCACGGACGCTTTTCAGCAACTGTCTGCTTTGAGGCGTGCGCGCATTCCGATGACTGTAATGTCTTGTCCGAAGAGTGAGCCCGAGTATCGTCTAGCTGAGTATTGTCTGAACAAGATTTCGACCACCCAAGAACATCGGAGTGTAAGATATTCCAAACGTTGTCGAATTTCCAAGCGTCAGAGCTGTCATGACTCAGGTGAGAGTTGACCGCGGTGATAGGGTCAGCTCCAGCCTGCCCCGTCGCCGCGGGGACTAACTGTTTGGACTCATCTAAATTTCTCTTCTTCGCCTGACGAGTTGGAATGTGTAACGCTTCCAGCGCCTGGACAAAGTCCCAATTCAATTCTGGGTCCAGTACTTCAGATCCCATTGACGATTAAAGGATAGTTAAATCAAGTTTGATTGGATGAAAGTCGGGTGTTTGTAGCGTGAAGCTAGAATTTGAAGGTTCGTAGGAGTTCGGAAAAATAAACGGAAGAAAAACCATGTCGTGAAACTTGGTGTTCGATCACATTGAGGAAGGTTTGAAGTGAGGTGAAGGTTGTAGGGCAGCTGTTATCTATCAGGCACGGTGGCGAGACAAGGCATCAATCGGGAGTTAAAGTGGTGCGGAGAAATGAAAATCCGAGATAAGAAACCGGGGAATCTGGAATTCTGTCCATCTTACCACACCGCTCTCAAGAGGCTCTGCTAAGGTATCTGTAAAACATGTTTCTTTATTTATCTTTCCACTTGTTTTTCCACCTATGTAGAGCTTACGGTACAGATAGCGGTGTACTAGGCGGTAAACGTTAATATAGGGTCAAGGGTTTTTTCCGATGATCGCTATCGGCAGCCATAGCCATTCTGGTGGTAGTTTGTATGGAAACTACTGAACATTGAATCTAACAAGCTATCTACTCAATTGGATGATAAGCTAATCCTAATTGTATTATTTATCAATTATTTGTACAACTATGCCTTGCGTTCTCACAAGTACCCATACAAAGCTAAGAATATCACTTAAAAAAGAGTTGCAGGTCACGAAGCCATTGGATATCATTTCAAGTATGCCATCGCTTGAGATTGTAGTGTACAAAGATAAAAGAAAATTTCCCGGAAACGCCTAGCTCCAGCCCTTGCCATGTAAACCTTTCTCTTTGTGTATCGCAGGATGAATTGAGAAGGTGGGGAAAAGAATCATATCCGCATGGGCGCCAAACCTGGGACACCAGTAAAGCGCTCCTCTCGTTCAGTCTTGAACATGATCTGCACCCAGAATTCCTTGCTATCCTCGTCAAACCAAGTCCAATAACGGCCCTCGCGACGGTCAACTTCCTTTGCCTGGAGCTTGAATCCGCAAGTCTGGTACGGTTCCGCAGCAATAACAAGGTATTGGAAGTTCTTATCGGGATCCTCAACCTTCTGTTCGAAAGCAGACATAAAGCGTACCCTTGGGGAAACACCGGGTGTAATCTCCTGATACTGCAACTGGAACAGTAAACCCGTTTGGCGAGTCAAAGGGTCACGGACTTTTGTGATCTTATAACCGGGTCGTCCAATCTTGATAGTCTGTTTCTTCACCTGCACTCCCATAGCACCAGGAAGAGATGATGGATCCTGGTTCTTGCCCTCACGCTGTTCGCGCGCAGCACGTCGGGCGAGGTTGGTCTGATGCTTTTTGCCCTGGGTGTGGGCAAGATATGAGCCGTCATTTTGGTGGACTGTCAAACAAAGTCGGCACTCAAAGCTTCCGACGTGGTTTTTGAAGAAATAAGGGTCCTTTTCCAGGTCGATCGATTCGAGGGCGAGTTTGCGCAGACGCTCACGACGATCCGCGTTGGTTGCGGAGCGGTCGGCGACACCACCGCCACCGAATTTGGAACCAGCTCGATTCTAAAAGCCGTTAGTATAAGATTCGAGGATGTGACATATAGCTGGAGCTGAAGTGCATGAACTTGCATACCTGGTAATCCATTGTGATGTAGTTGTTGAGGGACGTTGAAGAGACGAATCTGCGCGCTTTGAGATAGCGGGAACGGTGGGCAGAACCGCCTTTATTTGAATTATGTAATCACGTATATCTCCCCAAGACACAAGGTCGCTTGGGAACGTTTACTTGATGGGTTTTCTTCTTCTTTAATTGAAGCAGAGATCAACCATCTTCCGTGATGAGTGCCGCCGAGGTTGGTCAGCGGCGGTCTTTTGACGGCCAGCTATGCACGGTACGGTATGTGGGCGGCGTTGAAGGCACCACGGGCGACTGGCTTGGTGTTGAATGGGACGACCCATTTCGAGGCAAGCATGCAGGCGAACATAAGGGAGTGCGATATTTTACATGTGAGATTGGCGTATCTTGTGAAAAAATCATAGAAAGTGCTGCCATTGACACCCTACAGGCAAGAATAAGCATCCTACAGCGGGGTCTTTTGTTCGCCCCTCCAGGCCATCAGAACCACCAAGAAGTTTCCTAGAAGCTCTGCATGAGAAGTATGCCTCGGAAGTCCAGCAGCAAAACACCCAAGCTACTTCCACTTCAACTGCCAGTCCGAAGGCTATTGAAATCAGTGGTAAAGTTGTTGAGGAAGTTGGCTTCGACAAGATTCGCAAACAGCTTGCAGAGCTAGAAGAGCTACGAATTGTGCTGCTAGATGGGCTACGTATTTCCGGCGTCTTGCCCTCTTACGAACAGCCCGAGACATCTGTTAAGGAGGCAGCCCCGAAGATCGCAGCAACCTGTCCCAAGATTATCGAACTAGACCTCAGCCGCAGTCTCTTGAGTTCTTGGCGCGATGTACGGGATATTTGCGATCAGCTGAAGCAGTTGAAAAGGTTGCGTGTGAAGTGAGTCCTTGCTCTAAAATACTATTAACTCCAGTTCTTGATAAACTGCGCCGCTTTGTTCAGATGTACTGACTTCGATAATAGTGGAAATCGATTCCAGCCGCTAGAAGACGGCTTGGTGTTCAATGAAATCAATGAATTGCAACTAGAAGCGACTCTTCTCACCTGGGAGGAAGTATGTGTCTCCAATTTGAATTATGCAAATCAATAGAAGCTAACGTCCTTCCCCAGATTGCCGAAGTGGTGTCTAGATTCCCAGCACTCACAAACCTCACAGCGTCCGCCAACCAACTGACAACCACACCATGTTCACTCCCGAACTCCATAAGCTTTCTAAATCTCGAAAACAACGAGATAACATCAATATCAGCAATTCGCAAAATAGCCAGCCTACCCAATCTAAACCACTTATCATTGCGAGGAAATAACCTCAGCACTATAATCGATGGCTCCAGCGATACAATCCACGACTTCCAATTTCCCCGAACCCTCCATTCTCTCGATCTTTCTCGCAACAACATCACATCCTGGACAGTCTTGAATCACATAGCAGCACTCTTCCCAGGTCTAACAACCCTCCGCATATCAGGAAATTCACTTTATGATCAACCCCCTCTCGCCCCATCAATCGCAGCAGCAACAGCCAGCATGAGCGCCTCTAAACCAATGACAGTCGACGAGTCGTTCATGCTCACTTTAGCTCGATTCCCTTCTACCCTCTGCACGCTGAATTACAGCACCATATCGCTACAGGACCGCTCTAACGCAGAAATGTACTATCTGTCCTTGATTGGCAAGGAGCTGTCTGCCACCTCTGAAGAAGAAGAAAGCTCTATCCTCGCTACTCACCCACGATATGCAGACCTATGTGCTCTGTACGGCGAACCAAGAATAACGAGAGCAGTTGAGTCCGACGGCTCAGGTCACAGAGCTATTCATCCACGCTCTGTCGCCGCACGACTAGTAAAGTTGGCTTTCCATTTAAGTCAAGCCCAATCTTCATCGACGAGTAATGCTGGTTTAGAACCTGAGATCTCGGTGAAAGAGGTCCCAACATCATTCAACACATATCAAGTTAAAGCACTTGTCTCACGGCTCTTTGCACTCCCTGCATACGGATTTAAACTAGTTTGGGAGACTGATGAATGGGATCCAGTTGCTAGAGCAGCTGTTGAAGAGGAAGATTGGGCAGAAGATAGCGAGGATGAGATGGCTCAGCAGCACGTTGTTGAATCTTCTACAGAAGACAATTCGAGTCGTTTTGTGCGGCGGGAAATCGAACTTGTGGATTCGACGAGGGATATAGGATACTTGTTTCAGGGAGAAACGGGTGAGATGAAGATTAGGGTGAATGTTTTTGGACCAGAGAGCTCATCGGCAAATATTTCGTTGCCCAGTGCTGCTCCAGTGTCGGTGGTATCTTAAGCTAGAGGCTTTCACATACCTACTTTCGAGGACCACTATCTCTGCCCACGAATATCATGGTAGTTCCCAGGCATTCTACGACTAAATATTTGACGCTTAAAGAAGTATGAACAGATATCACTGGTAATCCTTTAGCACCTCCCACACTTACTACGCCTCTTCTAATTCAAGATGGCGATTGAAAACCAGGATATATAAACGTAAGCAACGATAAAAGAGTAATAGGGTCTATTTGTATTGAAAATGTTAACTATTGACTGATAGGCGTAAATCATCCAACTGAAGGTTGGTAGACACAGGGTATGGAAACGCCCGCATAATTCAAGAAGCGAGATGTGCACAGGAAACATAAAACTTCGTCCGGGGAGTAAAGAAGGCCACAAACAAACGCCATGTTGCTTCACTCGCTCGCTGCCCGTCTCCCAAACCCAAACAGAAGCAAAGAAAAAAATAAAATGGAAGTAAGAAGACGAAAAATCAGATCAAATCAAACACCCATGAAAATCGTTGCAAACGCCTGAGCCATGATGCTTTTTTAAAAATATTGAGTACAGATAACGGTGATTGCGAATATCCAAAGCGCACAATTTCCCATCCACGTAGCAATGGATGGTATTTGTAGGCTTAATATCGAAGTCCATTGGGACTAAAACAGGTCGCTTACTCGCGGGCGACCCACCAAGAGCGAACTGCCATACAACAGATACGCTTGTAGATCTGAGTAGTACCTTTTCCCTCGGCTTCTTCTTCGATGAATTTTTGTGCGACGAAAAGCTTAGTGCTGGACTCCTTCTCGTTGGTAGTGCCAACTTTGGGCAAGCTATTAGGGAAATCGCTCCAACGCGCTCCCAGATGCCTTGCAATTGCGATAGAATAAATAATATCGCGGTTTTCGTGTGTATCAAGTAATTGTCGACAACGAGTAAGCGTATCATCAATTTGCTTGGCGGAACTGGCTTCGTTATCGTGGAGTGTGAGAAATTCACCAAGTTCGCCCCAGAAATCCAATTGCCGTTCCACGAATTGATCAGGCTGATTAGGTGGAGTAGCGGCTTCCATCCTGAGTTTTCGGGACAAGGAATTTTGGTCCAGGTGGTTCCAGCTCAGAAGAGCTTCCATCGCGGTCAAACGAGCGCTGGCAGCAAGCAAGTTCCAGTCTTGTCCATACTGACCATTCTCTGAATTTGGTACCTGACGGCACAGCAGCATACTTCTCCAAATAATTGAGGCCTCGAAGCTCTCCAAGCGGGCGAGGGTGTTTCCATCAGAAAGATTCCAATCGTTGAACGCATTGATCAATGCAGAATAATCGGCCATCAGCTGGTTGTCTGCCATAAGAACTTGTAACGCCTTCTCTGAGTACCACCGAACTTCCAAGAGTTTGTCGATGGCGGGTGCATAAGTAGCGAGGAATACAGCTTGGATTTCTTCGAGGCGGCCTGGAGGGAGGTTTCCGGCAGGATGTGGTGGAGGTGGGGCAATACCTCGTAAAGCGAGCAAGTCATTGACATGGAGATTTTTCGCAGCTGCAAGTAACGTTTGTTAGCGCTCGTGGAACTCGGCGGATTGAAGGTGGAAATATTGACGTGGGTGGCATACCTCTGTAAGTAGGCTCAGAGATCTGAGGCCCTGTCTCGTGGGCGACTTGCATTGTGTTTGGTGTTTGAGTATTACTCAAGGCAGTTGACGCGTCAAACGAAGCTCTGTGATCGGTTTGGTGGTCTGTCGAGGTGCTGGGCGACTCAGACTGAAGAGATGGCGCAAAGGGTTGGGAGGAAGCGGGCATATACCCAGGAGGAGCGGAAGGATACGAAGGTGTAGATGAGGCAGGAGGGCCTTGAGGGTTCACAACCAGAGACGGGGGTGGGTTTGGAGCAGGTTGGATGGCCGATGGGGCTGATGCGGTAGGCCGAAAAACGGGATCGTACCCTAAACACTCGCGCTTGCTTTTCACACAATTTCGACACACCGGATGTCCTTCGTCGCACTGTGAAAAAATGTTAGGTCATTGGTTAAAAAAAAAAGACGTGCCAAAAATAAGCAATGATATCGTGGGTGAAAGCGGATGAAGCGAGATAAACGATGGCGGGGTCTCTGCGGGCACAAGCGAGGTCCGCGCCCCGCGGAAGTATCAAATCTTGAATCTCAACATAACAACATGAGAACAACAATAATGACATACCTTGATTCTGCGCTTTCGACAAGTTAGACAGCCTGTTTTTGTACGGCGCTTCACTTCTTTCTTATGTCGTGCACTGGAGAGCATTTTATTTGGATCTCCCTGAAGTCCGTATCGCATTTGCCCATTGGCATTCATACCACCTTGGGAAGAATTGGAGGAGTAACCACCCATATACTGGCCCATTGAGGACATCGGAGGCATAGGCGATCCGATAGGTGCCTGTGGCATTTGGCCCGGCTGTCCTTGGCCATTATTGTTCGAATTCGCATTCACTGTCGAGAAACCGGAATTGTGGTACATATCGGGGCTCTGCTGCTGGTAGTTCTGCTGAGGCTGCGCTTGGAACTGGTGCTGGGATGAAGCCTGTGAAGGTGGATTATGTCCTTCGGACTGATGCGACGGAGCAGAATTATGTGCATATTGGTAAGTGCCGTTGGACGTCGTATCGTAAGGTGTCGACCCGTTCATAGATCCAGGCCCACTGTGTCCAGGCTCTACAGATCCCGAGTGAGAGTCGTGCGTGCCGAAATGACTGTCGTCGAACGGATGATCATCGTACATTGTAGGAATGTCAGTGCCAATCGCCGGCAAAGCCGAGTCAAACGTAGGTAAAGTTGTATCAATTGCTGGAAGCGAGTAATCTTCAGCCGATGTAGAGCCCACCGAGGGTAGTGCTGAATCGAACGACGTGAGACCGGCATCCATTAATGACTGCGATGTGTCCATCGGGGGCAGAGAGTGCTCGGGTGGGAACGTGGAATCAATCGAAGGAGTCGTGGTATTCGGAATTGGCGCAGCTTCAGTGTTTTCCGCTTGCGAGAATGGTATGCTCGACAGTTCATGTTGCTCCGTAGTCTCATGTATTGTTTGGGTCTGAGGCTCGGGCTGGGGATGGGACTGGGGATGGGACTGGAAGTCAGGTTGGGGTTCGGGCTGCGGCGCGCTGACTGAGGAGGATGTAGGATCTGATTCTTGCAATTGTGGCGGGGGTTGTTCTGTTTGTTGCGGCGGTTGTTCAGTCGAAGCCGGCGGCTGAGCCACTGGTGATTTTAGCCCAGCGGGCAGATTGGCCGTATCGTCCGGCCTGGGGTCTATCGGCTCCGCCATTTTTGCTATGGCTTTCCGACCAATGCTATACTTTCAATCACTGTGGCGTATGTTCAATATCGGGTAAATAAATAGTTGCGTTATCGGCAGGCGAAACCGATTTTAAGGTCAAAGGTTGTGGAGCTTGTCGAGCAAAGGCAACACACCAGATCGATTGGGGTCGGGATAATAAATCATTTATTCCCTTGCTCTGGAACGATCGTGAAAAGTTAGCCAAAATAGCCTTTTCACCTCTGTTTGACCCATAAGAAGAGGGGCAATTGACGAGACAACCGCAGCCAAGGTTTGAGAACGCAGCAGCATATAGACATATAAAAAACGCAGAGACACAAGCCGCAAGACGTGCGAGTTGAAACAGTCCAGCAAGTAGAGGTCCAAGATGCGAGCAAATCCAATCAAATAAGGGAATAGGATATATCCCACGCGCAATATGAGGCCACAAAGTCTGTATGTTCCCCCATAACTTAGCAGACTTCAAGATCTTGCCGCCGAGAATTTTGCCAGCCGATCGGGGTTCATTTGTCGCATTGGCCTTTGCAGGCCTTGAATCCAAAACTTCTCCCCGCCCACGAAGTAGATAATGGTTGGAGTCCGTGATCACGGATCAAGTATTGAGACAGTCGACAGTTTTTGCAATGGGACTCGTCACGATTTGAGCATGCTGGGGAGAAGGTGGTCCGAAGACCTGCGCAGGTTGGAGCAGGATGCGACGCGGGAGGACAAGGCCGTCTGGTGTTGGGGAAGTCGCGATTGATCTAGATCGACTAAACTCACCAGATAAAATTATTAAAACTCAGTGTGAGGTTATTATATGCACAGGTGGGGGAGACCGTGCGAGTCTGCGGGTTGCGGTGGCCGTGAGGAAGAGATGCGCGAAGTTGGAGAGATCCAAAGGAGCTTTCTTTTCCGGCGATCCAAGTCTCCGCTCCAGAAAAAAAAATCATAAAAAGTGGCAACTGTATACAACACCACTATTCTACGAAGAGGAGATCGGAATGTTTTTATCTCAATAAGTATACTGGAGACAAGTTGTCTCAGATTTTCATATTTGCTTTTATTGGCTCCAGAGAATTCATACCTGGTCACTGTGTATACCTCTAGGCACTAAAATTTAGCATCTATTAACTGCGGCTGTATAGTCTTGACGGGGTTTTGCCTAAGATCTATGAACAACGATTACATTGTGTTCATTATAAACCAGCTAGTTGAATGTGTAATACCCCACCAAGGAAGCAACCAGGTTTCGGGGGATTTCTCAGTCTTGCCTTGCATGACCAGTCGATTCGGGTCGTTTCAAAGTGCGGTGCTTAGAGTGCATGTACCGAATGTCCTTGCTAGGTGCAAAATGCCCATACGCTTTTGAAGTTTCTGATAAGAAGATGACCATCTTGACATCAGTGCGATGCAAGGCAACATGTAACTGCACCGGCGGTGCTTCCTTCAACACACAGTATGGATTTTTCTGCACCAGTAGCCGATCGATGCTGTTTCAGGCAGGGAGTAGGGAATGCGGGCGCAGAATAAGGTCATAAGATTCATGCTCGTCATAGAATTGTGTCGTCGCGTTAATGATCACTTCCTAATGACCTTGGGCTTGCGCTTCTTGAAAACAACACCAGGGGCTTCTTCGCTTTCGGGATCATCGTTGGCGAGCGGAATACTAGAGAGATCCAGTTCCTCCGTCTTGGCCGTAGTCGATTGATCCCCCTCCGAAGCCGTGGCTACAGTAGGTTTGGTATTGGCATCACCAGTTGTATCCTCCTGTTTGGGGGGCAGTTCAAACTCCGATTTCACCTCCCCAGAGTCCACTGTCGGTGTATCCATTTTCACCTTCTTCAAATCCTTCGTAGACGCAAGTAAAGCATCCAGATCTTCATCGACATCATCCTGTGCACCAGGGTATATCTTCATCCTTGATCCCCACCCTTTGCTAACATATTGCTCTGGAATCGCCTCGCCCTCTTCATCCTCGTCGCCATCAAGCTTGCGCTTGCGCACACCAACCGATTTGGCAGCCGCTGCTGCCTCCGGATCCAGGCTGGACTCAGAAAGCGTCTGCCATTGTCCTGCTAATGACAGATCTCCACGGTATTCGTCGGGAATGGCGATTCCCATTTCAGCAAGCTGCGCCATCTGTTTCTTCCTCTCCTCCACACCGACGGGTCTTTCTGCCGGGGCAGCGGTACGTTTCGCGGCTGGCGCAGATGAGGCAGCTTTGGTGTCCTTCGAATCGGAGGCCCCGCCCGAAACGGCCTGTCGCAAACGCTCTACCTCGCTTTTGGCGCGTTGTGAGTCTCGTTGTTGAATTTCATTGTTTTTGTGGATGTCACGCAGAAAGCGCTTCAGGCTGCCTTGGTGTTTGGGGCTTGCTTCATGTTGAGTCTTTTCGAAGGGTGTGTCGCGAATGAAGATCTTGCATTGTTTGCACCAGTAACGTGGCTATGGAGAGAACTGTTAATCTGAGAACATTGTTTTCATATGAAAAGATGATTTACTTACTGTTGATTTCCAATGTTCGGCCATGATGGTGTGTTGTTGAAGTTGAAGTTGTTGGCGCAGAATCTCGATCCCGCAATCGGCCTAGTCCCAATGCAGCAATCCCATGCTTCACTATATCAAAGTCCACGAGGGTCTTCGAGTTGTATATGCAACTAGTTTGTTGTGCCACTTTTGTAGATACTGTATACGAATTGCACCTAGAAGTACTTCAAAGCTTATGTTTATTTATTTCATTCAGATAATGAGAATCCAGCCTCGTTCCACCCTCTATACAGAGTCTATGTACAGTATACAAAGCTACTAGTAGTAGGTTATATGTCCAAATCTACAGGTCAACCTGCTCTGCGACCGGGCTCTTAAGCTTACCCTTCTCAATGCCAGAGCGGATATTCTCAATAGCCCATTCTTCCATCGCAGTCAAAGTCTAACAAGAAATTAGCAATCTGATTTCCACATCTACTAACCGACCGCAAACTAACCTCAATAGTCCAAGTACCCATGTGAGGCACTAAGATGACATTCTGATTGCTGACAAGACCAGGATGAATCTTGGGCTCTTCTTCAAAAACGTCCAGACCAGAAGAGAACACTTTACCGCTGTCAAGAGCCTCAACAAGTGCAGCTTCGTCCATAACAGCTCCACGAGCAGTATTGACTACAACCACACCATCTTTCATTTTGGCAAACTCAGCTTTGCTGATAATGTGTCGAGTGTTTTTCTGAGTGAAGAATCAGTATAAAAAAATCATCTTAGTATCACCACAGAGCATATTTGAGACTCACATTCAACGGCAAATTCAAGCTGATCACATCACTAGTCGAGAGCAACTCGTCAAAAGTCACATATTGTGCTCCTCCGGAAAGCTCTTCGCTCAATTGACGGCGATTATGGTAAATTACCTTCATGCCAAAAGCCTCGGCCTTCTTCTTCAAGTTCCGTCCAATGCCGCCCATTCCCAGAATTCCCAGAACCTTGCCTTGAGGATCATGACCAAGAGGAGGGGATGGTGAGCCGCGCCATTTGCCTTCACGCAGAGCAGTCATTCCAGTGTTGAAATTGCGCAATGCACCAATGATTAGGAACATGTTCACATCAGCGGTAGCATCATCCACAGCGGTGGGAACATTAGAAACGCGGATAATAGGGTTGCGTGCACTGCATGCATGGACATCAATTTGGTCGTACCCAGCTCCTATGTCATGGAATATTAGCAATTCTTCGATATCCCGTCTCTAATAATAATAATCTTCAGGCCATACCACAATGCGCAAGATACTTCAAAGAGCTAGGAAGCGCGTTCACAAGCTCCTCGTCAAATAGTCCAGTAATCTCTGCTGAAGGGAAAGTACGGTAGATAGCAGTGATACCATCATATTTTCCATCACGACATTGCTGGAGGAATTCAGCTCGGTGAGTTGCTGTGCAGTGAACCAGCTCTCCAAGCTCACTCAGTGCCTCCCAACTCTTGTGTGCACTGGGAAGTGGTAGTTAGTATAGACCCTTGTCTAGTTATAAAACACGGACTTACTGATAAATCTTCCCCAGAAGTAGAATCTTGGTACCAGCGTCGACAGAGGCCATGATGGTTATGTAGTGATTTAGACTATGAATGACTCAATTAGTTTGCTATTCAACAAAATCGATATCCCCTAATGCATTCGTAGAGTGAAACTCGTCAAGCCTCAATATAATTGGCCCGAGATGATAGGCAACCAATCACCAATTGCATGATTTGAGGCTCATAAACGAGGACATTCCAGTACATTAAGAAGCCACTTTAATAATTGATTCAATGCGGAACTTGCCTAGGATAAAAAAGAGGGGCTGAGCGACAATTTCGAGCTGTGTTGGAAAGAAAGGCAGAAGTTTCAAGCCAACTATAAAAAAGAAAGAATAAAGCGATAGGCGATGTCAAGAGAAGGCGCAATGGAAGATATAACTCTGAATAGAGTTATTAGAAATACGAACGTTTACCGAGACCCGTTGCAGGAAACAAAACGACCCCACGCAGATCTTTATCTCGGGCAGTTCGCCGAATGAGTGGGGAGCACGCCACTTAGTGTTAGTATTATCTTCCGGCCGATAGATCTATGGATTTATTAATCATAAAAACCACAAGGCGAGATTTAAGGTTATCACTCGTAATGGAGTTCAGGTATTTCAAGATTTATAGCATCGGGAAGGTTATTTCTAAGGGCAAAGTCTCAATGCCCGGGAGAGTCTACTTTGCTTCCGGGAAATACCCGGGTTTCGAAGATTCTAAGATTGTAGAGAAGAATTCAGTATGGCATGGCTCCCTTATTAATGCCCTATAGATTGCTGATCGGATGCTCTGCCGGTATTTATAGGGCTCAGCCTCTTGTGGTGCCTAATTTACATCAAGTATAACCTCCTCCAATCAATTGATACTTCTTCTACCCTTCAACCAAGATACGAGTCCAATCAAACTTCCTCCAGCGCTTTCTGAATGGCTCCACTCGTCGATCAGTTCCCCTTTGCCATCGGCCTTGTCGTTTGATGACGTCGGGTGCAGCATCAAGCATGCCGCCAATGACTTCACGGGCAAACAAATCACCACGGGGCCAACGGTTCTCGTCCTCGACGATATGACCAAGACCACCATCCAGCTCAAACCAGACATGGAAGTATGGCATTTCTTTGACGAGTGTTCGCCGGAATGCAGATCTCCCCATGCCCTGTTTTGCTTTTGCGAGGGTATCAATGAGCTTGCGATGCTGCGACCACTCAGATTCAGCGCTAAGGATAGCTTCCTTGAAGAACGCAGGTGACGTTTCGCCCAGGCTATATGGTAGAGGAATGACCTCCATAGAAGCGTGACGCTTGCGCTGTGGTTGAGCTGCATTCTCGTAGAAAATCACATCTCGGCCTTGGTCATGATACATTCTTGTGAGACTCTTCATAAAGTTACGAATCTCTTCCCACTCGTCATCGTCACATTCAATGAGGTTTGTTCGATGCTGAATGGGCGCAATAGTTGCGCTGCCCTCGCTGATCTCAGGCTCGGTGGGAAGAGTAAGGAATACTCGAGTGGCAAGGGAAACAACGGGTGCGATAGGAGGTGTGTTCGTGTCTTCGTGGTGGCAAAGCGGGCAGTTGTCCAAGATCTTGTTCATCTTACGGAAGTCGTTGACTGTTGAATTCTTGATGTCAATCTCAGAACGGTGTACTCTTTTTGCCAGCTTGGAGGCATTGTCGTCCATATATTCAAGTTGGTTCTATACTTCAATTAGGCGATGCGAAAATGAAATGTGAGATCTCTGTAGACTTACCTCGAACTTGCCGTCACGCGCAATACGTTCTGCCAATTTTTTACCCTCCCCACCCATTTGACCTCGAGTTTTGCGTTCCTCTATAAGCATATCTTCGATGCTCATATCTTCATTATCCTGCACCAGACCCCTTTCACGGCCACGTTTATTGTCAATGGGCTTGACTTCGTTCCGTGAACCAGCCAGCATACGGTTCTGTTGAACACCCAATACCACAACATCTGATTCCTTTCGATTGGCCAGGCTGGCAGCCGCAGCGTTATATTGCTCTTCGAGCTCAGCAGCATCGGGCGCTTTCTTAAGTTTAGCTTTCATCATCTGCGCCTTGAGGCGATTCAAAGCTGTGATGTCCAGATGCTGAGTGGTATTTGCTGGAGGCTCGACCTCCATTTTCTGACCTTGTCCCTCAGCTTTCAGTTCCTCTGCTGGATCACATATGTGTTCTTGTGGTCCTCTGCGTGCCTCATTCTTCAGCTTCCTTTCTTGGAACAGCTCTCCACTTGGTTTGTCTTTACCCACGTAGGATGCACCATACATCTTACGGCGGTCAACCTCGGTTTCCTCTTCACGCGCTTCGTCAAATGAGCGAAGGTCACCAAAGCGTTCAAGGGCAACATCATCCACATCCTTGCCGGTGTCCTCTGCCTCTCGATACACGCCTCGGAGCTTTGTCATTCTCCACTGAGACCCAGCATCACCAAATGTATAGTCTACCTCCTGTTGTGATGGTTCTTCTTGAAATTCTTCAAGCGCTTTCCCTTCCTTGAGGTCGCGAAGGTGGCTATTGAGCTCCTTATTGTGGATCTTAAGCTCAAAATCAGCTTGAAGCATTGTAGCCTTGGATGGTTCGTCCACTCGGTTGTCTTTTCGATGAACATAGTCGACATCAAGGGCAGAGGGTGCTTCCATCCATGAGTCACGCTTCAATTGACTAGGTTCTTCCTGGACGATAGTTTTTGGGGCAGAAGACTCTTCTTCATCGCGACTAGAGCGGTGTCGACGCTTCTGGGTATGGTCGGCATCGTCCCCGTGTTCGGTGGAATGGCGCGAGCGCTTGTGTCTATGGCCATCATCGTCTCTTCGATGAGAATCACGATCTCTTTCGCTATGCCGTTCGCGGGATCGGGACGAATGGCGTCTGTGATGGTGACTGGAGCGGTGATGGTGTCGCGACGATCGCTCTTTACTGCGGTCGCGATCGCGATCTCGGTGATGTCGACTTCTATCACTTCTATCACTCTTCTCTTTCCGCGGCTCCTGGTCCTGGGCCAACGATTTTTCGAAGTCTTCCAGCGTCATTGTGGTGCTGGATAACTGTGAAAGTGCTAAGAGCTAAAGCATGAGGCGGAATGACGTTAATGCCGGGCGGTCCAGGCGCGGGCAGATCTTCCCCGCGACAGAATTTCGGAAGAAAAAAAAAGAGCTTCACCTCTTCATAGACTTATTCTTACCACCAACAACGTCTACTGAATAAACCAGCGCTCTAGACTTGCAAATCTCGCTAGATTCTTTGCTGATCGTTTCTATTCGTGTCACCACTCACCACACCTTCCATTATGGCGTCTCCCGCAGTATCCGTTGTCTGCGTGGGCATGGCGGGTATGATCAACTTCCCCAAGGCTCTCTGAAGATACCTAGTCGATGGTGCTCATTACTGATCACTTGTTCATACAGGATCCGGAAAGACAACATTCATGCAACGAATCAACTCTCATCTCCACTCCAAAGAAAAAGTACCCTATGTACTCAATCTTGACCCCGCCGTGCACTCTGTGCCTTTCGACAGCAACATCGATATCCGGGATTCGATCAACTACAAAGAAGTCATGAAGCAATACAACCTTGGACCTAACGGCGGAATTCTCACATCCCTCAACCTCTTCGCCACTAAAGTCGATCAAATCATTGCCCTCCTGGAAAAGCGCACTGCTCCCAACCCCGAGAACCCCGCCGCAAAGCAAATTGAACATATCCTAGTCGACACACCCGGTCAGATCGAAGTGTTTGTCTGGAGCGCTTCTGGAAGCATTCTTTTGGAAACACTTGCATCCTCTTTCCCCACTGTTATCGCATACATCATCGATACCCCTCGTGCCAGCTCGACTAGCACCTTCATGAGTAACATGCTCTACGCCTGCAGTATCCTCTACAAGACTAAGCTTCCAATGATCTTGGTATTCAACAAGACTGATGTTAAGGACGCTGAATTCGCAAAGGAATGGATGACTGATTTCGATAAGTTCCAAGAAGCCTTACGGGCTGAGGAAGAAAATGGCGCCTTCGGATCAGAGGGTGGCGTCGGCGGCTTCGGTGGTGGAAGTGGATACATGGGATCATTGCTGAACAGTATGAGCTTGATGCTAGAAGAGTTCTACCGCCACCTTAGCGTGGTCGGCGTGAGTTCTATGACGGGCGATGGTGTCGACGAGTTCTTTGAAGCCGTTGAGACTAAGCGACAAGAGTTCGAGCGCGACTACAAGCCTGAGCTTGAGCGTAAAAGGAAGGAGAACGAGGAAAGCAAGGACTCGCGGCGGGAGATGGAGCTTGGAAAGCTGATGAAGGACATGAATGTCTCCGGGTCAAGCCGCACACGAAACGGTGGTCACGATGAGCCAGAGACTGTCAGTGAGGCGGAGGATGAAGAGGATGATATTATCAAGCGAGGATTAGCAGATGGTGAGGATGACAGCGAAGAGGAATACGCTGGCCCCCATGCTGGTGACGATGATGATGGCCTCTCCAATCGTTACCAGCAAGCTCTGTCTGGGTCCCAGTCTGCCCCCACGGACCAGGATAACAGTTTCACGAGGTACTTGCGCGCAAGCCAAATTAATCAATGAAAAAATTGATGCCTTCGTGGTGATGATCATGGGTTTGGAGTTGGTGGTATCATAGGCGCTCTTTTGAACAATAATCTTCGTACAGAATGCATTCACATTCATCATATACTTTTGGCCTGATATTTATGTATTCAGACTGCATATTTGCTTCTACCCGTGTAGCATGAGACGCATAGTAGTAAAGGCAGCATAATACTAGTCTCTATTTCTACAAATGCGTGACGGCCCTTCTTGTCGGATAAAGACTGCATTTAGATAAAAGGGTCAAAACTTTGAAAAACCTCTGTGCTTGTATCATTCTCTCAGCCGACCATTGGCAAGTGATGAATACTATTCTAGGTATGGCAGACATGAAACTTCCCAAGATACAGTGTTTGATTTGTCTAGAAGCTGGACTGAAACTTGAAGAGACCAGCTCACATCTTATTATCTGTTTTTGAGGCACGGTATGCTTCGTGTAACTAGTGTTTGTTTTTGGTCTGGTGGGCACGCTAGCCCTTGAACGCCGCTCTACAGCTATCAAGGTCAAGTATCCACTGCAAAAGTGAACCTTCTCCATAATGTAGTTATTTTTTTTGACTTGTTCATTGGTCTGTCGAGGCAACGTGGGATTATTTCAAGCGCCCTCTCTAGGGATCAGATAGGAATTAAGATAGAATTATAGGTCTTAGTATAGAAGAGACTAGTTCTTAAAGATCTTAAGAATCCTAATTAGTACTTATAGGACTCTAATACTATCAGGGCTAGGGCTAGGGCACAATATATAAGCTATTCAGATGGTGATATATTGTAGAGGTACATAGTCCGGTGCAAACGAGACAAATCAAATGACGTCACTTGATACAACCTCTAGGATTAAATGAACCTGGAATTTCTCCCCAACTACTTGCCAGTACATTGATCGCATCCTACTTAACGAGCTTCCGCAACTATTGTCTATTCAGACTTGAAAGCTACTGCTTAACAAAGCGTCACGGAAAACCTGCGGATATTCACATCAACAACATGGATGTAAGCTATTCCATTCCTTCAAAACACCCGGACGCGCCTGAATACAGCTACCGACGGCGTACATATCGATCGATATCACCATCTCGGAATTTGAGCTAACATTTATAAAAGGTTTTTCACACATACACCTACGCGACAGCCGGATGGCTCTCACTGCAAAGTCTGCCCTTAATAGCCGGTCCAGGGATGATCGTAGCTCTGCTTTTGGATGAGACGCGACCAGCAAGCTGTGCGTAATACTCTTTTGATTGCCACTGTTTTCATTTTCATCTATCGAATACAGAACGCAAATGATTGTCCGAACGACCTGCTTACTTATCCCCTGCTCTCTAGCAATCGAAGTCTACTTCGCGCGGTGTCTCGGATTCGGTCTTCTGACCATCGCAATCTTAACCGTTATGCTCACGGGCTCGATTCCATTGACAGCCACAGTCGCAGAGCCCGTCACTACAGAAGACTCGGACCCCAAAGCCCCCTATGCTCTACCAACTCTAATGGTGACATCCTTATACCATTCCATATCCGGATTTTATGCCTACACGTGGTATGCTACTGGCGGACAGGGTGTATTTGCTGTTGCAGTGGCTGGGAATTCTCTTCTTGCCTTTATTGGGCTTTGGTGCGTGCTTTTTGCGAGCAGCGAGGGCAGGATCAGTCGCAGGACGGGTGCTGATAAAAGGACGACCGGATTCCCCTTCTCCAACACGGAAGCTGATAAGAAGCACATTGGGAAGAAACGCATTTAAGTACCTGGAGGGTGTCTGAGAAAGTTTGAATTGATATGAGATATTAGATATGATGATGGAACGTTGGAGGATTTAAGCTCAGTTAGTGCGCAGATCAATTTCTGGCAATACAATAAAGACTCAATTTATGGAACAATATAACATGACAGATATTCTCTCCGTCCTATATTCCAAAAATATTGTCAAATTTATAATATAACAAGCGTGACAAGCGAGAACCTTTCATTTATGAATAGAACTAAATTTCCCAGATCCCTACATCTTCAATGTTGATGTCGTACCATCTGAGCAGTAGGTGTCAGATAAGGCCAACCTTATCGACTCCGCACACCACGCCGCTTCAACTGCACCCCCCCTTCTTCTCCGCAAATGCCAAAAGCAGCACGCCAGTCAATACGAAATGAATCCCCCATCGCCTCGCCCGTTGACATCGATGCCGATCGTCGATTCCACGGGCCTGGCCCCACCTCTCGGCCCGTTCCCAGACTCACAAGCCTTTGCAGCTTTTCGCGCCATCGAGCAACAGCCTCTTCAAAATGTCACCCAAGCTCAGCATGCAATGGCCTTGCAGAACAATGGCCATATCCCTCCGCATCCGCATCAGGGCATTATGATGCTTCAATCGGAGCAGGCTCTGCAACAGGGTAATTATGGAGCTTTGGAACCTGAAGAAGCAGAACCGACGAATTTCGCGGGTCACCTCACGGGGATGAGGCTGGTTCCTAATCCCCCTGACTTGGAATTCTGGAGGGATCGGTTATTTAATGTGGATGATGTGATTACTTTAACTGAAGAACAGTATGTGGATCTGAATCTAGCGTGATCATTGAAAATTACTTCAATCAGGAAAGTTCGATAATACGCGTCGATGTATGGCTAATTTGTCCGGTCTCTAGGTTCCAGGTCTACTTTCCACATGTTGATAATGTCTACTCACATCGCTCTAGCCAGAGATATAAGCGTCGGCCAATGGTCTCCCACTACTGGGACTGTCGATTAAAAGGTCGACCGCCAGGAACGCCGAAGTCCGACGACCCGACTAAAAAGAAGCGCAAGCGCACTGCCAGAGAGCGCGATCTCTGCGACGTCAAGATCAAAATCACGGAGTACCTACCTGGCAACGGCGAGGTTGATGCAAGTGGCGGGTTTGAATCTCTACCAGCTGAGCTGCTGCCCGGGGTGCATACGCTGTTTCCAATTCAAAATGGACAGAACTTTGCGCTCGCGACAACTCCTGCTCTGCCTGAAGGTCATCCTGGTACAAATGGCCAGAGATACTTTACTATCCAGAGGGTGAATGGGAACGGCGCCAATGGGAAGAATGATGGAGTAAGTGGTGGACATCGACATACGCTCGAAGAGAGTGATCGCGTCAAAAAGAATAGTGTTCACCGACACTTTTTTAAGGATAATAAAGATAGGAAAAAGGGGGTATGTATAAATCTTTCTATTTTGATTTTCGATGTATGGAAGATATCGAGGGCTTGGCATCTCCCCGCAGAAAGTTTGACTACGTCACTCTTCCAACCCAACTCGTACTCTCCATATGGCGAGTTGCTTTTTTCTCCTTCCATCTCATTTGAAGGGGCAAACAGCTGTTGAATTCCTCGTTGCCCACTTTCTTATTATCAATAAGTCGCCGAACCAAACTGACATCATTCACACAGAATCGCGGCATGTCTAACGGCAATAAAGCTTACCATACAAAAGCAACCGGCCTAGCTGCCACAACAGCTGCAAGGCACTCGGCGGAGACCAATCTTCAGTTGTATGGTAGCTGTTTCTGGTGAGTTTGGCTGTTCTCCGAACCCTGGGAGTGGAAACACCGATCATCCGAAATTTCCAATGCTCAATGAATGCCTAGTCCTTTCGTCCAACGAGTTTGGATTGCGCTGGAGCTCAAAGGCATTCCATACCAGTATATAGAAGTGGATCCATATGAGAAGCCTCAATCCTTGTTGGAAGTCAATCCTCGCGGTCTGGTTCCAGCATTACGCCATGATGATTGGGGATGCTATGAGAGCACAGTTCTCATGGAATATGTATGAGGTTCCCAAGAGTGTCCCTCATTTCTTCTTATCCCGCACTGACAATGTCACTATAGCTCGAGGACCTCAACGTCGGAATGCCCCTTCTTTCAAACGATGCAAAGCTGCGTGCTCATTGTCGATTGTGGGCAGATCATGTCAGACTTCATTCTGGCCCTATCGTCCATATATCCTAGCTGACAGGTTTCAGATCAACCGAAAAATAGTTCCAACATTTTACCGGGTGCTGCAAGAACAGGACCAGCAAAAGCAGATCGAAAATGCTCAAGAATTGCGAGACGCTCTTGATCAGTTGATCACGGCGGCGCATCCCCATGGGCCATTTTTCATGGGCGCGCAAATATCCTTTGTAGATATTCAGGCTGCGCCTTGGATCATCCGCCTTAGCAGGGTCCTAAAGCCCTATCGAGGCTGGCCAGATGCCGAGGACGGCAGTAGATGGGGATCTTGGGTAAATGCCATTGAGACTAATGAGCATGTTCGAGCAACGACCAGCACAAACGAGCTTTACCTCGAAAGTTATGCACGATATGCCGGTGAGTGCCTTAACCCCGCTGGGTAATTCTCTGTTGTTTTGCTGATTAACGGTATATTTCTCTGACTTGCAGAGAACCGCCCAAACACATCCCAGGTTGCAAATGCAATCAATTCAGGACGCTCCCTTCCCTGAATGACTCAAGGTTGTTTTGATTCATTGTCCAATTCGAGGCGCTGCTCGTTGCACAAGCCTTTGGGAGGGGTTGTAAGGGCGAAGTGCTTGAGAAGCATCCAATATAGTATATTTCAGCTCGCATGTGCACCCCTGTTAAATCTGAAACCACCTCTTCCACTAGCATCAGGGCCTCGGGGGCTACGAATCGGCTGTTGTGGAGCAGGGGAGCTTTGCCTATCGGCATCACCCCCATCCGCAGGTCGATCTCGTCTTTGTAAAGGCGCTCCGCCTGATTTGACCGCAGTAGACGGATCGTAGAGATGTCTCGACATGCTCGACATGCTCGAAGCTGACGAAGAATCTCTCTTCTGATATTCTCTGCCACCACCGCGGCCTTTGCCTTTCCCTCTACCCTCTCCTGGTTGGTTCTGACGAGGCGGGGTTGTAGTTCCGGGCGATGTGTTACCGGACGTATTTGCAGACGGGCTACCGAATAGGCGTTCGCGGACTTCTTCGTACTTGCGCTGCTTTTCCTCTCGGTTCTTCCGCGCTATAGCCTGTCGCTCCTCTAGTGTTGGTTCAGGGGCCCTGCTGGCATCCTCGTCGGAATCATCTTCATATCCGTTGATGCCCAGTTGGCTAACTCCGGCTGAGGCAGCATCCACACCGTTCGAAGATGACTGCCGGTTTGAATTCTGCGGCCTCCGGCTAAGAAGTGTGACAGCTGGCTTGAAGTCCTGTTTGAGGGGTACTTCGGAACGAGCTTCGACGTAGTGGAAGGTTTGCGGGGTTTCACTGTGACAAGGAAATATCAAAATTTAGAGATGATTCGCCCATTGTATACAACGAGTATATCACATACGCTTCAGCCCATAGTTGCCGGTTAAATTCAGCCTGCTGGGCTCTTCGCTGGGCTTTGCTGACTTTAGACGAGACTTTCTTTTCGGTCGGCGGGGTAGGACCATTTCCTAGTGTCTGCTCCGAATACACAACAGATCAGTACATGGTTTATTAATTCAAAATGACGAGCTTCAATCAATGTATCCACGCTACCCTTAACGTATTCACTCAGAGCGGATAGCTATAGATTCCGGTTCTAACTTACGTCTGCTTGGGACTCCCACTCGGCATCCCATGCGTCGGGAACTTCAGGTTTTGCGCTCATTGCACACAGGGGCTTCGCGTTGATTTATTGCAAAAGAATAAGATAAATGAGCGACTGATGCACTAATCATGAAGAAGAAGGGGTTTTGGGCTATGCGCAGGTCGTATACAGTGGTCAGAAGAGAAAAGAAATTTCGGGCTGCAATGAAAGCGGCCACCGCCCCGTCTGGCCTGCTGAGTCGTCACTGATCTACCCGTGGGCCGCGGACTCCCCCACAACACATATTGTGCAAAGAGAACCTAATACTAGTAGAATTGGTTTAACATTATAGCACGACCGTCTTCTAACAAGTGGCATTTTTGGCAAACAGTAATCCAATCAAATCATGGGCCCCAGCGCGTGATTTCGCGCGGTGGTAGCTTGAGGCCCCCCGGGTTAGTAGATCGTATACATGGAGCATCCCTGCCGGATGCGAGTCAGCAGGAGCAGTAATGTATCAAAGGGTTTGAGAAAGATCTTTGACTCCTTACCCCAACTTGAACTTATTGATGGTGTTTCTAATATCGTTATTCTGATGACACGATCGCCCAAAGAAAGCTTTTGCGATACGATATCGTCTGATTGTATACTACTATCGTCCGATCGTCTATAGAACTCTCTCCGCTTTGAGAATTTCGGAAATTTCAAGCCACGAGGATATGTTCAAAGAGCCAGAAACCCAGGAATCATTTTGTCTCTTTTCCCTCTCTCGTCTCTCTTCAGAACACCCGGTTTAGTTCGCAGTATATTTGTGGCCGCTTGCCCATGTTGATAAGGTTTCTGATTTGGTAGTCCAACCTTCGAGTCCGACAGGTAGACCATCCGATGTGTACGTTTCGTATACACTTCGTCCTCTCGATCAAGAACCTCACAGAAGCTATACATCAGCCATCTTGCTTCATCTTCTGTTTCATCGGACTGTTGCTCCGTTGAGCTTGGGAACATCACGCGGCGAAGCGGGCCGTTGGCATGTGCAGGAAATTCGACTTTTCGAGCAAGTATATCCACATCTTGGATTTGAACTGGTGGAATTGGTAGCGCCATGCTTGCGAGTTCGAAAGATCAAAACCTAGTCTTGACTATAGCATATGTGAAGGGTAAGTGCAGAGGAAAGTTACAATCTTAGGGAACACATGCCTCACCTTGCTGAGCATCTACAGTTTATACATGTAAGAAAGGCATTGTCATGACAATAATTTTTTGCCCAAGAATATAAACTGTAAATGAATCAAAATATTCCCATAAAAATTTCTTCATTGGAGAAATGAAATTATGTACGTGAAATATAAAAGGGAAGACGTCTGTCTATACTATGGACGGATTAAAGTCAATCCGAGGATGTTGAACCGCCTGTTTAACTGATAGCTAACTCGTCATTACTCCACTCCGCAACTCAATAGACACTTCAAGACGCAAAGTCGTCGCATATATCCAAATGGCCATAGGTAAGCTTCAGAACCTATCTTTATCTCTCACCACATAAAGCCATACTCTTATCCGATTCAAAATTCCCCTCCAACCCCACATCGATCACCTGTCATGCAACTCATCCTCTCAACACCCAATTGCAACCACTTTGCCCACAACTAATCACCAGTTGACATCTACATCTGCAGACTCCAGAGATCCAGACGGTGACTCCGAAATGGCCTCCTCAGCCGACTCGGTCTCCGATTATCCCGGAAATGGTGCGCGCACTCCAACTCGCAACCCTCAGACATCCACTGCCCTCGCCTCAGAGCTCTCCCCACCCGGCTCGCAACCCCAGCACACCACCGATATCCCAAATATGACCGAGTCGACCAGTACCAACCCCGCTACGGGGCAAGCTTCAGCGAAAGCAGCAGATCCACCCATCGCTTCATGGAAGAGCAAACGATCTCAAGAGGAATACAATCGAGCAATGGAGAATGTGATCGATAAAGACTTCAATTTGAGTATGAAAACTTGGGCTCTGAAGTAAGGATATAATGAACTGACTGCTCGTGTGTAGACGAATTTGGCGATCCATTTGATGAGAGAGATATGAAGGAGCCTTTGCTTTGATTCAATACCGGGCATGAATGGAGTCTCCGCGGAGCATTTGCATTTACGTGGTTTGTGGTGGCGATACACGATACGATTGATGAGATACGACGGTGCTTTCTTAACTGGTAGCTTTTTCTATTCTGGTATGTATCCGAGTACTGAGAAACATGATGGATTTTGCTGATGCAACTTAGAGTTGAACATGTCTTGGCTTCTGTCGTGTCTACAGGACTTGTACCTGACGGCTTGCACAAATATATGAAGTTAATATGACTATCCTTAGATCCATAGACCTAACGAGCTAGCTTAGGGTACTTCAAAGATGCTCTAAATGGATACCCCAATAAAAATATATTTACGATGAACATAGCTCCCAGAGGTTGAAGCTGCGGTCGCCAACCATGGGTGACGATTACTATGTAGCTTATACGTCTGCGTTTCCTACATACCTAAGTTCCTTTATAGTAGTGAGTACGTGTGTAGCATTGATAATTTTCTTGTTTAGATATACTAGTAAACCGGGAAGCTTGGAAAGAGCCATAGGTGGTGGATGCTAGTAGTATGCGCTACTGGTCCATACTGCTTCATATGATACAAAAGCGACGTTTAGTATTCAAGGCAGCATATATTAATCATTCTATGAATGCACATAAGAGAAAGAAATTGGCTATTTCAATATCTAGTACATGTATCCCTGAATTGATGTATATCGACGTATCATATTCCCACATTTTCCCCACACACGTGCATTTCTACCTACTTCTCCTCCGGGATTTAGTCTACTCTTTTGTGTCAGCAAACGGCCCGATACTAATAAAGTGACACAAATTTGAGGGATTCCCACGTCATCTCAACGTTTCAATGCCAATACCGGGTTATAGAGACGGACGGCACATACAGTGTCGGGCGACCCCAACTCGGTTTAGCAGCGGGTATCATGAGAGTGTTGGCCCAGCAACCACGGACCCGCCAGGCACAACGGGATTAGAAGCCCAAGCAAATCCACACAGCTTCATCTTCAACTTCGTTTCCCCCCAACATCCTTATTGCCGGGCAATTCGCGGTACAAAAGAAGTTGCTTTCTTATCTCACCAGTATCCGTCACATCGCTCACATTTTACACCAAACACCGATAGTCCATCAATATTCTGTGGATTTCTATACCCAAATTCCAACGGCACCGTTTGACACATTCCTCGCGTCGATACCAACAATGGGTACCCAGCCCGCCTCGCCGCAGGCTCAAGCATGGTGGGTTCTTCCTCGCTTCTAGTCTATCCCTTTTACTTCTGGCAATTTGGAGTTCCAATTTCCTGTCCTGTTTCTCTTGCAACCCCCTATCTCTCTCACTCAAGCTGCCACTTCCTAAAGTTGTTGTCTGGCACAAACATCCACGGAGAGAGGGTCGCAAACATTGAAAATCTCCTCAAAGCACATCACTAATACGAGGCGCCTTTGCGCATTTCTGCTTTGTAGTGATCTCTCCCATCCAGCTGCCGATACCAATTTCAGCTTTACCCCCATTAAAGCATTACGTGCACTGCCTCGTTTATGGGAGCGAAAACCAGCAACTCCGTTCCAAGCCGGACCAAAGTCACGAAAATTGTGGAAGCGAGTCGCTACTTCTTTTACAACCATGAAGTCAATCGATTCAACCAGCACTATGCAACATGATCCGTTCCAGGCCGCTATCAATTCGTCGAGAGATGCGAGCTATGTTCGAGGCGTTAAGCGTCGCTGTGTTGGATCAGCCGAGCCTGAGAATCGCCCGATGTTTCAGATGCAGGACAGTGGACGCTCATTCCTCGAGACTAAGTGGGAAGCAGACACAAGTCGCCATCGCAGTGAGTGCTCATAATATACCTATCCCCTATATATTGCGTTCAAGCTAACCTCGGGTTACAGGGAAAATGGCGGAGCCCCAGATCAATATTTTTGATGAGAGTAAAGAAAATGGTCAGAGTGACTTGGCCATGACTGGGTCACCTCAGCCTTTGAGTTCTCTACGAAGCCCATTGAAGACAACTGTTTTCAATGATGAGATCCCTGTTGAGAATATGAACACCGTCTCTGACGTCAAATCCATCGACAGCCCACGGCCTGGATCTGTGGCCCGGCAGCCGTGCATGATGATCGGCAATGCAGGAAACAATCAAGATGAACAAATGGCACCAACACCGACCAAGGTTGTGCGGGATTCCAACCAGCAGCAAAAGGGCTCACTTGTGCGCACAGCTTTGCGAAGCTCACTCGATGGATCGGATACAGAACTACTCAATGACTTTCTGTCCAAAGCAGCAGCAAAGCGTGCCGCGAAAGCGGCCCAGGACACCCAAGAGAACGATTCAAATGAAAATTCTTCAAGCTCAGAAGAGTCGCCAGAAATTGAATGCGCCACACCACCCTCCCGTCGCGCCCTTGGAGCTTTGGATACAAATTCGCCTTCGCCGATCAAGCTCGTCGTACCCTCGCCCATCAAACAAGACGAGAACCCAGACGAAGAGTTGCAGGAAAATCAAGTGATCAAGAAGGATATCCTGGACGAAGATCTATCCCCTGCGAGCCCAACCTGCAGAAGAAGCTCGCGCGTCAAAGCCACTCCTGCCCCTGCTACTGCGCGTAACACAATCTCCTTGCGTCGGGCTCAAGGCAATGAATTTGTCTTTCTGCAGCGCACCGAAGTTCAAGAAATAGCATTGGCTACAAAGAAAAATACCCGACAGAATAGAGGCGATGCTGTGCTTCCTAAGTTCCGCCTCGAGGCCTTGGCTAAAGAGCATACTGATGGCCCATCTGAGACAGAAGTTTCTACGAAGCGCCGTTCACCTGCACGGAAGAGCTTGAAATGGAATGAAGACCACCTCATCGAGTTCGAAGATGAGAGACAGACTTCTGAAGATCCCGTTGATTCAGAGGGACACAACAGCAAGAATGACGTCGGAGGAACTACTCGATCAAGATCTACAGCACAGCGCCCAGAGAAGAAAGCATCTAGCCAACGAAAGAGCCGTAGCCAGGTCCAAGATGTGTCCAATAACGACGAAACCGACAGTACCCCGAGCGCTCCCGCTCCCGCTGCACAGACTGATGCACCCACGCGATCGCGACGAGTGCACAGTCTGGGGAAATCAACTTTGACCTCGGGTACGCCCGTAAAAACAGGAAGCGGCCGTATCAGCAAGCCACCCGCTCCTTCAGCCCCCACAGCGACAGCTACAGGGCCCTCAACTCCCACTAAGCCCCGCCGCAAGCTAGTTCCCAAGTCACCTAGTTCATCGCTGTTGACTGCTCCACCTGCTAAGAACGGTGTCACCACTAGCGACCCGTCCTTTGTGAGTGGTATTCCCACACGCAGCGCAAGCTTACATGCTGGCAGCTCTGAGGGGACAAAGCGGAAGAGTATGCTTCAAGCCAGTGCGGGGTGCACACCCATGCCTCGCCGTGTTCGAGCAAGGAGCTAAATTGACAGAACATCTGCATGTTTATTGGCCTTACCGGTCTTAGTTTGATACGTTAGTTGATTGTTGAGCATTCGAGATCATGAGGGTTTATTTCAAACCCTCCACTTGTTTACTCTGTTTTATATTCTGGCGTTTGTTGTTCAAGATACCAGGTTGCTTTGTTTTGTTTTTGATTCTTTTTTTACTCTGTTCTCCTTCTAATTCGTGTACTTAATTCGTTTGATCCACTCACCACGGATGGATGGATCTTTGCTAAGAATTATTTCAAAGTATCGACTCCCCCCACCGTATTGACGCCTTCCCACCTTGTCGGCTGACCCAAGCCTGCCTCGTGAAAGGAAACGAAAGCATTCTTAGCATGCACAAAGTGACGTCGATTTGCGCAACAGCACCTCGTATTAACAGTGGGCATCGCACTGCATCAGACTCCAGGTCAGAGGTCAGAGGCATGGCTAGACCCATAGACAGCCCATGCAAGGCGCAAGCCGTGAAGCTAAGGCTCGCTACTAGTCTCATCCTTCACTGCGGGGGCTCAGATCCCCCGCGCTAGAGTTGCCTTTTGCGGGGTTACCATCAGCCCCCAACGAATTGGGAAACTGACATGAACTTTCAAAGCAGGTATTCGCTTCACTTTCCGTTGCGTACTGGTGATTTATTGCCAAGGACACGTATACCGTTGTTGAAGTCAGCCACCCCGACCTTAGGAGACTGGGGTCTTAGATCAATATCATATCACCCAAGTCTGGTGGTAGTTCAAGTTGTAAGCATCGGTGGAAACTACATCACAATGTATTCTGCGGATCAGAATAGTGTGTATTGAATATGCAGCCTTTCAATCCAATCAGATATTATATTTTGAAACTCACATGTGCAGCGTTATGTAGATTGAATGAAAACAGGTTTGATCCCGCAGGTTACTGAGTATCAGCACTCCATAGGGATAGAATAGACCCACCGAGTAGGTAAGTATAAGTGCGCCAAGATACCAAAGGCATCAGCTTCAAATGTTATAATACAATTTGACTTTGAGTGTAAAGAGATTTGAAAATTTCATTTGAATCGCTTTGAGTTCTATTCAAGGTCCCCCGACTTGAACTGAGGTCCCGAGGTTATACTTCGTCCGCAACACTGTAAGCATACCCAAATGCCCTGTCAGACGGGCAACCCAATCCCGGACTAACTTTCAAACTGTAACAAAAATATAAAATAATCCTTACCAATAATTTATGGCACGATACCATAATATCATTAAACCCAAAACAGCCACACCCGAGTCTATCCAGTCCATCCCATTCCACTTGGTACGATATCCCCGAAATACATACAAACGGAGAACACTCCGGCATAGCCCTAGTAAACAAATCAAATCAAATACCACCAACCAAATCGCATTTCTCATTTCTCATTCTCATTTCTAACCGTATCCAACCGCACCTACATTTACATACACCAATGCATTAACTCCAACTCCAAATTCTTCTAAAACAAGGCCCACAAAATCCCCATTCGGCCGCCGGTGTTCTCGCGCACGACCATTTCCCGAATCCACCCTGCACATACATAAGGTTCTTCCGACTTCACCCGTCCCACCTTGAACTACGAGTACAGTACAGGCAACACTAGTGGCGCCAGGGCTTTGAGCCACACGCGGGATGTCATCAGCGGATATAGGTGCATACGGAGCACTCTGCTCCTGCGTGCTCGAGGACTTTCACGTTCATATGTATTCACATTTAGATTTAGACTAGTAGTATGTTTACTATTCAGTGTAGGTACATGTACATAGACAATACGTATACATGCTGCCTAGTAGCACTAAGTATGATACTAAGTACAAGGATTTTGTCTAGCGTATAGTGGATGTAACTCTAGGTCGGGGGTCGAAATTGCATTGAAATTAAAATTGAAGTAATTGGGTTTTTATAATTGGGCTGTATTTTATTGCGGGTCGTGGTGGTGGGGATAATATGGTGGTGGGGTGCTATGCTCCTCGAATTAATGAGCATTTGTTTACATGTAGGTTTTTTGATTAAGCCCTGGAATTATAACTTGAAGTGCAAATTGCAGTCAGCAGGGATTCAGTTGGAGGATTTGCAGTTTCGAGGCATTGCGTACTGTAAACTTTCGTCGCGATGATCAAGATGAACATGAATAACGCATGTACTCATGGTTGAAGGTTTCACAGCTCCGCAGAAGAGGGGGTTACGGGTTTACTTCGCTGGAATCATTCACTCGGTCAACCAAAACGGAGATATCATTACATAGCAGATTCAACCCATTAACCTGTAAGACTAAAGAGCTAGCATACAGTACAGTAGATCAATTATTCGTTCACAATATTAGGTAAGTAGGTAGGTAGTTGTTGAGGTTGGAATTGTATAATTCATCTATCATATCTGTTCATTACAATTTCAATTTCCAATAAACCCCTCTTAGCCCCACCACATCGGGTATCACATCTTTATCCGTGAGACTTGTACTTTTTTCGCGTGAGATTCAAACAGACAGGTTCTTAGCAGACTCCTCGGGCCAAACATCGTAACCAAAGGTATCCTTCATATTAACGAAACGGAAGTGACGGCCCTCAGCGACCTTGTTCACAGCCGCGAAGTCTTCATCAGAAAGCTCAATGCTTTTGAAGTTAGACACAATACGCGTGGGGTTAGAGCTCTTGGGCAGAACGACGTATCCACGGCGCAGACCCCAGGCAATCAGGACCTGGGCAAGGGAGTTTCCACCCTTGTTAGCGATCTCGTTCAGGGTCTTGTTCTCGGAGACCTTCTCGCCGGTGGTGGGGACTTGGTTCTGTGAGCCGAGGGGAGAGTAGGCTTGGGGCATAATGCCCTTGGAGAAGCAGTAGTCGACGAGCTCGTTGTTGGGGAGGAAGGGGTGGATTTCAATCTGGTTAACGTGGGGTTGGACCTTGGCGTATTTCTCCATGTCTTGGAGCTGGGGGATGGTCCAGTTGGAGACACCGATGGCCTTGGCGAGGCCGTCATTGTACAGCTTCTCCATGGCGCGCCATGTTGGCTCGTGGTTCTCGGTAAGATCCTTCAGGATAACGTACTAGATTGTAGTTAGTTGAGTGATTCCGGTGGGGAAAGGAGCTTAAGGTCAAGCTCGCGTGCTCCCTTTTTCACAGGTGGCGGAATAAAGCTTACCTTGCCATCGGCACCAAGAAGAGGGTGGGGCTCCTCAGCAGTGTCCTTCTCAGAGGCAATGGGCCAGTGGACCAGGTAAAGGTCAACGTACTCCAGCTTGAGACGCTTCAGGGAGTCGTTGATGGCCCATCGGACATCCTCAGGGCGGTGCAGGTGGTTCCACACCTTGGTGGTGATGTAGATATCGGAACGCTTGACGGAGGGGTTCTTCGCCAGGAAGTCATGCACGGCATCACCGACCTCGCCCTCGTTAAGGTAGTACCAGGCGCAGTCCAGGTGACGGTATCCAGTCTCCAGAGCAACAGTGACGGCTCTGTAGGTCTCGCCGACAGAACCCTCGCTGGCGAAGGTTCCGAAACCAACCGCGGGGATGGTCTGGCCGTTGCTCAATGTGTAGGTCTTTCCGTTGGACATATTGAATCAATTGGATGTGTTTTGATTTGAGGAGAGAAGAAAGAAAGAGAGAGAGAGGAGGAGGGAAGAGACGGATAATTAAAGTGGAGGGGTTAAACTCAACAGGCGAGACGATGACGATATGTTCACTGCAGAAGTGGGGATGGAGGGGTAACGATTGGGAGCAGCATTTCCGCCTTCGGCCCGGTTTACTTACTTCCCTGGAATTGACGACTCGTGCTTTGAGCTAGTAGACTAGATGGATATTCTATTTCCACAGTTTAAATGTTAAATGTTGTTGTTCTTATTACTGAGTTTGTTTCTATAGGAATTGAGTTGGATGGTCGTTCTTAATTTTGGTAATTTGCAGCTTTTCGTGTTGACGTGGTTGTTAGAGCTTGTTCAAGTTCCGCAGTACACAGTAGCTTTGTACCAGCACCTGGGCAGATATACTACAGGTCAGGATTAACGACAATATGTCTTATAATAGGTCTCTGTAAATAGTTCTCGATCTATATTCTGCATCCCGGTCAACAATAATAATCTCAAACACTGTATAACTTGTAAATTCCGCGTGTAATTTTCAAAACGTCGAACCATGAATGACATCACCTCGCAAACGGCGCTGAGCCCGCTCCGATCGTCATCGGGTCCACCGAATCTCATGCCGTTTCCACGGGCGAACTGTGCTCCTACCCAATCATCTCCCGTGAGAACCCGAGTAGAGCCCATTTCCTATCCACTCGGCGTCCTACGCTGTGCCCAAGCCGGAGGAGGGCCCTCCTAGACTGTCCTGGATTTGTGTGAGAATTACTCCGTTTCTGAAGGATTACAGTAGACTGCACAGGGTGTATTAGAATGGAAAAACCGACTCGGATTAATCGGATTCGGTCTAGAAGTAGTAGATTTATTTATTTATTTATTATTCTATTGCTACAGTAACTTTTATTTCTGAAATGAAGGTGTCAGCAATGTACCTCCTCCAATGCTGTGTATACGAAAGTACTCGGTACCCGGAAAAATATTAGTGCAGCCACAATGACGCAGGTACCTTGTACCCCTCTCGACTCTTCCCGCATAGACTCGCATAGACTGGAGGCTATACCATAAGTCTGTCCTGTTCTGTCCTGTTCTGCAACGACAGTTACCTGTTCTGGCCAGACAATGACGATAATTCATGGTATCCGACGGGTGGATCCCCACCCCTCCTCTTAGAAAGCCTGGTAAGAACGCAATGGCCGCATGGAAACCAATCCAACACTACCTTGCTGTGCCTTGTCAACCGTGCCAACCTTGCCAATGGTCCTGCCCAGCTGTGTTTCCCGTTCCTGGTGTGGCTGTCTATATATACGCGCATTGGTCGCTCTCTATCTTTATCTATTTATTAATAATTATCCTCGCCCTTCAGCTCCGAGTCTTTCTCTCTCTTCAAATCCCTCTTCTATAGACCTCATCCCCCTTATCAGCCGCTAGTACATCCTTTTTCCTCCCTGGAGCCAGTGACAGCAGTAGCTGATAAGATCGACTCCTCTTTGTCTCCTCTTTTTTTTTCTTTTCAGATATCCACTTTCACAAACAGACCCCACCGATCATCATCATGGCATCTCGTCCGAATTACTCTCGTACAAACTCCAATATTCTCCCCATCCCTAGTAGCGATGGTGTCAATACTGTTGAGATCCCATCTAGCCGCAGCGCTATCAGCGATGCCGCTGCTCTTATGCACAATCTCAGCCTATCGCCCTCCATGAAGGAGCGCAGGAGTTCCCGCAATTCATTCGGTACTTCTCTTCCTATTCCTCGTTCGCCTCGTCATTCCCATCTTGCACCTTCAAAGACAGGCCGTCCCTATGTCTCACGGGATATCCTGACCAGCCAGGTTCAGGATATGTCCTCGGAGAAGGTAGAGGCTGCGAAGAACATGGCGTTTGCATTCGATATTGATGGTGTGCTTGCGCACGGTCCCGAGCCTATCGAAGAAGCAAAGGAAGTTATGAAGATCTTGAACGGCGACAACGAGCTCGGAATCAAGATTCCTTATATCCTCGTTACCAATGGTGGCGGTAAAACTGAAGTTGCTCGCTGCGCGCAGCTCTCGGAGATGCTTGGGGCTCCTATCTCTACCGATCAGTTCATTCAGTCCCACACACCCATGCAGGCTTTGTCCGAGTACTACGAGACTGTACTTGTCTGCGGTGGTGAAGGGTACAAAGTCCGAGAAGTCGCAGAGACCTACGGTTTCCAAAACGTAGTCCACCCGAAAGACATCCTAGCCTGGGACCCAACCATTTCACCATGGCGCTCATTCTCCGAGGCCGATCGAGTAAACGCCAAGCCTAGAGATTTCTCCAAGATGAAATTCGATGCTATCCTCGTCTTCGCCGACTCCTATGACTACGCTACAGACTTCCAAATTATTATGGATCTCTTACTCTCCGAAGACGGAAAACTCCTTACAAAGGCCGAAGACCCTCTTGCAAGCCGTATCCCTATCTATTTCTCACAGGGTGACTTGGTCTTCCCAACAAACCACAAGGGCCTTCCTCGTCTAACCCAGGGTGCATTCCGTATCGCTATCGAAGCTCAATACAAAGCCCTAACAGGCTGTGAGCTCGAGCGTGTGGTATACGGTAAGCCCGAGCGGGCTACATACACCTACGCCGACGAAGTCCTCAAGCACTGGATGGAGGAGATCCACAATGAGAACCGTCTACCCAAGAACGTCTACATGGTCGGTGATAACCCACAGTCCGATATCATCGGTGGAAACATGTATGGCTGGAATACTTGTCTTGTTCGCACTGGTGTGTTCAAGGGTAAAGAGGGTGAGAACGATACAAACAACCCTGCCAACTTTGGTGTTTTCAATCACGTCCTCGATGCTGTTAAGGCTGCTATTCGCAAGGAACTTGGTCAGGATTTCAAGCTCAAGTGGAACCCTAAGGTTAATCCTGTTCTGCATGGTGATGAGAACAGCGCTGCTGTTGAGTAAATGTTCTGAGACGATGATCGTCGCCGTCTCGATATATACAATTTAAAACGAACATTACGATCTATGAGCGCTGGGTAGGCTGGACGGCCAAGCAACCCAGTATGATTTTAAGCCTGGGAGTTTCTTTTGGAGTTTATTTTTTTATTGTCTATTCTCTTCTATTCTACCATGTCGATGCTAGACTTTGTGCACTGCTTGTCCTAACTTCTGGTTGAACCATGAAGTCCGAGACTGATATCCACTTTTGCTCTTCGAGAAGCTTGGTCTTCCAATCTTCTCCGAGTCTTTTCCTATTCTTGTTCTTTTCTTTTTCCTTTTCTTTCTCATATATACTTTTCCCTTTCTTTTCTATCATCCTAGATTGGAATTATTTCTTTTTTTGGTTCTTCACAAGATATTTACCATTTCCTATCATATTGGGCTTTGCATTTTGGAATTTCTATCATGATTGATATAGGTTCTAGTACAATATAATGCAAACCTCCAGGGCTTTTAGAAAATAATAACTCCGAATCCGAATAGACAAACCACCGATTTATTTCCCATCTTCCATATACTTGTATGTATGCAGCTATCTAAGACCGTATTCTGGACAAGTATGCAGTGTACACTGTGTGAACGAACCACTTTGCCATAATAATCAAGTATGATAACTTAAAATAAAACAACCGAACCAGAATTATTCTTATCATGGGGACAAAGTCATTGACCTCACGACATCATTATAATCACCGGATCTATCCTATCGGATACGAACTTTGATCTATGGGTCTGGAACGGGAGGACCCACGGATCCAGGTCAAGTACAAGTAAACAACTTGAAGAGGATCATAATATAGCATAAGAACGATGCCCACGAACTTGAATCTCAGGCTCGCATCACCCCTTAGACTAACATATTCTACTCGTAAAAACTTGAGTTCTGATTTCCATTCATCATGATGTTTTTGTATACTACAATCTTAGTCAAATTGAGCAGCTACTACACTTTAGATAGCGTAAAAAAAGTAGATCACTTGATCTGAAATAATATGTATGAGCTGAGATACGTACGCCGATATACATTAACTCCGAAAGCAATGAGGCAAACAGAAACAGAAAGCAACGCTGAGATCCAATGCTATGCAACTCGAAAAAGACGCGGACCGAGAGCACGAACCCGAAGCCAGGAGCCAGAATGCGGAAATTCGTAGACCATGTTACGCGCCACCATGCATAGACCGGATATCATCAATCATAATCGTAGCAAGTAAAGGAAAAAGAAAAAGAAAAAGCCACCCAGATAGAAGAGAAAGGAGAAGAAAATGCATCAAATCAACGGAATCGAAAGGGGTATTCACCAGCAGGACGAAAAGATAAGATAGCAATGCTTTTCCAGGAACACCAACGCGCGGCGAAGAGGTTGTGATTTAGGAGGTGGAGGAGGGATGATTGGAGGAGAGGGACAGAGAATAGGAAGGATAGGAGGAGGGGAATCATTTCTTGAACATGTAGTGTCCGTAGATACCACCGACATCTCCAACTGCCATGGGAATCTTGCGCATGCCCCACCAGCGTGCGCCCATTTTCCAGGAACGAGAACCATCGTCGATAGGACAGTTTGGCATAGAGGTAGGGTCCCGAACGTACCAGCCGCGGCGACCGAGTTCACGAACGGTCCAGCCAACAGAGACGCGCTGGGTCTTGCTGCGCTCGCGCAAGGGAGTAATGATCTTTTCACTGAACTCAACAACCTGGAGAGGGTAGCTTTGGTCTGAGAGCAGAAGACAGGTGCTCATATTGAAGATGGACCCGATGGTCATTTGATTCACCTTGGCCAGATCCAAGTAGCAGAGAGTGCTTGGTTCGACATTTTCCTTAGTTCTAGCAAAGAATGTGTTGATGTCTTGCACTGTCAGATCGGCAGAGCTGAGACCCAGTTCCTCTAGGTGCTTGGTCAATGGGAGCAAAAGTGGCACGTGAGCAGAGGTGATTCGTGCACCGCCTAGGTTCAGAGAGCGGAGAGTCTTTGGAAGTTTGGGCAGGAGGGCTGTCACGTCGTCTTCTTCCAGGAGACGGAATCGAGTGGCATCTGTGAGGAGGTTCAGGAATACCAGGGATTCACAAACGGCCGGGTGAGTGGTCAGGAACTGGATCAGAGCAGGTGGGTGAATGCGCGTGCAACGCGACAAGCTCAGATGAGTGATACGTGCGGTTTCGGGGATAGCGAAGAGAGCTGAATCGTTGATTTGAGTGTGTGTGAGATCCAGATGGGTCAGGTTGATCAGACGCGGGAGCAGGAGATCGAACATTGGCGCTGAGATAGTGCTGCATTCGTGGAGCGAGAGTCGCTTCAGGTTAGACATGCTCATGGGCAGAGCTGGACCTCCAGTCAAAGCCTCTTGGAAGACTGCAGAGAAGGAGTTGGTGGAGCAGCCGCAAAGATCCACTGCCTGAAGGATTGGCAGACCCATGAACAACTTGCGAATAATATCCACGCTCAAATCTCCCTCTAAATGCTCCTGCAACAGACACTCTCTCAGGTTAGGCAAAAGGTCCAGGCACTGTAGCAAGGTTCGCGAAGTCAAGTTCTGGATTTCGGCGTTCATCTGCTTCGTACGGCCCAGACCAACGGAGGTAAAGTGAGAGAAATCCAAACGGCGCACGAGCGTTCCCAATGCCGGGTAGGACGAAATGTGATTCAGAGCCTTAGAGAAGATAATCGAGTGCGGGAATGTCATGTTTCTGTACAGGACGGCCAAAGTTGCCGCATGCAATGTACGAGAAGTCAGAAGGCAGTGAACAAGGTCGACGTTTCGCGGAGTGTATCCATTTGGAGGGATATCAAGCGCCAAGTGAGAGATGACCTGATCCAGCACTTCCGCGGGCAATTTCTCCATGGCCGATGTGCCTGGGGGAATACCAGCAGGAGTCTGCGGTTCCTCAATGACAGGCACTTGCTCTTTGGGAGGGACTAGCTCTCTTCCAGTTTCGGTTGTGTCCCAGGCCCAGCCTTTAGCTTGCAAATTTCCCAACCCACGAAGATCGCCATAACTGCGGCTCAAGCTCTTGCCGCTCAACCGAATTTGCTTCCACCCGAGGAAACCACCACAAGGACAACAAAAGTCCGGGCTCTGTTGCATTTCCTGACGTTCCTGCTTTGGAGTTTCAGGCTCTTTTTGCTCCTTTGGTGAGGGCACGTGGTGCGTGTCTACAAAAGACTGCGCAATGCCTGAATATTATGATGTCAGTTAAACTCTGTTGCGCATAAGGCTGAATATATTTTAGATAAGAAAAAGAAAAGTAAATAAAAAAGCAAACAAATATAGGAAAAAGAAAAAAAATATGAACCTTTTCCCCTCTTCCCCTCATGTGCAGTACATACCGTCAGTATCTTCTTTAATCGAACCAAAAGATGGGCGACGTCGACTGCTAGATCTGGATCCGTCGGGTGTATCGGCAGTATCGCAAGACGAAGGAGACGAGTCGCGCGAAGGCACGGAGTGTACGTGATCACCGCAAGGGATGGTGAATCGCGGAACGATCGGCTTCGAGCGAGTAGGTGGTGTAGTAATAGAGGCCATGGTGAGAGTGTGAGAGAGCGGGCCCTCTATAAAGGGCCCCGAACTAATAGGAAAGGTACCTTGGAGTTTAGGGGACACAAAGAATGGAAGAGAAAAAAATATTAAACGAGTAGCTTCCCCGGATTTCTTTCAGGTAAAAGAAAGTCTCGGTCAATCAAAAGGAGGTAAGGCCGAGAGAATTCTAGGGCTAAGGGTTAAGAAAAAAGTGGTGAAGTTGAAGGAAAGTAAGGAAATAGTATTGAGGGGCGGGGAAAAAGTAAAGGAAAGAGAGAGAAAAAGTATGTGAAGCTGTTAGTCACGGAAAAGGGCGACCCGGGTGTTGAGTGGAAACGGTCAAAATTAAAAAAAAAATTAAAAATTAAAAATTGAATGGAACTCCATAAAAAAAAATTATGGATTAGAAAAATATCTACAGTGGATTTGGAGTCAAACGGGTCCGAGTTGGATCCGCAGAAGCTAAACCAGAGCCACTTTGTCTTAGAAAAAAGACTTGGTGGTTTCTACTATGTAAGTAGATGAATGACTCTTCAGAGGCAAAGATGGCAAACGGTGGCGGATACTTTGGAACTGGCCGCCCAGATTAGTTAGTCCCAAATAGCTACCCCTGCAGCCTCCGATTTGCTTTTGTGATTTTTGACTATTTTTCTTTTTTGGAATAATCAATTTTTTTTTGAGATTTGGTGCTTTCTCGTCGCTGATTTGCTGCGGCTCGGCGCTTTCTATACAAAATATGCAAGCGGAAAACGCATGGCGTCATCGGGTGCAACCATTCACAGGAACAAACCTTTGTATAGAGCATGTCTCGTGGTGTGGTATATCTGGAGAAACACAACCCCAGAAAATCGAGAATCAAAAAGAGAAACAGGTCCAAATTCAATTCGCAGACTATGTATACAAACTATACTAATTCGGTATTTTCATTCGCTCCGTGGAACCCTATTGATCAACCCTGTCATCAATCTTGCAGATGAAGAGGAATTCTATGACATAATTCAAATCACCCTTCCCCTCTCTCCTCGCTAGCATGATTGACATTTCTAAGATTACCTACAAAGATGCCAATAGGACCATGCGCAGGTCAGCGGGATCATGGGATCATCTTTGGCGCTGACCACCTGTACCCCAGACCACGTTGGAGGTTCTTGTTAGGTAACCGCTACTACAATCCTGTCCTCTTTAGGACTGTGATTGGCCGATCCAGCCGATCATGCGGGGCTAGCGTGCTCATTACCTAATTTGATATCACCTGATCCCGTACCATCTCCAATTTCCCGTTTGTTCCTTTACTGTTGCTGTGTTTACTCTCAAGTGCTCCCTAGCCCAAATTTCAAAAAAGAAAAAAAAAGCCAAGTCATCAATTGACCATACGTTTTCTCGGCAAATGTCCCCGGTTTTCTTAACCAAATCTTATCCTGCATAGCCGTGTCTATCCTTTTCCTCGGATTACGGATAACCTGATTCCCAATCCTCCGTCCTCCGTACAATATTAGCTTTTACAAATGCCTATTCCGATTCCAACTATGCTGTGCAAGTCACCATTCTATTCCCAACTAACCCAACAGGGTTGGCAAAGGCTTGATTCAAGAAACAGACACAACTAGAAACACGGCTGAGAAACATCCGGGATCAAGATACCACATGACGTTAGCGTTGTTCCAATTCGTACTGAAGTAGACTACGGGTAGCTCACCCGAGCCCCAACCCATCCGACCTTCGGAGTATTCCTGTAAACAGGCCACCTCACCACGCCGAGGGTAGGAGCGGGCCCCAATCCTCTCTACTAGTTGGCTGGGTGTCCGCTTTTTCTTTCTATTCTTATTTGTACTCTAAGAAGGGAGCGGTGTGTATCTTGTTGATCGGTGTAGATCCTCCTTCTTGGAGGGTGAACTGTTTGTACAGTTCACCTGATCTTCGGGCTTTGTTTGGACCAGCATCTCTAGTTACATAGCGGAGTACATACAGGACTAAATTACTAATATTAGGTCGGATTATGCGAACTACTATTTGTCGAGCCTTGGCTGCTGCACCTTCTTACTAGTTGAGTAGATCAAGACGTTTACTGGTTTGTTGACTAGGGACTGTGGGTTGATTGGTTGTTTTATGGGGGCTGGATGATGATCTTATTTTATTCGAGGAATAAAGAATTAAGAATTACAGCAGTGAATTGGTAAAGCGTTGAAAATCATAGATGTACTTATACTCCGTGTTCGGGAATTATTAGGCTCTAAGGTTTCTTTGTGGGTCCACTTTTTATCAATCTCCCAATATTGAGATGCGGGTGTATACGTTGACTATTGATATTGACAGATCTTGTCTAGCTCGCCCTCTATTTTCTGTGTACGCTATAATTATTTGGATCAGAATTCGATAGTCTGTTCGATAGTATCTCATTTCAGCCTCTTACGTTTGCCTCAGGCCTCAGGCCACACAACCTTCAGACCGCCGGCGCATCTCTGCATTTGACCATTCCTTGGAACTTCAACCTTACAGCAATGGCATTTCTCAGTGTCCTAGACTTCCCAATACCTCCCTCTTCAAGCTTATCACCACAGCAGCGTGGGCTGGCAAAAGACCTTGTGAACCGACTTATACAACATTATGGCTACGAAAGGACTGTTCAGGAAGGCTATAAGCCCACGGCTCTGCTTGATGCAACTCTCCAATACGTTGCTTCTCCAGATACATACTTGAATTTCTTTCTTCTTTACATCTATCAATCTATATGTTTTGAAGACCTGAATGGGCTTGATTTCAATATTGACCACACAATATCTTACTTGAATAGATCTGCTTCATTGGTATCTAAACGAATGAACGACTTCGATAAAGCATTATAGCATTTCAGTGAATATATCATTGACAATTTTCTCCTTCCTCGTAAATATGTTCGTTCAAATATTCATCAAAGGCGTTATATCTAATAAAATCCAGTCAGAGCTTCGTCTATTCAGACATCACAGTCCACTACGACTAGTACAAGGGGATTTGAACGTGTATCCGCCCTACAGCAGAGCTGTCTCATCCGTGATCATCATCATGATAGCTGTATAGGTTTCAGGAAATTCGATAGAGAGGCAGCTAGAACACGTTTTGACGACGATGGGGAATCATGTGCAGACGATGATGGTAATCAACTAGAAGATGGGCCTAGTGGCCAGTTTCAATATTTGGAGGCTGCTTAGATTCTACCTCACTCTCTAGCAACAATATCTTCCAATGAAGTTGAATTGGTATGTTCAATCGTGATACCTAATTTTCTAGGTCCATGATATACATGTCAAATTACTAACGCGCTACTCTGAGTGATTCCAAGAAAGTCGTTCTTCGAATACTAGACATGCTCGACCCCGGCATCAGCCATCTAATCAATAGTCCACAAATTGATAGTCCCATCAAAGCTCTCACTCTAACTTGGGAGTATCAACGGCTGTTCAACAATGTTCAGATATTCTTTGAACACGCTGACACGCCACACCAGTATATTATTGACTCAACAGAGCGGCGTCATTTTCTGCGTGACCCTTTGCTTCCAGTTACTCGGTCGTTGGCTCTTAGACCCTCACAATTTAACCACCTTCTTCTCGGCTTCTTGGTGTTCATCGGGCTATTGCGCTTATTATGGGACTTAGTGGTGCGAGAGCATATATTGAAAGAATTCTTCGGGACTTGGAGTTGGATACTAGTGAAGATGGGCCAACACATTTAGGACGACAAGACTTGGTGGGTGGTTATAAGGTTACTAGCAAGTCTATCTGGTTTTCCGATGTGAGTGATGTATGGAGTAGGCGTGTAGAACGGGTAGCAGAATGGCTGGCAAAATCGGGCTCTAACATTATTTTTATCATGTCAAAAATATGAAAAAAAATTCAATTCAGCATCGAGTTGATTCGATCGTATGCAAATTAAATTGACTGAGGCTGCACTGGAAATTTTGTTAGTTGTGACTGTGAAGCTGACAATCGTTTAGTTCAATAATTTCTCGAGTCGGCAGTACTTTGATAATAGCACACATTATGATATATAACCTTGCAATTTTTTTACAATTAAGGAAATTAACAGTTACCTAGGGTTTACTAAAAGAAGGCTCTTGTTCATAAATTCAATCTAAAGCAGAAATACATTGCCCAATCACGATGCCAGTTTTAGTTGTAGCTATTCTCCATCTGTTACCGTATCTTCACCGATAAATCACGTGACAAATCGATAGATCAGCAGCGGCTCTTCTGTGTTTCTTTAACCTCATCCATTGCCTTCACAACGCCCAGAAGGCATCGACCTTCTCATCCACAGCCTCAACCCCGGGGTTTCTGCTCAGCCCGATGGGTTGTTTCATTGCCGCACTCCAGGACAGTGGAAGCTGCCTAGATACGCGACGATGGCACCTCCGAGCGGAGCGGCCTCCTACAAGAAGAAAGATGGGAGTCTGACTCTAACTGACGACGAGGGGACACTAGTCTGGTCCCCAGTTGACGCCAATGCCCCATCCCTCAAGATCTCAGTGATCAGTATCACCAGTATGCAGCCGTTCAACCCGCTGCTCGGTCTTCCCGCCATTGCTAATCTCAGCGATCACTAGATCTACAGCAAACGCCAGTTTCGAATCCAAAAGTCATGTTGAAAGTCTTTGCTCTTCCACCGAATGCGCCCCCGAACAGCGACTCGATTGCATATACCTTTTTGTTTACTGCTGCTACTGGTGCACGTGCCCAGGCCGATGCTTTTAAGGATGTTCTTGGTGCGAAGGTCAATGCGGCAAAGACGGGGACACCTTCTCAGACATCAACGCCTGTACCTGCTGCTGGAGGGGGAGGGGGAGCGGTATCGGCGATGGCGATTGCGAACGCTATTTCAACTGCTGGGTCGTCGAAAAATCCCTGGGATGACGATAATCGGCTCAAGGGAGATGTGGAGCTTCAACAGTCGCTATTGAAGGCCGATTCTACATTACAAAAAATGTTTATGGAGTCATTACATACCAAACCAGACACTTTAAGCTCCGGCCAGTTTGTGTCGCAGTTCTGGTCTACTCGACTGCATCTTCTGCGAGCTCATGCTATTGAGCGCGCCCAGACACGTGGTTCTTACAACGTTCTTTCCTCGCTAAAGCCACGCGTGGAAGATAACGTGACACGATTGAACATCAGCAAAGAACAAATTCAACTCATCTTTTCGCAGCACCCGCTCGTCAAAAATGTATATGATGAAAATGTGCCTAAGCTGACCGAAGCGCAATTCTGGTCCCGGTTTTTCCAGAGTAGATTGTTCAAAAAGCTGCGTGGAGAACGTATCTCCGAAGCGGATGCCACAGACGGCGTGCTGGACAAGTATCTGCGGGAAGAGCCCACCCATGTGGATCGCGATGCCAATATCCCCCATTTCCTGGATCTCGCTGGTAATGAAGAACATCACAGTCAACGCCGTGGAAACCGGCCAGATCTTGATATGCGTCCTTCTGGTGTCGATAAAGTGCCTATCATCCGTACCTTGAATAACCTCAGTGAGAAGATCATGGCCAATGTGGCCCCAGCAGACGGCGACATCAGTGCTCCCATTGGAATGAACGAAGAGGCCTGGGCAAAGTTACAACTGCAGGATCTCCGGGGAGACGAGGAGCAGGCTCACATTACCCTCAACATCCGCGACCAAAACCGATTCTTTTCCGCAGCCAAGGATGAAAATGAGAATGATACCTTCGCAAAACAAAATCCCGACCAAGTTCTACAACTTCTTCGCAATGAAGTCGCACAGAATCTGCTCCTTGGTGGCGCCACGCCCCTCCAAAAATTAGTTGACCCTGCCGATGACGAAGACGAGGAAATGGAAGATGCACCCGCCAGTCGACGGCCAGTCGGCTCATCAGCTGCTCTACATGATGCATTTAGACAAATTCTCAGTGCTATTCGTGAACAACGCGATCGAATGAACGAGGGCTCAACGTCAGAAACCTACGGACTCTCACCGGCTCTCTACGATCGTCTCACGCTAACTCACGCGACTTCGACGGAGTTCTTACACCAATTCTGGCAGGCATTTCTATCCGGTGACCCCGATCGTGCAGGTGAAGCCAAATCTCTATCGGAATCATTGCTTCGCGCCATGGATAGAATCAAGGCCGTCTCAGATTCAGCGGAAGCAGAGCGCCAGGTTGAGGTTGATCGGGTGAAGCAACATGCACGAGATATGTATGAGCGTACCGGACGCAAGTTACGACCGAATCTAGAAAGCATTGAAGGTGGCTCAAAAGTTGTTAATCAATTGCTTGGTCCTACAATGCATGCGTTGGAACTGGCATCGAAACGATTCCAGACTGCATGGGCAGAGGAAACGCAGGAGGCAGCCGCTTTGGCTGTTTAATTCAGCGACTTCAACGGAGATTCAACTAAGGCGTTTGATAAGGGCATGAGGGACTTGCACAATAAACATAATAGCATATATCACTTATGCAACTACATGAATACTTCCTTGCCTCTCTTCCGAAATAACAGTTATCCCCCTCGTAACCAATAACCTCCCATCACCCAACTCCCGCTCCCACCGTCGCGGGTCAAAGCCCTCACCACTCAAAGCATACCTAGAACCATTCATATCCTCGGTCCCAGACCCAGGTCCTGACCCCTGTGTCCGCCGATCACGCAGCTGCATCCTTCCCCCACTCCGCGAACGATCATGTCCAACAGCACTCTTAATATCCTGCGAAAACCTCACAAACAACATCCGCAACGTAGGTATAGACCCGAAAATAATGATGAACCACATTTCCGTCACGACCCATATAGCCAATTTGGTAATGACAGAGGTCTTATCTTCTATCTCTGTGATATAGGCGATTGAAATACCTTTGATAATAGTAGCTATACCTGTTCTGAGAAGTGCTATCATCCCAATCATATTAAATTATAACAAAGGCAAGAAGAACATACATAAGTCCATGAGTCAAATAGTCTATAACGTACCACTCTGGATATACCCAACTTGCGAACACCTAATAATGCCATCACATGTGCCCGGAATACTAATATCCCTAAGCCTCGCAGTAGGAGAGCATTGCTCAAAGATCAAAACAACAGTAATAACATTAATAACCACCTGAACAATACCAATAATATAACGAATATACTGACTCGAGTGCTCCATTCTATTTTTTAACGAAAGCAAAAAAGCAATAACAGCTATTCTTGCGGCGGCCAAATCAAGAATAGAAATGACTTGAGCGATCCAGTTCCAAAGACTAAGTTTCACGAGGTCGGGAGGTGAAATGAGATACTGGTGATTGCCTAGACCGTAGTAAACACTTATCGTGAGACTTATTTGGGCTATGAGGGTGAGAATCTAATAGACGTGATTAACTAGAATTTTACTTTGTAGGATGGATTGAGTCAATCATACAAATGCAAGAATTACCCATATGAAATCCCATCGGAGTCTGTATACACCTAATCTATCGATGAGGCTTTCTCGGGGACGGATGGAGGCTGTTTGTGCACGGGCAATTATAAGGATGAAAGCTAGTCCTGTCTCTGACCATGTTATGCCTAGGACTAGAGGGCCTCGCCCACCATATGGAATAGGCGATGCTGGGGGCATATCGTGGATTATAATAAAGATATGACTTGAATGGAAGACCTAGTCAATATCATAATTCAATGCTTGATAAATTGTCTAGCCAAGATATGTAGGGTTGAACTTTACGAGTTGTCATTTTCAAATAATCCGCTCATTTCTAAGCTTATGTCATTTTTGAAGATTCTGGGGTCAACGGAGGATTTGATTCACTGGTTTTCTTGAAGCTGACAGTATAATCTGGTTTATTCTGGAATCTGGGGTCTAATCACGAGATGGTACTGGGATCATGCTCGTTTGAAGATCTATTGCTAATGCTATGCATTGTTGGGGTTAAGTTACGATTGAGGTGACACGCGGGCGATTTGATTGGAATAAAAGGGCTTCTAGATTATGGAATGAGATGTCAGTTATTTCAAATCAAGTTAAAATTCACCATATCTATTTTAGCTCGAGTCATATTTATTCAATTTTACCCTTGCCAAGATAAAAGGGTCACACAACAGTAGCAAGGTTAGAAGTATGGATCCAATCATACTCGATAAATGTACATGCCTGCTCGTCTTTCGATGTTTTAACCTTAGGCCCCCAAGCTTCAGAAATCCCGAGGTCTTGAAAGGTTGATATTTTGTTTCACCAATTTAGTGTACTCTCTTCATTTTGACAAGGTCAAATTGTCAATGGTATTATGGTTGGTTCAATTTGAGAAATATAAAATATGATTGTAACTACTAGGACTAATAGCCATGAAATATGTCAGTAAATTTATCTACTAGTACCTCCTGGCAGTGGCGGATGATTTGAACTTGAGAGGCCCCACTGGTGCATGTGCCCTTATCTATCAACGGAACATTCTAGGTAAATTTCAAATCATTTGTTCCCCTTGAATTTCTGATGTTATAATAGTATCATATAGATACACATCAATGGTAGTAACAAAGAAAGACATCACACAGTACATAGTAACTGTACCAAAGACTCCAATCATTTAAGTGCTCTAATTGACATCCACGAGATCGCAAGATTAGGAAATTTACGCCTACTATACAGCAAGTACATATAAGCTAGTATGTCAAAAGCAAATTACTAGAATTGAGTTAAATTCAATATGTGTCATTGTCTTTGAGCCGATAAGAACATCGGTTGGCGATCAACGTTGAATTTCAAGATATTTCTGCGGTTGAAATTTTTGAAAGACGAGAGAGAAACACATTGTCTCGTCTATTACATCGTCATAGCATTATCTGCTCGCCTATTCATGCAATAAGTGACATTATGTCCGGTCTCCAAGCATCTCGAGCATCGAATAGGGTGGCGGTACTTTTCGGCAGAGGGATCTGGACAGGTTCGCACATCATGCCCTTCTTGATGACAGATGCTACAGCCGTGTGTCCGATTATTCTTGCCCTTGGTCTCCTTGTCTTGCTTCTTCCCTTTACACAGATGGTAGAAACGGTCCATCCAATGCTTTTTCTGAAACTCATCCTGTCCTGGGGCATTGCATCCATCGATCGAGTGATTGGGCGACCTGCAATATGCGCGATGGCGAGGATCTCTTGGTCTCCTTCCATATATTTCCCTCTTCCTTTCCCTCTCCCTTCCTTTCCATCGAAAGATTGCCGTGTTCGAAAATTCAGGTCCTCCTTGCATTTTTAGACGTTTGACTTTGTATTCACGTCTCTGTGCGGTAGTCACCATCTTCCGGCGATCCATTTGCTTTTATCTCAGAATAGTCAGTTTTTTCTCACTCGAAAGAAGGCTTTTTCTACCGGGTAAAGGTCCAGTTAGAGGTGAGAACTGACAGCATCCAGACCAAGGCAGTCTGTTGACTTTCCATGGGCAGATTGGTAGAATTGAGTATTGCTTATTTTGATCTTTTTTCCAAATCAGGTAGAGCCAGTGTGTGAATATGGCCTCGGCAAGTACGATCTTTTTCCGTTGGAATATGTATTCAGGGGTACGTAGAGGACACCAGAACTTTGATTCGCATGCCACCACAAACTGGGCCACACGAGGTTGGCTTTCTTGATTCAACAGCCGATGGTGGAAGGATCCCTTTTTCCTGCCATACCCTTAGTATAAATTGAATCGAGCCTCGACTAGTGAGACTTACGCTTGTCTCCTACTGTAGCTCAAATTACATTGCTGCTTGATCCTATGCTTCAACCCTCGTTCACTTGTCGCAGAGCCTTCATAAAGGTATGATCGTCCCTGTCTATCCGTTTGGTAAATGGGTGACAGGTATACCGCTACCAGTTCTGTAGGGTGGTATCCAAGATTCTCGATTTCCTGAAGAATACGTGGCACCGGTCGGGCAAGTAGTATTTGGAAATCCTCTTTCGTGATCTCCGCGATGTCTTTTGTCCATTGTGCCGTCGATCTTTCCCTGAGAGTTTCGTTCCAGTCCTCTCTCATACCCGATCGATATTCTTTGGCAATTATAATTGCTCGCGCCAACATATGTCTAAATCTTGTGCAGTTATCCAGGTTTTGAGCATTGAAATCTGTAAAAATATTAGAGAAACAATCGGAGGAACATTCGGAGTCAAGTTCTGTATGATCAGTAGTAAGAGTGATATCAGTCTGTTGAATGATTTCCATACCATCCTATGGGAAAAATTTGTCAACTTCAATGATATCATTCAACGCAGATCCACATGCCATCGAGTCTATTTCTAGCTCTTCCTCTGGGGTAAGGGGGATATCAATGCATGACGAGACCATAGCGAAGTCCTGTGCAGATTGTTGCCCGTAGACTTGGTCAGTCATAAGCCTCAAAGTTCCGAGTAAGTAGTTTGGAAAGAAACTCCTTTTTGAGAGGTTTATCGAAAATGCGAAGGTTCGATCGAGGTGACAGTAACAGCTTGCTAGCCACGAATCTTCATACAAAAAGGGGATTCTCCGGTAGAGGGAAGGGTTGAATGGTGGACTTGGGTGGTGAGCATTGGGTGAGTGGATTTGTGGACCCTCCATTCTGGAAGTGAATTCACCGTGCAGCCGATAGGTGCCTTCAAGTTGATGTTGATATATCTCTCTTATTCTTACTACGTAGGCACCTAACACTGACCGTTTTCAATGTTGATATTCTTCGTTTTTCGTACGTAACTGCTTCACAGTATGTAGCTTGATACTAGGCAACTGTGGCAGAAATGAGCCGAATCCAAGGTTTCTCTTCAACATTTTGAACATGCTCAAGCCTCAGATGACTGAGTATCACTCAATATAAACAGAAGGGAAAGATGGCTAAATCCGTGCTATTCATTTAACCCGACTTGAGTACTGTTCCCTCCAATTTTAGACCCTTCACGGTTCTTGTGAGACTGGCCAGGAAATTTAGACGCTTTAAAATACTAGGTTCAAAGGGTAAGGTCTTGGTTTTGTCGGTTTTTGCAAACGTGTTAGTACGACATTATTGATAGAACATTATTTAGTGCTGCTCTGTATCATTGTAGTATGTGTGATTAACATCGTCATGAGTAGCATCGATGGTCTAATGGTTATGATCTCCGCCTTCCAGTAGTAGATTACTAATATATCTCTGCCGATAGCGGGGGATTCGGGTTCGATTCCCGATCGATGCACTAATCTTTTTTTCGTTTTTTTGTAAACTTCTTATACCCCCACCCTCCCTATCTATCTCTTATCCTGTTTGACTGAGCCCAGGAGTCCTGTAGAGCTTGTAGCTTATGTAGATACTAGTGGGTCTACGTTCAGCGACTTTTTGACTTCACATAGTAAATCATTCCGACGACCCCATGGTGGCCCTGCGCTCATCAGCTTATCACGGCGTAAATTTTGGATTCCAAGATTGGATGAACACAGATACATATGTGATATGTTCACGGCGCCAGTAATGATAATATTTGGTAAAAGTTGCGGATAGGGCGAGTGGTAAAGAGATTGATGGACACCTGGAAGCAAAATGCAGTGGCGCGGGAGACCAACCTGTCTACCATACAGAGCTTGGGTACACGGCGAGATGTGGTTATATGGAGACCTTGGGATATCATGATCCTTATCCCAAGTGATGATTTATATGGGATCTGGCTTTAAAGCGGATATAGAACCCGCATATAAAAAATTGAAAAAAAAAGACTCAGGAGGGGATAACAGATATCAGTAGGTGATCAACAATCATCTAGTCATTCTATTCAATTGAGGTCATTTTCTTCAGGATCACGTACACAGTGTCCTTCCAAGATTTGATTCCACGTATCCAGTCCCACATTTGTATGTTTTTATCCCTATGGGGGATAATCCAGTACCTACATACATACATGATACATTGTTAGTCTCTCTAAGTCTTTCTTACCATCTTTCTAATGATCCTTTAAGATATTCTGTCCAATCTGATGTTCAAGTATGTGAGAACCAAGGTTATCGGAGCTATTATTTGCTGTATTGAAGCTTGAAGCCTCCTCCTCAAAATGAAACTGTCTGCTTGGCCAGATTAACCCGTCGCATTGCCCTCGCTGGTGCCGGCATCGCCAATGATTGAATACTATAGCCCTGGAGATAGGCAGCCAGCGATGCCGGGAGCAGGTACTATACAACCTACACTTAGACTTCACATA